TGCAGATGGTCCTGAAAGCTCCAGAAAAGCTCAAGGAAAGCTCAATCCAGGTCCTCAAGGGCGAAGTCCCGCCCAGGGATGCCTGGCAGCCGCTGCTGTGGATTCTGGTGCCACTGCACTGGACACCGTGAGTTCCGAGCCGAGATAATCGCTGCAGGGGGTACCCCCCGCCCCAGTCGAACTACCCCAAAATGCGAGAGCCCCCCCACGTTGGGGACCAGCTATCCGGTGTTCGTTTCATCCTTGCAGGGCAGGGGTTTAGGGTTCAGGGCTTAGGGTTCAGGGGGAGCTGATCGAGCAGTCCGGCATTTGAACTTGCTGTACAAACGGAAGGACTCTGGCAATCAGCGTTTGCCAGCGGCGGAGTTCGTTCAACCGCCACTCTGCTGTTGAACTGGGGCTTGCATTACTTCCACCCCCCCCCACCCCGGCGGCTCCCACTACTTCCTCCACTATCCGAGGGATTGCCTATGAGTGACGTTCACACCGTGCCGGCTTGTGCGCGAGACCGTAAGCCTGGCTCAATCTTTCTTCGGCTCAAGTGAACCAATTGGCAGCTGAGATATGACATCTCGGGCACGTCGAATTGAAATTTGGTTCCGGCCTTTAGCGAGGTGTGTTCGGTGCGTTTGTTATTGGGAGGGCCCCCTCCCACTCCCCTATCTCCCCCTCTCTCCTCTCTCTCCTCTCTCCTCTCTCCTCTCTCCTCTCTCCTCTCTCCTCTCTCCTCTCTCCTCTCTCCTCTCTCCTCTCTCCTCTCTCCTCTCTCCTCTCTCCTCTCTCTCCTCTCTCTCCCTTCTCTCCCCGCTCTCTCCCCTCACATCTTTCTCTCCCTCTCCCTCTCCCTCTCCCCTTGCCGGCCAAGAAGCTTGCCTGTTCGAACACGTGCCCCGGCGTGCGTATCAACACGCGTGTGTCTAGCTTTCGTAGCCATAGTCTCGACAAGGCCTCCATCCTCGGGACACTTAGGGGGGCCATCTCGAGGATCGCATTCTTTCCCACTTACCGTGGAGTACAACTCAAAAGCTCAAAAGGTCCAAGAGATTCCCCAAGACCCTGGGGCCCTGGGGGTGCCTCGTCTCGCGACGAGGATGGGCCTTGGCAGTGCGAGATTCCGACATTGTTGCTTTGGTGCGCAGAAGGGAGGATTCTGATTTTTTGGAGGATTTTGGCTGGTGCTTGTGGGTTTGCTTATGTTGGCTTAATTATAAAGCTTCCCTCATTGCTTTGGGAATGGGGAAAGGAGGGGCCGGGGGCTGGGTGGCCCCTTTTGGCCTCCGGACAGCAGGGGGTTGCTGGAGTTAAGGGCAAGGTGGTCGAAGAACATCTGCATCATACCCTAAACCCAAAACCCTAAACCCTGAACCCTAAACCCTAAACCCGAAACCCCAAACCCCAAACCCCAAAGTCCGTCAGTAGGCAAGCCAAGGGCCATGGGAAGGAACAGGCTGGCAGCTGTGTCGGTAGGCCTGAGAAAGCATGGGGGAGGTGGCGCAAGAACGGCAGCATCTACAACCTCAGTACTTTGTAGCTGAGTACAACGAAACCCTATGGCCTGTCTTTGCGAGTTTGACTATAGTGACTATAGTTGACAGCTCAAGCCTCGTCATCAGGAAGCTGCAAATCTAAGCGGGTTGCATGGTTGTTAAGAGTTTGTGGGTAATTTGGAGCCAAGGAGAAGACCAGTGCCATGGTGGACTTGTTGAACTGCCGACAGTGGCTGCGAGCCTACGACGGCGCGCTCCTTGAGCAGGAATCAGTTTCCTGGGTGTCGGCTTTAGGAGCAGCAGTGGGGTGGGTTTAGGGATTAGGGTTTAGAGTTTCCGATCAGCTTCTCCGATCAGGGCTTACTCGCGTAGGGCGTAGGCTCACCGATCATGCGCTGCACCAAACCGTTTGTGCAGCAGAGCCTCCAGGTATCCTGTGCAGCACGTGCGCAGCACGTTTGATGACGCGTGGTCCAAGTTCCTCGAGACAGAGATGCATTTGGAGATTTCTGGCACTGGCGTGTGATTTTTTGGTATTGGGCGTCGAACAAGCAAGGAGAAGCGGACAACCTTCGTCATATACAAGAATGACACCCAGTGGATGGCGCGCTACATGGGAGAACTCACGAAGGTCCTTGAGCAAAATGCGCCGGACTTCTTTATGTTGCACAGCACTACATGACCGTACGGCTGAGTACAGTGCAGGATACTAATTACAGTGCATGGCGTTACCTTATCTTCTGCTATGTGATATGATAACACAAGATTATATGCACATGTGTTGTGAGTTGTGGCAGAACATGTTCTTCGTTGGGGCTCGAATGAATTCGGGAGTCGTAGTGTGGGGAGGCGAAGAAGCTTAACAAAAGAAATCTCTTGCCGCATTCGGATGATATTCCTTCAACCGCTAAGCCCTTAAAGGGGGCGCAGGCCCTGCAACTCTACACCTCCCCCAAAGCCCTCCAACTCCAAAGGTCCTGGGGATCCTTTTCGGCGGCTATGCAGTCGTGCAACACCAGCAGAGTGGGGAAGGCCACATGACGATCGGCCGGTTTACGGTGTTCCCAGCCTGGGTCTGGCAACTTTGTTCCGACCTCGTTTCGCTTGAAAGCCCCTTGCAGGACTCCGCTCGTCTCATCCCCCCACCCCCCCACCCCCCCACCCCCCCACCCCCCCACCCCCCCCCACCCCCCCCACCCCCCTACCCCCCCCCACCCCCCCACCCCCACCCCCCCACCCCCACCACCCCCCCACCCCCCCACCCCCCCACCCCCCCACCCCCCCCCCCCCTTTTTGTTCTCCCCCAACCAAAGCACTTCAAGACCCTGGCCCGAGAGCGCCAGGTTGGTCCAAAGGCCCCCTGCACGAATCACCCTAAGCCCGAAGTCCCTGATGTAGCGAGGTTCGTCAGCCTGTACAATATCATTGTGGACGTGCTCTACAGTTTCATTGAGGCATGGGACGGCCTGGTCTATGCGGGGATACTTGTGGAGGAGCTTGCCAAGTTCATCAACCGGCCCAGCCGGTGGCTCCACCATCTATCCGACGAGCCCGTCGACCCGCAGGAGCATCCGATAATGCAAGGATCCTTCACCATCAAGCTGGATTCGATAGGCGTGGATCTGGATGTATCGCCGCGAAAGCAGGGGCGGATGGATGCGGGCATCCCCTTGGGCCGCACCTATGGCCTGCGGACCCAGAACGACGCCAGCTCCCTGCGCCGTCAGCTCGGCCCCCCGGCTTTTCCCAGCCTTGCTCTGCCAAATGTCACCCGACCCCGAAAACTCCTCCGCTTTGTGCAAGTGTGAGAGCCGAAATCGCATCGAAGTCCCTCAAGCCTCCCCAAGATGTACCCTGAACCCTAAACCCTAAACCGTAAAGCCTAAACCCTAAACCCTAAGCAGGACTGTCCACCCTGCAAGGTGAGATCCTGGGCGGACTGCGGATCCCTTCTGGAAAGATCGACCTGGTCAGCTGCGCCAGGCTACAAACCCTGTAGGCCCTAAACCTTCCAAACACTATACGCCCTATAAACCCCCATGAGGTTAGTCGCTTAGTCTTGAACCTTTTAAGGCCTATACACCCCCATGATCACCCCTGAAAGCCCTACAACTCCCCCCTGATGAAGGCCAGAAGCCCTCTAAAGACCCCGTGATAAGCCTCATACAGCCCTCGAGGTTCTTGCTGCTCAAACCTCCGGTCACCTTGGCTGCGGGAACCGTCCTCGAAAATCTGCTGCGCGGCTTCGGAGACATCGCTCTTTCTGCTCTTGGGCCTCTTGGGTAGTTCTGCAGTCTCGAGTCCAAGTCAACAAAATCCGAAAAACCCGACAAGGCTGGCCAATGCGGCCGCTTGGGTTCGGGCCAGTGACGTTGTGGCCGCTGGGAAGAAGGAGGGCCTTGGGATGGGTGCTTTCACAGTGGGTACTACGTCCTCCTGCAAGAGGTGCGGCCGTTAGGTCGAGACAGGTGCAAAAGCTGAGGCACTTCTGGCCCTGTTGGGCATTCCGCTGCCCCCGCCTGCTGGGGCCCAGCCGCGGCACGCACTGGACCCAGCCGCCCTGCTCCAGGCATCTTCCCGACATGCGACGTGCGAGAGCCCTCCTGCTTTTGTCGCCTTATGCATCGTTATGTGCGGTGCCCTGCGTCCCGTGCTGTGCAACCTTGCCCGGCCATGAATACAGAGATGAACATGCTGTAGGCTTGTGCAACATGTTGCTGGTGCCTTATAAGGGTTCCCGAAGGTTCTGGGGCACCGCCCTAAGGGTTCCCAGAATTTCTTGCGCGCCAGCGATTGGAGTCAGGCCCTGAGAGACGCCGCCGACCAGCATGGGGCCCCGTCCCCCAAGCTGAAGAGCGAAGCGATCCACGCCCACTGCACCTGGCCCCCAGTCTGCTTTGGTACTTGAGAACCCCAAACCCTAAACCCTAAACCCTAAACACTTCCGGTTTGCCTTTGCTTCGGGGTCATCGGGCTGTCTTTGGTGCTCGCTCAATGTGACGGCATTTTTCAAGGCTGGAACGAGGCATCTTTGCAGAAGTCCTGATCATGGTTGTGCTTGGATGAGCGCTCCGCCCTTGACTGTCCAGTAACCCGATAGCCCCAGTCGTTTGTGTTTCACAGCTTCATCTTTACACGAATGTTCTCTATCCAGGTTCCGTGATCGCTGCCTGGAGTCTGACATCGATGTGTTGTCACCAATCGCACGCGCAGAGGACTTGGCTTTGAATGGCTTCAAGTCGCGGCTTCGGGCAAATTAGCAAGAGACACTTGTGAATCCTCCTAAATCTATGAATCCCCGAAATATTATCGTCGAAGAGAAGATAAGGCACTAATGACAGATGCGGGATGAAGTTGGTTTGAAGGAGCTCCTTCAGCCCTCCGAGAAGTTCCTCTTCGACATCGCTCGCGGCCTCCTGGCGGACCCGGAGGTGTTGGTGGTGCAGGACCCAAGGAGTATTCGACAGGCTCTGTTATCTAATATATACTATAAAAAATTGTATATATATATATATTGCATATGTATATATATATACAATATCAGTATATCATATATAGCATCATCTATCATAGATCACATATCATTTCTCTTCACGCTTGAGAGTCTACGGGCGTCGGGAGCCAGCGATCTTCGGGTGCAGCGCTTGCTCAGGGTTTCTGAAGTGTTTAGGGTTTAGGGTTTGGGGCTTAGGGTTTAGGGTTTAGGGTTTAGGGTTTAGGGTACTTCAGTTCGACTAGTTTAGAGTTGACCGAGCGCCCACCGGCCCAAGCTGCAAGACCAACAAGACCAACACGCAAAGCCTGATTCAGTTTCGTTCCTGTTGGGGGGATGGGGGATAATGACGGCAACATGGTCTTTCAACCAAGGCTAGCAAGCAGTATCCCACGCTCCCTCTGTCTTAAGCCCTACACCTGGAACAAGCTTTGAACCCCAAACCCTACGCCCTACGCCATCTATTTCTGCTCCAGGATATTCTGGGGGTGCTTCCGCTGCCCCTGGCGCGGAACGCTCTGCAGATCCTCTGGCTGTGGCAGCGACTAGGAGGTCTGAAGGGGGCCGCCCTGCTCGGATAGATCACAGCTTTGCTGGTGTTATAGTGGTTGTATTCTTACCATCATTATTGTGGCTACCACATCTTTTGTAGAATGTATCATGCATAAGGTAGAACGCAAGATGTAACATATAACATGCAATACATTGTACACACATGCTCTCTGCCCAGAAGCCGCCGTGCAATGATCACCAAGTATGCCTCGCAGCTAGCAATTTATACTCTGTAAACCCTAAACCCTAAACCCTAAACCCTAAACCCTAGACCCTAAACCCTAAACCCTAAACCCTAAACCCTAAACCCTAAACCCTAAACCCTAAACCCTAAACCCTAAACCCTAAACCCTAAGCCCTAAGCCCTAAACCCTAAACCTAAACCTAAACCCTAAACCCTAAACCCTAAAACCCTTAACCCTAAACCCTGAACCCTGAACCCTGAACCCTGAACCCGAAACCCTAAACCCTAAACCCCTAAACCCTAAACCCTAAACCCTAAACCCTAAACCCTAAACCCTAAACCCTAAACCCTAAACCCTAAACCCTATCAGTCAAGGTCATCCTGGGCTTGGAGGGCGGCGCCCCAGCGCCTTCGTCCTCTTTTCCTGCGTGGCTCACGCCCTGCGGTGGACTCCCCCGTGCCCGGAGCTGTATGTTGTGTCGCAAGTTGTGGTGGCCCCCTAAACCCCTAAACTTTTGTGTACCTGGAACCCTTGTGGTTGTTTTGAAAAGCTTTGAAAAGATTTGAGTTTGACTTGAGAAGCCGAGGCACCGTGTTCATTTCAGAGTCCGCGATCGTGTGCGCTGGGCTTCACCTGAGTCTCGTATAGCATTGCTTGTTTTTGCTTCCGGGGTTCCATATTGAAGACCGGAGGGACCAAACTTATGAACGCTGCGCCGCGCCCGATCGCTTCGGCCCGGCCCGAAAATCTCCAAAGAGGCAAGCACCTTTTCGGCTTCAGGCTGTTGTTGGGCATGTTGCTAAGGCCCCGCCGAAGCCCCCCCAACCCCCCCTCTAACCCCCCCCTAACCCCCCCAGCCCCCCCCTACCCCCCCCTCCCTAACCCCCCCCCTAACCCCCCCCCTAACCCCCCCCCCTCCCCTAACCCCCCCCCTCCCCCCCCCCCCTCCCCTAACCCCCCCCCCCCTAAACCCCCCCCCCCCCCGCCTCCAACCAACGCCCCGCGGCCGGGGTTGAGCCTATGCCAAAAGCCCACAATTTCCTTAAAAGCATCACAAAATGATTCGGTTTTCTCATTGGTTCTTAGTAGGGAATCAGGGAATGAGGTACCCTACGTAATTCATTGCATTGGTATGTGTTGAGGGATGCAAGGGTACCACATTCCCTCATTCCCCACCAAGAGCCAGTATGTTTTGCTTGCATGAAACCCAAGGACGTATAAAGTAGCAAAACATAATTTTTTGAAGGATGGGACAAGCCCAGGGAAGATGTTGCAAAGGTGGTTAAAAGTTGCGGAAAAGACCCCTGTAAGGAGCCAGCACATTGACGCCTGGCTGCTGTTACAGCCCGGAAGCTTGGAAATCGTTGAGGGCGCCCTCGACGACTGACGGCTCAGATGACACTAGTCTTTCCCCCTTGGGAAGATGGCGGGACCTGCGGGACCAGCAGTGATCCGAGACTTGATTCGAGAGAAAAAAAGGTAGCACAAAGCCAGCAAGCTGCCACACACCAGTCACCGAGCCTGCCGAGCGTGACCGTGTTTCCCCTGTGGACCCAGAAAGCACTCAGCCCTTAAGCCGAAGCACTCTTCACGCTTGTGTGCGTTCGTCGCATCCGGCAGCATATTGGTTGCGCCGCTGCAGAGTCGGCATGTGTCCTGTATTTTTGTAAACTAATGCATGTGTGGTTTAGGGGGTTAGAGCTACGGCTACGGCCTCGACCTTCCACTCATCCACCCTCCCTCTCCCTTTCACCTGCTAGCCTGCTAGACTAGGGACAAGTCTGCGAACGTACACAAATTGTCCGCTCCTGGCAAGCCTGTGTTCTCTGAGCCGACATGCCCACCTCATCCCTCAACCGGCAGCCTGAGGCGGATTGCGAGATGCAGCCGGCCTCTTCAAGCTCTCCCTCGCCAACGGGTCCGATGAACCGTTCTCCCACGCCGCGCGCTTGAAAGGCTCACAAAAGCCAGGCTCTAAGATTCCAGCTCCTGGATGCCAAATCCGATGGAAGCCGCTGAGGTCGGCATCTGCCACAGGGGACCTGCCAGATCTGACGCAGCGTGCGCCCGGCTCGGTTGCACCATATGACGGCCGGACAGCGAGGGGTTGGGTTGAGGGGCTTGGACTTAAGCCTCGGAGTGCGAGAGAGCGCCCCTCTGTCTGGCTAAGCGCAGTCAGTGTTGCAAAAGAGAGGGGGGTTCCTGGCGGGTCCACTGTGCCACTGGCTAATCATGGCAGGGATTATGTCCATGGGACTCTACGAGGAGTATCAGCTCCCTGGCTGCCTTTCCAGAGAAAGCGCCCCCTCCCCCTCGAAAATCCCGAAACATCCTAAACCACTAGGTTGTTTGGCTTTCGGGATGCTCTATACTCCCTCCCCTAGGTTCCTCTCCTTAAATAACCCTAAACAGGCTTAACTCTCCCAAAATGGCCCTAGTCATGGAGGGTTTAGGGTTCAAGCCCGAGGAAATTCCGGGCCGGCAACTTGGCCTGGCGTCAAGGGAATGCTGGCGGTGCGCGGGGTGAGCTCACGGTGCAGGCCGATGCCCCGTTTACCCAAAGAGCCCAATAAACCTGAAGACAAGGAATGCATCACATGAAGGACCCCTGTATAGTGTAAGGTTTCTTCCTGAATGAGGGGGTATTGGGCTCTCTGGGTAGTGCTCGAGCCCCTCGGACCCCAAGATTGAAAGCCAAAGAGCGGCAGGCCCTTCGGACAGAAGAGCAGCGGAACAGGACTTGGTGAGTGAAAGTCCGTGAATTCCTGGGTGGCATCGCTAGCATCGTTCGTGGCTGTGTTCAACGTAGGCCGAGGTCCTAGCATCGAAACGCACAAGAGTTGGGATCGGCGCCTTGATACCCCAAAAAGGCCAAGAGGTGGGTGCCCGTCGCCTTAGGCCCTTAGGCACCCTTTCCGGAGCCCTTGGGCAGTACGCATCCCAAACTTTCACTGGAGGGCTGGGGCTTCGAGATGGGTACGAGCCCCTAAACCCTAAACCCTAAAACCCTAAAACCCTAAAACCCTAAAACCCTAAAACCCTAAAACCCTAAAACCCTAAAACCCTAAAACCCTAAAACCCTAAAACCCTAAAACCCTAAAACCCCCTAAAACCCTAAAACCCTAAAACCCTAAAACCCTAAAACCCTAAAACCCTAAAACCCTAAAACCCTAAAACCCTAAACCCTAAACCCTAAACCCTAAACCCTAAACATTGTGTGGTGGCAGGACCTTTCAAACTTTTTTCCCGACCTTCGAAGCTTGGCACTGGCGGCGGACGGCCTCCTACTGGACCCTCTGGGGGCACTCAGCCCCAAAGCAGCCCTTCTTGCCATACCCCCGAGCGGTTGAAGCAAAGCAGTGGAATCCCCAAGCACCTTGAGCCCTTCTCCTCTTTGAAGCTTAGGCGAGGCAAGGGCGGAACCATCACTTCCCAAAACCCGAGCGAGGCGATGAACAACAACCCCCTTAGTGACGCTGGGCCCAGGATCGCAATTTTCTTCACGGAGGGGTCGCTGCTTTTCGTGCTGGGCAGCTTTTTCGGCTTTGCGGGGGAAAGCGGCCCAGTCGCAGATGTGAGCCTTGTAATCCTACCGGCCTTTACAACAAGCCGAATAAAACCTGGAAGTGCAGCTCAGAAGTCCCACGCAACTGGGGTTCTATAGAGACAAAGATGCGAAACTGTACAGTGCCAAGGCCCATCACCTTTCAACTTCGTTGCAGGAACCGCTCCCACACCCTGTGCCCCTGTGCCGGACGCTTTTGGTGCTCTTCAGCTTTCCAACGCCCAACGCCCAGGGTTCAGGGCTTGGGGTTTAGGGTTTGACCCTAAACCCTAAACCCTAACCCCTAAACCCTAAACCCTAAAACCCTAAAACCCTAAACCCAAAACCCTAAACCCTAAACCAACCCTAAACCAACCCTAAACCCTAAACCCACAGCAAAACCTGAAGGCGGCTGGCGAGCCAGTGGCAACGCCCACGTCGATGCCCATCTCGTGAAGGCGAAGTCTGCAAAGTTTGCAGGGATTAGGGTTTAGGGTTTGGGGTTTAGGGTTTAGGGGCTGCTTCGACCCATCCACCTGTGCCGACAAAAACAAAGGCCAGTTCGGGGCCCTACGCTTTCTTCTCTTGTAGTGATGCCCAGCCGTTCAGCCTGACGAAAGCCCACTCGCCACCAGGAATTCTCGGAACCTCCTGAGGGCCCTGATATGTCGGGCCTCACCCCCGCCCCTACCCCCCACATGAGAAAGGATCATGACATCGGACAGCACGAACAGAGTCCTGGGGAGGCCTTGAGCGTTTGGCCATCCCTTTTTGGCTCGGTTTTCTTCAGCTGCGGCGCGATTCTCATGTGCCTGGAGACGATGCCCCCTTGCTGGACTTGGGGTTCGGCCCTAAACCCTAAAGGCCCTAAAGGCCCTAAAGGCCCTAAAGGCCCTAAACCCTAAACCCTAAACCCTAGACCCTAAACCCTAAACCCTAAACCCTAAATATGAGACCTCTTGCTGCGATCACATGACCTCATGACACCACCGTGAACATGACAAAACACCCTGACCGACCAGACTCAAAACCATCTCAGCACTCCGAACGAGATTCAAAACAATATCTAAATTTCTGAATCTCGATCGGAGTACTTTTAGACGGTGTGTCATGAATCTCGTTCGGAGTATTCTTAGATGGTGCTGGTTCGGAGTACTTTTAGATGGTGTGTCTTGAATTTCGTTCGGAGTACTTTTAGATGGTGTCTTGCATTTCGTCTAAACCCTGAACCCTAAACCGTCAGAGCCTTAGTGCTGAGGCTCTGGCAGGTCAAAGAGCATGGTCCCTTACCTTCTTTCAAGGGTTCTGAAGTCTGGGCCCTTGGGCTACTATAGGGTATATCAGGGGCCCCCTTTTGAGAACCTATATCAAGGCGGACCATGTACCTACCCTGAGAACAGGGTCTTCAGGGTCTTCAGAGGTTTTAGGCCCCCAATACCTGTCTTGGCAACATCAGGAACGTGCTGCGGCCGATTGGCTCCTGGACCTTCCAAATCTTCAACGTCAAGAACATCTTTGCCACCTGTCTGTGCTCAGGTCTGTCGATGAAGAAAAGTAAAAATATAGAACATATAAATATAGAGATGTACATGAATCAAAAGTGTGTGTATATATATATATATTTTTTTTTATACACGCACACACCCTTTTCTGTGTTCGGGAGAGAGAATGAAATCCGTCGTGTCGGTGAAGATGTTTTGAATGCACAGTTGACAGAACGGAAAGCCACACTCTCAGACAGACATTTCTGTGTTTTTCGTGTAACCGGCTTTCTTCATATTTGCAGGAAGGGCGCTCAATCTGTATGTAGTAAGCTAGATGCGCTCTCATCTTTGCAACGTTTATGAGCCAGTGAGGGGCCCTGGTATTTCGTCTTAAAACGAGGAGGACCTCTCACTACGAAAGCAAATCAAAGGCATCCTGCAATTCCTTATCAAGTCAGACAAGCTGTCCCATGACCGCCAATAAGGCTGCCAATACATCTCTTATGATCATTTTTTAAACCGCGCGTCTTTCTTATGTGTAAGCAAGTCAAACTTTAGCTTCAGTCATAGAAGAAGTAGTTTCTCATCTTTGGAGCACAGCAACGTGGACCCATCTCCTGACGACACCACCCCCCTCCCCCCCAAACAAGAAAAATAGGATTCCCTGATAATAGGGACCCCAACAAGGTACCCCAATAAGGTACCCCTAACAGGCGACAAGAGGGCGATCTGCACATGTCAAAAATGCGGTGCGTGTAGTATGGATCCAGCGCTTCAACTCACTTTGACCTTTGTTGTCAAGAACCGGATATCTTTCCCATGTCGTATGAAGAAGCAGCAAGGGACTCTGCGGCCTTCTTCTTGTCATAGTTCACAGCGAAGAGGCTTTCGTATTACCGTTTACGAAGCACTCGAGTTCGTGCAGCAAGCTTCTTTGTGATTACGGTTGCTGCTGAGAGCCCCATCGGATATAGCACTTGTCAAGAAAAGTAACGGCTCTCGTGAAAAAAACCCTCAGACTATTGGGTGGTTTCTCAAGGAGGAGCCCTTTCTTTCCTTGTCACGGCAAACCGTTCTAGTGTCTAATCCAGAGGAATCAAGCTCGTGGGAGACTCAAAGCACACAGCCCATGCACTGAAAGACACGGCAGCTACAGGCCGTCCGCGCGCAGCATCCTCCGAAGTAACTGTCGTGCTCTCGAGGTTTTGGGCAGCATACATCGCCCCAAAACACTGAGACTTCACAGCATTTCGACCTGCTGAGCTCCAGAAGCAGAAAAAAATGGTGGATCATGGGGGGGGGAGGCTGTGGAGCGGGGGCCCGGAGGGTCCGGGGGGGGGGGGGGGGGGGTGGCACCTTTAGTCTACATATATACATATTTCTGAATATCTAAGTATGACCGTTAATCTACAGGTATATATATATATATACATATATATATACATGTATATGCACATGCATATTTACATATGCACATGCATAGGTGTTTTGACTGCCCTTTCTACATTTTGAGGCGTACTTGGACAGCTGCCACGCCACGAACCCCGAAATTGGCAGCTCCTCGGACAAAAGGTGAGGCCAAAACCCTAAACCCTAAACTAAACGCCCTATCATTGATTCCTGCTGAGTGGCTCGTGCAGCTATGCGGGTGCCAAAAAAACCCTAGAACCCTAAACCCTAAACTTCGAGAACCAGCCTGGCTGGTCTCCTTGGCGGGCATCAAGCAGAGACACTGCAGTGCAGAGTTTCGGCACTTGCGAGAGGTCTTATGTCTTGAGCCGGAACTCCCATAGAAAGACATAGACATGCCCTTTGATGCTTCCAGGAGTGCCCTACTTGGCGTCCATGTCCTACTTCGCCAGGGGCCCTGATGGGTACAATTCGGCTTTTCTTGCAGGGTTGACCCCAAACTAAACCCTTGATCCCAGAGGGGGTCTGCTAGGCGGGTGGCTTAAGCCACTTGACGCAGTTGGGGCAGAAGATGTGGGTGTGTAAGGATCGCGGCAACAAAGGCCTCTCTTCAGGGTGCTTCTTGGGGGGGAGGGGGGGGCTCAAGGCGGCCCAGAGTGTCTTGTAGTGCCTGAGCCCCTCCCTGATCTGACAAGGTGGGCACCTGTATCTATCCCATTGCAGTGATCGCCAACCTTTTCCAGCACCTAAATCCCGACATGGAGCTGTCCCTCAGCTGCAAAAGGGAAGGGGGTTGCAGAAAAGGGTACCCAACTACCCCTGTTTATCTCTGGCTGCTAGCTCACATGCGTCTGTCAAGGGGCAGGGAAGCTCAGAACTTTCGTGTTCAGGCTGCGGTGCAGGATTGCAGGGGGACTGTGAGCATGACACTTTGAGTTGGGCACCTTTGGCTCCCCTAACACCTGGGAAGGTTCTTCTCCACAGTCCCTTATGCAGCTGGAGGCATGGATGTGGTGCGTTTCCTTAAGCCCCAAAACCCTCAAACCACCCCTAAGCCTAAACCCTAACTTAAACCCCAAACCCTAAACCCCTAAACCCTACCCCCAAACCCTAAACCCCAAACCGTAAACCCGAAACCCGAAGTCGAAAGCCCCGAAGCAGGGTCTTTCGAACTGTTCAAAGCCCGCCGTAGCCACCCCAAACCCCTGGGAGGCATCTGCTTTGGTGCCGGAGGATTTCTGGAGTGCCTGGAGAACAAGGTTTGGGCTCGACGACGCTGTGCAGTGGGCTGTTCTTTTTGGGGACTCTTTTTGGAGCGATGTGCGTAGGGGGGGGGTGCGGAGGTTGTGCGGATTTTCCGAGCCAGCCTGTCTTGCCTTGCTTCGGCCAATGATGTACTTGAAAGCCTGCCCTGCGAAGTATTGCAGGTGTTCACCTCCATGGACCTGTCCCTCCCGAAGTGTGCATCCTGTCGTGTTGATGGTTTGTGGTAGCGTGTTCTTTCAGTCGGCTCAGCTTTTAGTTCAAGGATGGTCGGGTAACGTGGCTTCGGACTTCAGAGAACACCTGGTAGGCTTGGGTGCTGTCTGAGATGAGGTTCTTTGCTTTTCAACCTGGCGTTGTGGCTTCGTACCATCACCACCGCCGCCACCACCACCACGACTTCCAGACATGGTTTTACACCCTCGACGCCCTCAAGCCCTAAACCCCAAAGACAGCGGCGAGTAAACGAGTAAAGCCCAAACAACAACACAAACCCTAAACACACAAAACCCTCAAAACAGAAGCCCTAACCCGGTACCCGAAAGAACAGGAACCCTAAATCCTAACAACAGTGTCAGCTAAGGCGGCGCTGCTTAACTTCGTAGGCCAGAGGGGGGGGGGGAGGGATTGGGCCGTGTTTGGTCGTGGAACGGAAGGGGCTTGGTAGGTTTTTGTTTGGGGTCTGAACCCTTCAAACCCTTAAAACCGGGCCGAGGGGTGTACCTGCTGGTCCTCTCCATGTGGCTCCCCAAAACACCCCCTTACCTTTGAAGCCGTCCTCAACTGCAGGTGGCGTCCTGTTCACTGCTGGAGGGTTCATTTTGCCACTTGGTATTGGGCCTTGGGGGTTAAGGGCTTGGAGGTGGGCGATGCGTGGCCTCTATTTGTTTCAGCTTCGGTTACGATGGGAGCTTGGATTGCTCGAGCCCAGGAGGTGGAAGCCTATATGGAGTCTACGGGGCCTTTTGGCATGTCGAACATGCTGCTTTCGAACTGACAGGTTTGCGCCCCACATGGGGGCAGAGAGCAACATGCTCTTCACTGTGGGCTCGGTGATGTACACCGTGGCCAGCAGCCTTTCAGCCACTCTGGCACGAAGTGTGTTGCATCAGCAGTTTGTGGGGTTTTGGGGCCATGTATTGGGCGTGGCCAGCAGCATTCGTAGAAAGCCCCCTGGTGGGTTTCATGTGCAGTGCTCAGCACCACGTTGCTCCCAAAAGACCGGGCACCAGTTCGTTGCTCGAGTGAGTTGGGGGGGGGGGGTGTGCATGGGGGTGCCAAGGTGATCATGTGGAAGGACCGGGGGCTTGCTTTCCAGGTGTTCGTTTTGGGCTGCGTGTTTGCGACTCTCACCCTTACCATCCCTGAGTGCCGTTTCAGAATTCGAAGAGTCGAAGTGGAAATTTACGAACATACGGGACCCTTCAACCAAACAGTGGGATTCCCCTTACAATGAGGACCCCAAAAAGGTACCCCTAGTTTAAACCCCCCAAGTGTCGCCTTGCAGCAGTCGGCCATGGCCACGGCCAGATCATCGCAAGCGGACCTGTGTGTGCGAGGTGTGGCCATGCAACCCATTCCTACAAGACAGAGCCCCTCCCCCACCCCCGCGGAGCCACAGGCTCCGCAGTCCCAGGCAAGGGCATGCCCAGCTCAGGAAAGCAAACCAGTGGGAGAGTGGCTCCGCGTTTTCTGCCCGGGCTTCGCGCACACGCTCCTTCTGCGGGAGGATGCAGATATAACTACCACGGAAATCCATGTCTCGAGCTGGTGGGATGAGGAGTTCGACTACACGGACTCGGTCCAATGGCAGAAGCGCACCCTGCGCTGCGTGCCTGCCCTGGGGCCTTATGCCGGTGAGGAGCAGCTCTTCGAGTACGATGCTCACCCGGAAGAGGTGCGCTGGGCGGGGCACACCTACCCAAGTGAGCGCTGTGGGCCTGGGGAGCCGGGCCGGTCCCGGCTCCTGAAAAGCTGCCTGCTTCTCCTCATGCGTGAAGCAGGCCAAGTAGGTCAGTTCCGCCAAGCACAGCCGGCTCAGCCTCTGAATCCTCTGGCGCGGGCAGCCCTGCTTCCGGGGGCGGCTGCAATCGCTCAAGGCCTGGGCTGGCGCGACGCCGGACTTCAACAGGCGGCCGCACGGGTGCAGGGCTTCCTGGCCGGCCACATTCACGTGGAGGTGGAAGATTTGGAGGGTATTTTAGTGGAGTTCCCGATGCCGGAAGGCAGCAGCTGTGCCGAGCTCTACCATGCTACCGCCGCCGCCTTCTTTCAGAGCGGCCGTCCTTTGGCCGACTTTATCTTGTCCCTACGGGATGGCTCTGCCCTTCTAAGCACGTCGCCCCGCGTGGGCATGGATCAGCCTTCCCTGAGGAGTGCAGCGGAAGGGAATCAGCTGCTGGGGCTCCGACATAGCCTAAAACGCGTTGTTCAAGAGTCTGCCAGCGTGTCGACCTGGCCACCCTCCGTGCCAGTAGTGGTGCATGATCTATCTGGTGCACTCCTAGCTGAGCTGTCGTTGCCCGTAGGGGCTGGAGCAGCTGATTGCAAGGCCAGGCTGCGGAAACTTCTCTCGCGCCAGGAGCCGGACGAGTGCATGCACTTGGTGCACGAGAGCGGCCAGTGGGAGGACCAACTCCTAGGTCAACTGCTGGACAATGCGGACAATGCGGGCATGGCACGTCTCACACTGGTTTGGGCCTCGGCATTTCAGTACGTCGCCGTGCCGGTTGCCAGCGAGGCCCGCATCCTGGCTGGGCGCGGCGTCTACCGATCGCCCGCCGAGCTCCCAGCGAGGGAGCCGGGCACGAGCCGCGTGGGGTTCCGTGTCAGCCATGATAGCCATGCCGGCAGCTCCGCTTGCGCTGGGGCGGCCAAACTGCAAGCCTTTCGCAGTCATCGTCAACAAAGGGAGCCGGCGCAGGTAAGAAAGCTGGCCGACGCCTTGCCGAATCTGGACCATGACGACGCTGCGGCCGCGGGGCCTGGGGGTTCGCCGAGTGCGCTGCACGTCTTCGAGCTGGGCCCGGAGGTCGTGGAGATGGTGGTGAATGTCACGTCAGACGAGAATCAGGTGGGTGGCTCCTTCTTCAATCTCGTGGTCCCGGCGCAAGCCAGCAGCTGCGTGCTTCGGTCTTTCCTGGCTCAGAGATTCTGTGGGTCTTCCATGGCCTCAGTCCGACTTGCTCTCTTCATGGCAAAGTTCGATGCTGTTGCCTTCAAGGACTTGAGGTGTTACCTCCGGGAGGAGCCATCCACCAAGGGTTTCACTCTCAGCCAGTAGCCTTGGACAGACTTCAGCCATCTCCTGCAGCATTGCGCGTGGACTGCCTCGGCCCGGCTGAAGAATTTGGAAGCCCGTTTGCTAGGGGAGTCCCAGGAGATTCCTGGACACTTGTTTCGCAGAAAGGGGGCCAAAGGGGGCCCGGAAGGTTCCAGGAGGTTCCTAGATGCTAGGGTCCTGGAAGTTCAGGAATCCATTCTGGAGAGTCCAGGTTCTGTTGAAAAGGAAATAGGAGGGGCCTTTGGGTCATTGGGGGGTCTCTTTCCTTCGTTTACCAGTCCTTTGAATCACTTTTTGGGCCTTAGCTGCCGACCCTCTGCGGTTGTAGCACACTATTGAAGACCTATGGGTTGTTGTATGCATCTGTCAAACAGAAAGATGCTCATGTGGGAACATGCTTGTGAAGTCTCCAAAAAGATGGTTGCAAATGCACATATCTCTGTATTCAAGATACAGATGATATGGGTAAAGGAAAGTAAGTGAATATATACATGTACACATATATATTTATGTATATATATATATATATATATATTATACATATATGCTAGATGTATATCATGCTAAAGACATATATGTTCGCCCCGCCGAATTCCCCTTGGAGTCGAAAGGCTCTACTCCTCAAAGCTTCAGGCCTCCGTAGGGTCCCAGTCGCAGGACGAGCAGTTCGGGCTGGCGTACCTGGCCGCCTTGAATCACCTCGGTGGACAGGCGGCAGATAGGGTTAATGAGCTCTTTCCACCTTCAACACTAAACCCTAGAGTCAAGGGCGAGGCCAAATTCAAAACCCTAAGCCTAAAACCCGAATTAACTTTGACTTTGCTTGGTTTGCAGGTATGGGTTTTGTATGCTCTTGGTTAGTGCTCAAATGAACAGCCCTGGGGCCCGCCCAAAGCCATCCCACATTTCCTAAACTTGGGCTCTAGCATGTCTCGGACCTTTCCCCGTAAACGCTTGCGACACGGGCGGGAAGAAACCAAAAACCCTAAATAAACGCGTCGCAGGCCCGGCACTCCTTCATTGCGGGCAGCACGCCGCCGGAGTCGCGGACCTTTTCGGCCCGGCGCCCTGGGTTTGGCACAGTGGTTCATCGTGGTTCCGGCCCCCACGGAATCCCCGTTTCAAATGTTTCAAAGCCGCCTGAGTCGCGAAAAGGTTTAAGGTTAGCCGTGGCGAAGGTGTGCTTCAGGGACTTTATGTCGCTGGAGACATGGTTTGCGGCAGTTTGTGGTGGTTGGGCTTGCGGCTTGCGGCTTTGGAGTTGTGGGTTCACAGACGAACCGCGACATTCGATGAAGGCTGCTGGTTCTTTCGGCAATTCTTCTGTCTTCCTGGCTTTTGGTTGCGTATGGCGGCAATCAGGCTGCCAACGGACAAATTTTGGGGCCTCTTGGGCACATGATCCAAGAACTCTCGAGATCTCTTTGCCGTGGCATGCCGTGGCATGCTGCGGCATGCTGTGGCCATGAGACATACCCTGACATCTGCCCAAGCCCATCCCAGCGGAAGCTGCAAGAGCGTATGGCGAACTAAGGTCAGGGGAATCGTGTTCATCCACCTCTACTGCATCGTGTCCGTAGTTGTGCCTCGGCCAGAACTTAGTGGGCGGTTCTTGGATCCAAAGCCCGCAGCCGACAGAGGCACCATATTGGGTGTTCCGAAGATAGGGTTATACGGGTATATGAAGGGTACCCTTTATTTGGGGAATGTCCCATATCTATATGTTCTGAGGTATGAAACTGGCCCCGCATTGGGGCTTGAGATGTGATCATTCCAAGACAGCTGGATAGATCTTTATGGGGTCATCAGCCCAAAACTCTCTCTCTCTCTCTCTGTCTGTCTGTCGCTCTTTCTATGTGTATATTGTGACATAGAAGTCTACATCTAATCTGGTCTACTGTAATTTCATACAAGTGCAGAGTATACCTCCGAACTCCAAAAGGCGGTCATGAACTTCTGCCTGGCCCTCAACCACTTCATGGCTCTGCCGGCCGTGGATACCTTGGCTCGCGCTGGCAATGCCTGCCGCCGAGTTTGTCCCAGGGCTCTGGGATATGTATGAGGTTGGCCTGCAGGGTTTAGGTTGTAGGGTTTAGGGTTCAGGGTTGTAATGGGGACACCGTGTGTGGCTTCAGAGCCGGGGGCCGCTCATCAGCCTCCTGGCTTGCGCAAAAAGGCAGCCTAGCCGGGCACGCGCAACAAAAACACCTACGTCTTTCCACCTAACTGCTTAAATTGAAGTTGATCTTGGCTTGACGCTTGCGAGGATCACAGCTGCTCGAATTAAAAGGGAGTACAGCCGATGCTCTAAACCTCGGGATCTCTCTAAACCTTGCAAGCTGAAGGGCCCAGCCGCGAGTGCTTGCCAGGAGTTCCTGCCCTTCTTATGGCTCCACATTGTCTTGCTCATCCATTCCGCAGTCGTCAAGACTCCGAAGACCCAGCCCTTCCATGTGGCCTGGCCGCGACAAGCATTGATTTCGGGTTGGGCGAGGCCTTCGCGAAGACCCATCGTGCAGTGCCTGCTGAAGTCGCAAGGCCCTGGAGATTCGAAGTTGGGAATCAATCAACAAAGCATGTCAGATTTTCATCCCAGGGTTCGGACGGATCCGCAAACAGCTTTGGGGGGCCATTTTGGCTTCGCGCCCAGAGTTTCCAAGGCTGTGCTGATGGCCATGCGCTGTGTGACCGTGGCAGCCTGGCTGGGTGAACGGCAGAACCCTCATAACCTCATAACCCTCCCAGCACTCAAGTAAGGTTCCAGAGTGTTCGTTTCCTGTGCCCTTAAACCGTGGGTCTATGCCTTGGGCGTAGAAGGTTACGGCCTCTACTGGAGCTGAGTGTTTGGGTGTGGGAGGCGAACTTAATCCCCTATAGAACTGAAAGTGTACACTTTTTTGGGGCTTATGAACTCAGCAACTAAGCTGAAGATCCTTGGGGCCTGGCGGGGGATTGCAGGCTTTGCCTGGATATGCCGAATCATTTGATTGGGGACCTTGCAGTGCTCCCCACAGTGCGCGAGTGCTGGGCGCGTGGCAAATAAGTCCTCAAGGCCCTAACGGCCCTAAACCCTCAACCCTATCTAGCTTTGAGCACCTGAGCCGTGGCACCAACACCCCACGAGCCCCAGCAACGCCAAGAGCACTGGATGTTGATAGCCGCCTCCCAAATCTCCCTCAGCTCTCCCCCTTCCTCCCTCTCTCTCTCTCTCTCCTGCTCCCCTCTCTCCCTTTTTGAAACTAGGTAGGCCCTTGGGACATTTTAAATTTTCCCTTCTTGGGTTAAGAGGGAATGCTTTTCAGAGGGTTTTAAGGCCCATCCTAGAAAAGTATCACCTCCTCGCTGAGGTGATCATGATCATGGCCGTGGCAACGTTCGTTGCAGGCTGCGATGAGTCGCGGAACTTTTTGCTTGTCCCCGTTCTCTCATCTCAGCATGTGTCAGAAAAACCCAGATCTACCGCTCAAAGATCCCAAGCCCCCCGAACCCGATCCTTCCCTGAGCCCCAAACCCTCCAAAAAAGAAACCCTAAACCCCTAAACCCCTAAACCCCATAACCTAAAAACCCTAAACCCTCCACCCTATACCCGAAAAAAACCATAAAACCCCATATACTAAAAACCTATACGCTACAAACTGCAAACTATAAAACCTATAAGCTAAGCTATGGAACCCTAAACCCGAAACCCTAAACCCTAAACCCTAAACCCTAAACCCTAAACCCCAAACCCCAAACCCTAAACCCTAAACCCGAAACCCGAAACCCTAAACCCTAAACTCTGAACCCTAAACCCTAAACCCTAAACCCGAAACCCTAAACCCTAAACCCAAAACCCTAGTACTGCAGACTTGGAGGCTTGCTGCACCCGCCGCCACCTCCAGGAGACCGGCGCCCTCTCAGGGCGCCCTGGCGCTGGGCCCGAAAGAGAGCGGCTTGGCGCAGGGGACTTCGGGGAGTTTAGGGTTTAGGGTTAGGAATCCCTAAAAACGACCCCCTAATAGTAGGATCCCCTTATAATAAGGGCCCCAATAGGGTACGCCGAATTTCGGAAACCCCACTTGTGGCAAGAGTTCTTGAGAGTTGTTTGCTCTGCTCTTGGGAAGACAAAGCTTCTTTCGAGCGTGAACACAAAGCTGGAAACGCCTGATGGTTTAGGGTTTTGGGTTTAGGACCCAGAAGACCCCTTAGAACGACATCCAAGGACAGCCCCGAGCTTCACGACCTGCTGTACCCTTGGTGAACACGGGAGCGAGAGGCCCGGGAGCGCGAGACACATGTGGCACAGGTGGGTTCGCCGCTGAGGGGGCGGTGTTCCTCGATTTTTCGTTCAAGCACATGGCTGCTGGCATCCCTTAGGGTTTAGGGTTTAGGGTTTAGGGTTTAGGGTTTAGGGTTTAGGGTTACTGGAAGTGCCTTCAGACGACCAAGAGTCGGTAATGAGAATTGGAGCCTCGTCTTGGGTTCCAGTGGCCGCAGTGTTTGCATCAATCCTCCTCCTAGTAGCTGTGCAGCGCGCGGAATCTTGCAGATTGCTGTTGCCCAGAGGAAGGGGATTTCGCTCCCAGAGGAAGGGGACTTAAACCCCAAACCACCCTAAACCCTAAACCCTGGCTCCTGGCAAAAGCGAGGGAAAGCGGCAGCAATCTGAATAGATTCTCCGACAGACGAGCGCTAGGCTTCGTGGAACATTGGCGCGTCGTCAGCGTGGGGGGGTTCCCCTACTGCACCCTGATTAGTTAACAAATTACCCGACATGGGCAAACCAACAAAACAACACAAACATCTACAGACAGAAACAATATCATAACAACAGTCGTTTTTTTGTTTCGTCCACCCAACGCCTTCTCCGGGGTAGGCAAGCCCAGGAGAAGTAGATCCCAATGAAAACTTCCCGCTGGAGCCCAACCCGGCGGGCAGAGGCTTTGAGGGACCCTAAAGCCCAAACCCTAACCAAGCCCTAAACCCTAAACCCTAAGCCCTAAGCCCTAAGCCCTAAGCCCTAAACCCTAAACCCTAAACCCTAAGCCCTAAACCCTAAACCCTAAACCCTAAACCCTAAACCCTACAGGGTTTCAGCGCCGGTCCATACGGGCGGGGGCCTCAGGTGCCATGCTTGGTCCCTACAGCTGCCGTTTCCTCGAACCTTCCACGGCCTTTAGCTATAGGCTTTAAGGCTGGAAGAAGGGTTTAGGGTTTAGGGTTTAGGGTTTAGGGTTAAGGGTTAAGGGTTAAGGGTTCCTAGTCAAGCAAAGCGAGGCTTTGATGACTCCCAGTTCCGAACCCACAAAGGCCAAGACAAACATACCCATGCCTGCTCAGCTAGGCCTTGTTGCCAGGCTCCAGTAGTTTTAGTTTATAAAGAAATTCATGCGCAGAGCAATCTACCACAGCCTCTTCAGACCCTGGACGCTTTTCTGGGCAAGAAGGCCCCCGTGAGGATGATGCTTGAAGCCATGCGGCGCGCGCTTCTCTTCCTGATTCTGCAGGCAGGATGTCTCACCTGGCACCTCAGGTGTTTGGGGATGTCGTGGTGTGTCGTGGTGTTGTGGGCCCACTAAGCGATCACCCGGGTGAAGGTGTGCTAAGCACAGGCTTGGCGGGTGGCAAAAAACCCTAAACTTTCCTTATTCGAGCATATTCCCGCACATGGCTTCACAGAAGCGCCCGGCCCCCTTCCGCCCTCCTTTGCAGGGAGCTGCCGCCAAGCCTCGGAAGCTTTTTGAGATTGGCAGCAAGGACAAGGACACCCCTGGGAGAAGAAGCTCTTGGGTATATGTGTCTGTGTGTGTGTGTGTGTGTGTGTGTCGGCGGTTTGCTGTTGTGCTTTATTTTCCAGACTCCTCACAAGCCTTGTAGCTGAAACTCGATGAGCACGAGAACTACCAGTTCCAGCCTACTCCGACCTTTAGACTCTGGGGTGGCTTCGTTGCTTCAGGGCGTTTGCGTTGACGAATTGGGATGTTCCCCCTCATGCTAACAGACAGTCCTTAATAGGGATTGTAAGGTACCCCTAGAATCCCCATGAAGGACAGTCAGCATAAAGGGGGGAACATCCCAGGTGAGGCATTTCCGTCTTTCGCTTGCTGAGGAGGTGGGTCTGGACCCTTTCTACGAGGGGAACATGGAGCCCTGGGGTGTAGTATGCATTGGCTACGTGAAGCAGGACCACGCCCCCTCTGTATCGAGGGTTTAGGGATGTGTAGGGTTCAGGGTTTGGGGTTTAGCGTCTAGGGTTTGGGCTCAAAAAAGGTTTTTTGGAGTCCGCTCTTTTCCCTTAAAGAGCCCAGTTCATCCAGTTCAGGGGAGTGGAAGAACACGAAGCCCTAAATCTTCGCCACCTAGTCATCTTGCGATGTGGATGTCGCCCCGGCTGTGCAGCAGGGGAAAAGAAGCCACGCCGTAGTCTACTGCAGAAGTAGTCTTCGCGGTTGCGCCGGACAATGAGTTGCATCCCTGTGGGGTGGTTCGTCCAGAAAACACAAACCCGCAAGGGTTTAGGAGTCATAGGGCGGCTATCAGGCTCCATGTGAGCAACGAGGCACCTGAGTGCAGGTGGTTCCGCGTTCTGGGCCGCGGCCTGCTGGAATCAAGTTGGGCAGCATGCCGGTCCGAAGTTCACCCCAAGACTCGGAGGGCTTAGAACCACGATGCACCTCCGCTCCTCGTATTGTCCGGAGGAATGAGCCCGGAAATAAGGTAGCATAAGGTTTGATGTATAAGGTGTAGTGACAGACTAGTATAGTAAATAGAGAAAGGGATGTATATATGAATACGAATATATATATATATATATATATATATATATAGATAGATATAGATATAGATATAGATATAGATATAGATATAAGTATACATACAATTATAAATATGGATATTTGAGGTATTTATTAAGAAGCATATCAAATCTAGCCTTTTTGCGCAATCTTTATATTCCACATCGTGCCTCACTAGCCCTAAACCTTAAACCCTAAGCCCTAAACCCTAAACCCGCAGCAGGCTTCTCGCCTCCAAAGCCCGGAAGCAGGACTCACCAAACCACCGGCTGCTGGAGAAGCTGGGCGCAAACACCGAGGAGGACAAGGAGCCCGCAGTAGATTCTTTTTGGGGTTTAGGGTTTAGGCTTTGAGGTTTAGGGTTTAAGGTTTAGGGTTCGTTGCAAAAAGGTTTAGGGTTGGGGTTTAGGGTTTGAGGTTTAGGGTTCTTACGTTCCGGGTTAGGGGTTTACGGTTTTGGGTGTTGGGTTTGGGTTGAGGGTTTCGGGTTCAGGGTTGAGGGTTTAGGGTTTAGGGTTCAGCAAGCTTGTCCGAGTCTGTGCTCAAAAAGGTTGAGGGCGGTACCCTTTTGGGGCTTCCTATGACAAGGATTGTGGTATGTTAGGGCGGGTTCAAAGGAAGACCCCCATTTTTGGGGATACGCAGGGCCTAGCGGCAAGGCTTCGCGTTTTGGGCTAGGCGGGCAGCGCGCTCTGCAGTTCCGCAAGCAGGGCCCCTTGGAGCATATGATCCCCACCAAAGCTAGCTGGGTACAGTAGGGGTGAGCGGCAAAGAACTCCCCACGCCTGGACGTTCCAGCCATGCGCAACAGAGGTCAGACTGAGCCTAGTCGTAACCGAGCCGAGCTCCTGCGCTGACGAGAACTTTCGAAGTGGTGGACGCATCGTCTCACCTCCCGACCACGAAACAAGGACTCCTATCCGTCCTATCCTGCCCGGAGGCGTGCCGGCAGCTCATTCGCTTTGAAAGACTTCGCCGACCGAAGTGGGCACTCCCCTCCCCCCCACCCCAGCTGAAATCCTTTGAATTTATTTGTTCCAATGCTTTGCAAGGGGTCTGTATGGTGCTCATCTTTCAAGGGGCAGGTCAACAACAGACCCAGGGTGCAGCCGAGTAGGATATGTCTCTGTCTGTGTGTGCTCTGCGGCTCGGGATTGGTGAGAGCTCGGTATGCATCGGGTAGCATAACAGGGTGCAGATACAGTACAGGAACTGGAGAACTGAGCTCCTGGACCTGGAATTTTGGTAGCTGTGTGGATATGGGCTCTCGTTGTTTTGGGGTTGGGATGTTGCAGGGCGGAGCTTTGTCCCACCGTGCTCGCTTTTTTGCGATGTTTTCTCCAGCCGCATGGACTCGACTCTGTCCTCTCTTCTGGCTTCCAGAGCGTGTCTCCCCGCCTAGTCCTGCAGTGCTGTGGCCCTAAACCCTAAACCCCAAACCCTAGACCCTCTACTTGGGCCCGTGCTGCTCAGATTCGTGGCTGTGGCACGTAAGACCGGAGCCTTGCCCCCTGGAAGCCCGAAACGCCGAAATCCTGCAATTGAATAAGGGGGGTTAGGGGGGGGGGGTTTAAGGGGCTTTCGGGGGTTCATGGGGGGGGCTTACGGGGGTTTTGGGGGGGTTTAGGGGGGCTTACTGGGTTTTAGGGGGGGTTTATAAGGGGGGGTTGAGGGGGGCTTGGGTGGTTTTTGGGGGGGGTTTATCAGGGCTTATAAGGGGGGTTTAGGGTTTTTTTTTTAAAGGGGGGTTTTGGGCCGGGGTTTAGGGGGGGTTTCTAAGGAGGGTTTAGGGGGGTTTGGGGGATGCTTCGTCGGCTCTGAAGGAGCTCTGGGACCTCCAGATGCCCATGGCCGCCGTCATCGACTGGGAGGAGGAGGAGTCCTTGCAGAGCCTGGGCTTCCTGACCCTGAACCCTGAACCCTGAACCCTGAACCCTGAACCCTGAACCCTGAACCCTGAACCCTGAACCCTAAACCCTAAACCCTAAACCCTAAACCCTAAACCCTAAACCCTAAACGAGGATGCAAGGAGGTCCTGAGGGTTTTGCACTCGGAGCTTGCCAGGGATGGGTCCAAGAACTCGGATCTTGTGTCCACCCCTCCTTGCACAGCAGGGTGCACGCTGCAACGTAAGAAGGTTTCCTGGTTTCCTTCCAAGTTCCCCATGAGCATCGGCCGCCGTCTCCGAGTGAGGATCGTGCGGCGGAACTACGCAGCCAAGCTCTGGGACATGTTGCAGCAGCCTCCAATGGATGCTGCACCAGTCACTTTTCCAGGCCTCACCCCTCGGAGTTCGTGGAATCTGGTGCCTAGTTGGTGCTTAGTTGTTGCTCTGGGATCTGGGATCTACCTTGGAAGTCGATCCCCCGGAAGCTCTCATCCCCTCTTTTCGCGAGGCAAAGGTGGCAAAAAGTGGAAGGAGAAGGACTTGAATCATGAGAACCCTCTCGTGCGACATTGTCAGACAAGTAGCACAAGCTTCTGTTCTTTCTGTTTTGTGCAATTTCGCATTGTCGGTTTTGTGCGATTCGGCGTTCTTGGCTTCTTTGTGTCTTAACTTCAAGCTTTGGTGGTTCTTGACATGCCTTGCTTGAAAGTCGCCAATGCAAATCATGACGGCCGAGCCAAACAGTTTTACATGGGCCCATGTCGCCCCACTTGTGCAGAGACACGACCTCACTAGCTCTTCAACGAGGAAGCCAGGCAAAGTCATCCGATTGTGAGACCCAGCATGGTCCGGCATATTTTAAAATGCTTAAGTACGTCTCATGGTAGTCGATTATAGTATTATAGCATATATTATACTACAGCATATTCTTTTGAGTCGAGTAACTTCAAAAGATTCGAATCCGGTCTAGGAGTGCTCGCGGCCCCCACGTAAGGGCCGCAGCGCCCCCGAGAGCTCCAAGGGAGCTTCCGGCAGGAGGTGCGAGCCTGGCTCCTGGAGCATGCCTTCCCCACCATCAACTACAGGGTGCCAGGCTCGCAGGGGTTTGGGGACTTTTGGGGAGTTTGGGGAGTTTGCGGAGTTTGGGGAGTTTGGGGAGTTTGGGGGGTTTTGGGTTTATGGTTTGGGGTTTAGGGTTTAGTGTTTCGGGTTTAGGGTTTCAGGTTTCGGGTTTAGAGTTTAGGGCTTGAGCCTGGGTTCAAAAAACAAGGGTTTAGGGTTTAGGGTTTAGGGTTTAGGGTTCGCAAGAGGGAACGGGGGGTGAAGGCGGGAGGGGGAGGGGAGGAAGGGCCTCTGATTGAAGGATCTCGAGGTGTGAGAGCCCCACAAATGTCGCGAGCTGGCTCACAAGGGTTTAGGGTTTAGGGTTTAGGGTTTAGGGTTTAGGGTTTAGGGTTTAGGGTTTAGGGCAGGCTACCAGGGAAAGCAGAACCCCTTCCCCTTCGACAAGTACTTCGGCAAGTCCAACACCGGTGGTGTCGGCCTGGTCTTTGTGAAAATCAAGGACACGGGGCACAGCCATAAACCATGTAGCAAGCGCATTGAGCCATAAACAACTCAGATTGTGCAAGATCGCGCCATGATAACGAAGAAAAGCCGAATGACTGCTACACCACATTGGACCAACATGAGCCAGAAAACACCTCAACTAAGCTTCAGGTTCTGAGGCTTAGGAGTTTTCCGAGAGATGCAAGAAACCCGGATCAGCCACATGTGCAACGTGCGATGTTTGAGGACCCAAAGTCGATCCGTGAGCACGGCAAGACCCTAAGCACTGAACCTGCAGAAGCCCGCATTTGGGGCTTTCTCCTAGCTTTGCGCAGTGTGGCGAGGAGCTCTGGGGTGTGAGAGCTTTCGCAGAGTGAGGCTGTGAGCCATTTCAGGGGGCCTCAGTGAAGAACGTGTAAGGGAAGCCAAGAATACCAAAGAAATCCAGAAGCCAAAACGGCCCCGAAGCAATGCACCATTGCGGTCCCTTCTTGTAGTGAGGACATCAACGACTTCGGTCCTCAGTTTCGGGCGATCCGCTACATGAGACCACACATGGTGTCTCGGCTCCTAATGCCTAAAGCCCTAAACCCTAAACCCTAAACCCTGAACCCTGAACCCTATGGCTCCGACCAGCGAGTCGTTACCCTTTTTTGGTTCGGGGCGTGCGCAAGTGTGCGGAAATCAGCTGGCGACCGTTGTCAAGGAGAAGTTGTATGGCAAGATCCGCTTTGCCGTGGTCGAAAAAACAGCTGCTGGGCTTCTAAGAGAAGGTGCGGCCCCCTGCCTCACCTTATCTTTGTTTATTTCCACTGTACATGTGCAGCCCCCGAACACTCCTACATGCGTCATGTGGGTGTGTGTGCGTGTGTGACAAGGATGCATGCCACTTCGCATTTGCAACTATGCCAATGAAAGCCCCGAGAGTTTAACAAGGCGAGCAGCATAAATACAACAATCACTTCTGGAGATGATTCTGAGGCAAAGACGAAGGAGATGAGAGAGGCGCTCAAGGTTGGGTGACCAAGCAGAACTTCAGGGGTAGCGGTGAATTGGCTTGGGATTTTGATGAAGACACCGCTGATTGCTAGCCAACATTTTGCACCCACAAAGGGTTTCCGGTTCAGACGCATTTCTTTCTACTGGGCATTGCTGCATGGCAGATCTTCTGGAATCGGTGCAACGGGGATGCTGTACACGCCTAGAAGCCAACATTATCACCCTCACCTGCGACCAAAGTGCGCACGCAACAGAAGTGACGCACGTGGGCTGGACGCCTCAGCTTTTGGCCCTCAGTCGGTAGTTGCTCTCAACTAGAGTAATGTAGAATACCATCCTCATGAACCAGGCTTCTACCACCCTAAACCCTAAACCCTAAACCCTAAACCCTAAACCCTAGACCCTAGACCCTAGACCCTAAACCCTAAACCCTAAACCCTAAACCCTAAACCCTAAACCCTAAACCCTAGACCCTAGACCCTAGACCCTAGACCCTAGACCCTAAACCCTAAACCCTCCTCCCCCCCACCCAGGTTAAACGAGAGCCTGGAAAGCGAGCTCGTCCTCTTTAGCGACCTCGAAGGCTTGGGCGACCGGGCGCCGGTCGGGAACCACTTTCATGGGAATCCTCGGAAGCGCCTGGGCATACTCGAGTAATACAGGGTTTAGTGTTTAGGGTTTAGGGTTTATTTGTTTGGGTTTAGGGCTCAGGGATATAGTAATGGAGTAGTATAGAGCAGAATAAAGAGCAAGAGAGTAGTAGAGTATTCGAGTGAGAGAGCAATAGAGTATTCGAGGAGGAGAGTAATGGAGCAATGGGAATATAGCAATCTCGATGGTAGTTCAGGAGCATTAATATGGTAATATAGTAAGATAGTATACGAATATTGTATGGCCCAAACAAAGGTGGAGTTCAGGTTAGGTTGAACCTTGAACCCTGAGCCTTAACCCTTCTAACCGACCCCAGTTGCACAAACCTTCTACCATTGGTGGGCGAGTTTCAACGAATTTTCCCCCGAGGCTGGGACCCCGTAGTGGCCAGACCGGTGAGCAGTGATCGTTCTGGGCTCCGTCCGTTCCACGTGACGGGAACCGGAACCCGAAGTGCATTCCAAGCGTTCGACTAGCAGTGCTGGGTAAGGGGTTTCGGGTTTAGGAAGTTGCGGCGTTCTTCCCCCCGATGAGTGCGAAGGGGAAATCCCCCCAAAATCGAAAACTGCACGGGCGCGTGCGAAACCCGAGGCCCTGAAAATAGTCGACCAAACGCTTCAACCCCAAACCCCATCCCCCAACTACCATGAACAAGTGCCCAGTCAGGTACCGTCTTACCGACCTCAGTGAGGAGTCCGTCAACTCCTTCTTCGAGGCCAAGCTTTGGGGGGGATTCTGGATTGTAGAATTGTCGTACATTACACCTTGGGGGCGGGAGCCAGGGGGTTGTGGGGCACTTTTTGCCAGATTCCTCTTCTCCTAAAGGATGCTTCGAGGTGCCAGCTCCATGGACTTCAAGATCAACCCAAGCTCTCTCGGGCGCAAAGAAAGCCCAGGCCTACTACGACGGCAAGCTGCCGACCTACTGGGCCTCCCTGGACGAAGCCGGCAAGGCCCCCCCCCCCCCCCCCCGACTTTTTGGGCCTTGGGGCCTTGTGGGTGTGGTTTTGGGCTTCGGAGTTGAATTTTCAAAGTCTTTGCTTAGGTCTTGTTGGTACATCTCTTCCCTGCCTTGAGCCATTGAAACCTATCCCCCTTCCTATCACGCTTGCGAAAGATGCCAATGCGGAAGGCACCCAAGGATGGCGAGCTGGCAAGCTTCACTTTTGACGAGCAGGTGGAAAGGGGGGTTCAACGGGAAGGTTCGAAGTTATATATGGGGCCGATGCATGGTGCTTGTGTGAAAAAGAAGAAGACGCATGCCGTCGAGCTCCGCCGCAGGCCCGAACTTCAGAATACTGCGATCTTGCAGTCCTCACCTTTGGCCACCATGTTTTTCAAGTTTCGTCATCTAAAGGAGGGGCCCTGTTGCAGATGCATATTTTTGACAGTTTATCTACAGAGGCCCGTCAACGACGCAAGCACAAGCATAACACCTAGGCATGACCAGGATTTTATTGAGGCAGTTTACCAGAGTTTCCTTGAGGCCGCCTTGCGTGGTGGTCCTTTTTGGGTAGACATTCCCCAAAACCTTCAGCAGGAATGATATGAAGACCTCATGGATTCAAGGTCCCAGTGCCCACCCCACAGCCCTCAGCTGTAGCGCGCCCCGGAGGTTTACCAAGCCCCGAAGAAGATGGGGACATTCGCGGCCCTCCCGCAAGTCACAGCCCGTTTTGGCAGCTGGGGGGGCTTCGGGTTTGGGATTTCGGGTTTTGGCGTGGCTTGTGGCGTTCCGCTTTTCCCCACGTGGAGAGAGCTAATTCCCAAACCCTAAGCCCCATAAGCTCTATAAGCCCTTTAAACCATATCAACCCTACATACAAAAACCCTCAACCCTTTAAATCCCAAGCCCGGAGCAAAGGTCGCCTATTTCAACAACGCCAGCGTGGGCTGTGCCGACTGCGAGCGCGGCCGCGAGGCGCCTGCATCCCATCCTCCTCCGGTCAATTAGTGATCCCACCCAGGTACTCTGCAACTTCGGAATGTTTGGCATACACCAAGCTCCTGGTTCACAAAGGCTAGATGCTGCAGAAGCACCACCAAAGAAAGCCCACAAGTGGACAAGTAGTGGGCAACCCTGACATCTCCATCTTCCGGAGCCAAAACCACCAAGAAGTCAAGCCAGGTTCACAGACCCCGAGCATCGCCCTTGAAGCCGGCGTTGTGTTGTTTGAGGCATCCGGCTCAACGTCGCAGGCACAGAAGCTGCACAGTGTCGGGTGGTTGCCATGGCTGCCATCGAAGGCGAGTGGCTCATCAAGTTGGAGCGCGGCTGGAGCACGTGGGTCGTAGGAGAGCAGCCGTTCCGTGGATCCCCGGAAACGTTTCGCTACATGTTCGGCAAGACCGAGTTCCAGGTGGAGTTTCAGAATGAGACGGAGGGCACCTCCACAAACCTCTCAACGGGCAAGTCCCGGCCGCTGTGCTTCGTGGCCAAAGGCCAGGCGCCACCTTCGGACGAAGAAGCTGTCCAACCACCCCAGCCTCAGACACAGACTCTGATCTCGGAGGACAGACCCATGCAGACCACAAAGGTTGACAGCAACTTGCCCACTTGCTGCTACCTTGCAACGAGTGGCACCCAATCCTACGAAGGAGAGTTCCAGTGGTTGATTGAGCTGGAGAAGGGCTGGAGTCCATGGATGCCAGGGAATGAACCCTTCGATGGCAACACGGATGAGCCTTTGCGCTATACCCTCGGCAGGTATGACTTTGAGGTCCACTTTGAGGATGAGAGCCATGGCACACAGACAAACCTCACCTCCGGCAAGGTGCGACGGATCCAGCGCCTGCGCAAAGGAGAGGCCGTTCCTGCGTGGGAGGGTACCGGCATCCGGAGGCGACCCGCGAATGCCGGCGCAGCCGCGATCGCCCAGGCCCCTGCAGAATCTGCAGCTATGGCCGCGCAATCCAACCGGGCGGTAAGGCGCACTGCCGGCTATCCCGCAGCCTCAGCCACAAGCGCACCGGTGAAGGGCGCCCAAAAGTTTGCGCTCCGCACATCCAAGCCAGCCGCAGCTGCAAGACCACAAGTGTCGGAGGCTGCGCACAAGGCAACAACCGTACCAAGTGCCTCGAAAGCTCCGACAACCACGGCGGGCGGCAACGTTCCCCGGTTCATGCGGCCGCTGAAGTCGAAAGCCTGAGAAGGTGCCAGATTCCGGACAGCACAAGCTACCTGTCAGATTCTTCGTTGAGCCCGTGACTTTTCAAGACATGGTGCAACGTCGCTTGATCAGGCATCTGACCTGAGCGAGCGGGAGCATCGCCTAACGAATTGCGCACTCAAGTGCCGAAGTTTGCCGCAAGCGCACCCGGCCGCGGGAAGCACAACGCTTTCTGCGTTCGGGTGGGTCTTGTGGAGTGGTCCTGTTGCTGGTGGGGCGCTTCCTAGAAGCAGCACACTGCCGGCCTTGCTTTTAGACTCTGGACTCTAGACAGAGCCCCCAAAAGCGATGAACCATCCCTGCCGCACCCGTCGCCGAGCATGGCGCAGCAGCTGCACCCCGCCCCTCTCGAGCCCCAGAGAACCCAGAGCAGCCCTCGCAGGCCTGGCGGTTGGTGCAGAAGGAGGCGCTGCCTCTCTCTCCCTCTCTCTCTCTCTATATGTCTATTTGTTTGGTAACTACTATTCTTATTGCTTTTCTTGTCGCTCTTCTTTTGTTAGAGTTATTGTATATATACATATATATAGACACACACACATATATATGTAATGCTCAGATGAATAAACAAAGAATGTATTTTATACACATATGTGTATTTCTATATGTTTGTGTGTGCATGTGTGCGGTGTTCATTTTGTCAAAGAGTTCCGGAAGGCTCCATCGCCCCCCTGGCCAGGTGCGGCTGACCAAGCGACTGCGGGAGCGTGTTCGACTCCTCGCGCTGGACCAGCTCTTGGTCGGAGTTACTTCCTGTATGCTGTAGTTTTCTCAGTATCACTGTATATCACCATACTATTATGATTATGATTATATTATATATGGTCCCGGGCTGCTACCCCCACCCCCCACCCCCTTGGTGTGGGTGTGGTTGGGGTTAGGGTTTGAGGGTTTAGGTTTAAGGATTAGGCCTACCCCCTCCCCCCCCCCCCGGTGTGGTTTGGGGGCTAGGGTTTAGTGTTTAAGGTTTTGGGTTTAGGGTTCGGGGTTTAGGGTCTGAGGTTTAGGCCCGTGGTGCGGTTGGGGGGTTGGGGTTAGGATTTGGGGTTGAAGGTTTAAGAGACCGGCCGCCCGTGCTACCCTGCGCGCCCCCTGTGGTGTGGGTGTGGTTGGGGGGTTAGGGTTTTCGGGTTCAGGGTTTAATGTTTAAAGTTTCAGTTTAGGGTTTACATACGTTTAGGGTTTAAGGTTTGGCCCCCCCTGTGCTGTGAATGGGGGATAATGGGGGGTTGGCGTTTGGGGTTGAAGGTTTTTAGTCTTTAAGGGTGTGAGGTTTAAGTTTGTTTTAAGGTTTAGGGAGAGGCTCGGGGTTTGGGGGAGGGGGGCCGGGGGGCCGCGGAGACCAGGAACGGGTTCCATTCGGGGGGATTGCAGTGGAGGGGGGGGGATACCAGGGGGGGGGGTAGGGCCCGGGAGACCGAGACAGTTTTTTATTTGTTATGTTCGGATTTCGGGTTTGTGGTGTACGAGCCAACGACCAGTTCGACAGCGAACAGCAATCCCTCGACACAACTCAACTCGACACGATCATCAAACTATCAGAAGATGTTTCGTTCCACCTTCCCCCCCTCTCCTCGGGCAAGAAGTAAAAACCTAAACCCGAAAACCCTAACCTCGTAGTCAGACGTTTGTCCAAAAGGCAAAATCCCCCCCCTAAAAGAGAGCCCGCTGCTGCGGTGGGTTCCTTAAGGTCCCGCAATGAGCACGGGGAGCAGCTGGTTCCGGGACGGCTTGCCCAACCCCTGGTGGTGCCCCTCCCGGAAAGTGAGGGTTTTCTCGGGCGCTTTTGTGTGTGTGTGTGTGTGTGTTTTTTTATTTTAGTTTTTTGCGTGTTTTTTTTGTCATGTGTTTAGGGTTGAGGCGCGGGCAATAGCCTGGAAGGAAGAAGGGTTGAGGAGCACAGTGGGATTTTATGTGCAGGGCGTCGGGTCTAAGCGTTGAAAAGGCCGTTCTGAAGGTTCAAAGGTTGGAGCAATTTGAGTCTCTTGTTAGCCTCTCAGACCCTCCAAAAGATGAAACGAGAAGAATTCCTGTAGTGCCCTTAGAAGGAAGACCATCTTCAGTTTTGTTTTTGTGTGTGTGTGTGTGTGTGTTTTTTTTTTTTGGGGGGGGGGGGGTCTTAGCCTCAACCCTGAACCCTAAAAAATCCCTAAACCGTAAACCCTAATTTTTTAGAGAAAGGTGTATTACCCACCGGGCACGGCAGCCCAGCGAAAGAAGCGGCGGCGAGCGACTGGGTTGCAGTCTGGATGGATCCTGGTTCACCCCCAAGCCATATATCCTTGCCAAGGGTTTAGGGTTTAGGGTTTAGGTTTAGGGTTCAGGATGTAGGGTTTAGGGTTTAGAGTTCAGGGTGTAGGGTTTAGGGAGTCCGGATGCAAAAAGGGTTAAGGGTTTATCGTTTAGGGTTTAGGACATCTTCAGCTTTCGATGACATTGCTTGAGTAATCAGTCTTGAGTTGTGTTGATCTGGCAACAAGCTGGATGGATGGATGCTGCGCTGGCCTCAGTTCCAGTCTTAAAAAGGGACATGTTCAACAACAAAATGTTTAAACCTATGCGAGGTGATGCACAAGATGAGCGAGAGCTTCACCAAAGACAGCATTCTTGAGGCGAGTGGGGGTTTCCACCTTCAAATTGGTTGCTTCTTGCTTTCTTGGCTTGCGTGGCTTCTCAACTTCAGGGGGGCTCCGGACTTGTTTCGCTTGGCTTCTCGGCTTGGGGGGTCTCTTGGTTCAAGCCGTAGCCCCGAAACAGGAACGCCGACATGGTCAGGTAAGGAAGGAGTGGGAGTTGCAAGCCCTACAGTCCATCTAAATGCTCGGAGTCGTGGGGGAGTTTGCGGCCAACGAATCCCTCGGGGCGCCAAGCCTTGAACACGAAGGGGGTGTGGTGTGGCAAGCTGAACAGAAGGGACGGTTGCTATTGTGACGTGTAGTTTTGCGCGCCGTGAAGGCATTGTTCAGTAAGTCAGCTACCAGAAGGCAAAGAACCGAGAAGATGTAGTCTGAGAGCTGGCCGCAAGAGTTCCAAGCAAGGGAGGGCCCAAGCATATCCAGGCCAAAATCGAATGCTGGCATATGGGGCAGCAGGCATACCGCGACATCGCCAGCAAAAACATGAAAGAAACAGAAGGATATTCGTAGTTTTTCAAAGCTCTTCTTAGTATGATTCGTACATCATCGGGTTCCTGGCGTTGTTGGAGCTTCTGCTTTGTGAGGGCTTGTGCTTAAGCTTCGCCCCCTCCTTGGCAGTTTCGCCTGTAAGTTCTCCTGTAGGCATCATCCTCATCCGTGCTGTTGGTATTCATGTAAGCCAAGCCAAACCACGCCAGGATCCACAAGGCGCATGATGACGCATGCATCAAGATGCATCAATGATTGTCATCAATGTTATAATGTACATCCGTTCTGCAAGGCTTCGGAAACATGTGGAAACCATTTCCGTGGTGCGCAAGCAATGATCAGTGATCCCGTATGATCCAACCTTTGGATCTACAATTGATATCCCCAAGTAAAGGACATTCGGTCACGCAGTCTGTATTTCTTACGTCTTGGACTATCTACCTGGAACCTGTTTGGGATGGATGGACGCCTGCATTCGTCCTCCGCGTCCTCGGCGTCGTCCTTGGATGTTCTGCCCTATGACATAGATTCGGAGGAATCGGAGGATTCTGAGGATATGGATCGGAGGGATCGGAGACGGCGAACAAACGAAGCAATGGGTCCCATGGGTAGATTCACCTCAATCGTTGAGGCCATTCCGAACCCTTTGTTTGCCAGTGGGCTTGCGCAGGCCCCGTGCCTCTACACGAAAGGTGGCGTTCGGTTAGCCTTGCCCGAGAACTTGGCTGACTTACGAGCTTTGTGCAAGCAGGCGCCATGCGGGCGAGGTACAGAGACCGTCCTTGATCTAGAGGTCCGGCGTAGCAAGGAAACACAAGATGTCGACGTGCTGTGGGATGACTTGGGTCCCGTTCTGTCACAGGCCCGTGCAAGGCTTTGCCCTGACGTGAGGCTCACCGGGACACTCTACAAGGTATTGCTGTATGAGCGAGGAGATTTCTTCCAGGCGCACGTGGACAGCAAGATTTCTGATGATCACATCATGACCCTTGTGGTTGACTGTGGAGGACCTTGTGAGGGCGGTCAGCTGAGCTTTCCGGAGCGTGGTTGTGTGGAAAAGGATCTACCAGCCAAGCGAAATTGGAGATCGGAGTGTTCAGGATCTTGGTGTTGTTTCTTTACCTCTGATTTCCACTCTGTGGAGGAGGTTACTGCAGGGCATCGTGTGATGGTGACCTTCAACATTTTTGGGCATCCAGACCCACAAGAAGATCTCAAGGTGGTGCGTGCTACGAAGAGTCGGGGATCAATGCTGTCGTTGCCGCACCACCTGCGCAAGTTGATGATCATCACAAGTGGCATGCATGGCGTGTATCACTGCAGCTGCTCATGCTCAGCTCTCAGGGACCTTCTAGGTGGACCATCAGAGATTCTGCAGCTTTGGCTAAGTGTATCCCACACGCGCTTGGCAAGAGAGCTTCGAGGACGCACACTTGGTTTTCCCTTCCACAACGCTTACAGTTTTGACAGCTCTGGTGTGTTACGGCCCCATCATTTGAGAGGCCGGGACTGGTCTGTTTACAAGGCGTTGGTGGCACTTGGATTGCACTGCCGCTTGGCGGAGTGTGCGGTGAGTTGTGAAACGAAGAAGCTGTATGTTCCTGGGGAACAGTGGAAGCTTTCCAGAGCTCGTATCGGCCAGGAGATCACAGAGCCTTTGGACCCAGAGCCTTTGGAGAATTCTGCATATCCTCAGAGGACATTTGCGATCCCTTCAGAACTCCGAGACTTAGCCGGAGCTGAGGCCTTGAGCCAGAGGGAGGTGTTCTTCTTGGAAGAGACCAATTCGGAAAATGACATGCCTCTTCCTCGCACTGTTTGGCCTTTCCGCGGCATCACTTGGGCGGTGTCCCGCAGATATTTTAAGGAGCGTTTGCTTCAAGAGTCTAAGTGGGACTCCGTTTCAAAGACGCTCTCGGGCAATCAGGCTGCTTTTCGCATGTTCTACTATCGACGTGCAGCCCTCTTCTGTGAGATGGGACCCCGCAGCCAGAGACGTCACAAGTTCGATCCGGATTTTTACAATAACTCTCCGAGAGGTTTCTCTACTTCAGACAATGAATCTGGAGATGATGAGGTGCTGGAATAACGAGACCTTTGCGGCGCATCGCACGAATGGTTTTGCATTTCCCAGAGTGCACAGGAAGACAGCCAGCTGTGCCCAAAAGGCAAGGTGTCGGGATTGATGTACCTGACTTGGGTTTTTAGGGTTTAGGGTTTAGGGTTTGAGGTTTAGGGTTTAGGGTAGGGTTTAGGGTTTAGGGTGTAGAGTGTAGGGTTAAGGATTTGAGAATTCGGGTTCATGCATCTGGTGGGCATCTTTTTCTCGCAAGGAGCTCTGACCTACGGAACCCTGTACCCTAAACCCTAAACCCACACCCTGTTTTTTGGTGGGGGAAGAGTGTGCAGGGGTTGGGGGCTGGGAGGGGGGCGGAAGGGGGGGGGGGGGGTGGAAGCGGAGTCAGAAGTCAGATGATGAAGACTTGGGCGTTGCTTGGAGAATGTTCGCCATGCCAGTCTAGACACATGTCGACAAGCACATTGACAGCTGCTGAAGGTGGGTTTGGACTAGTTTCTTGTTGTGGCTTTTGTTGGCTTTGGTTGGTGGAGACGTTTCGTCTTTCGTAGATTCGTCACCGGTCAGGGCGCGCAAGGTGAAATCAAGGCAGTGCGTGCGGTTGCCAGCTTCGCGTTTGCGACGACATGTTACCGTGACATTGCAGCGCGTTTTCCTAAGCGTTGGAGAAACAAGCTCTCAGCTGCAATTTCGTAAATGAGGAGCGGCGAGTGGCAAAACCCCTTGATCTTTCCCTGCATCAGCTGCTGCTGGGTAGCGAGACCCCGAACAGCGTGGGAAGTGGCAAGCACTGCAGTTTGCACGAAGGCAAGCCTGCAAATGCTCTAATTCGTCCAGTCTACTTTCCGTGTTGTCTCCCATATCTGAAACAAATTTCAAGCTTCGAATGCCCGCCAACGACGGCCGCAGGTCGTCAATGACATGCTGGAGGACGAGGACGAAGAGGGAGTTGAGGGTGAGGAGGAGCTCTGATGAGCCCCCGCCATTCATTCGCCCATCCCTCAGTTCATTCATTCATTCGTATGTGCATAAAACATGTTAGTGTGGCGCCCACGAAATGCAGTTGGTTCACTGAAATTGGAAGCCAATGTAGGTCGTAGGAGTTTTGAACCGATTTGTCTGCTGACTTGCGTGTGGTGCCAGTGGTACCATGCCAGCCGGCGGAGACATTGGCGTCTTGCCCTTTATACATACCAGCCGGGTGCCCATGCTGCCCATGATCAGAAAGAGGCTGGCACCCAACTTCCGCAGATGCAGCCTACAGCATGCCATGACAGGCTGGAGGAGTAGCCGAAGCCCTCAACTTGAAACTCGAAACCCTGTTGAAACCCTAAACCCCCGAAGCACCATGCCTGCTGTGACGGCTTCGCGACCTGCATGGCTCAACAGAAAGCATACACGGGCCTACATTCATGTCTACAGACATATACACATACACATATCGATGACCACAGGTCCAAGATGCAGCAACGCTGCCTCCACGTGCCTAGGCCCGGATTCAGGATCTTGTGCCCAGAGGCTCCAAAAACCCTGAACTAAGGAATATCCCTTCAACCATAATAGGAACCCTCATAGGGTTTAGGGTAATTAAGGAATATCCCTTCAACCATAAGAGGAACCCTCCTGGGATTTAAGGAAATTTTGGAGTCTCCGGGTGGGTGCTCCGGGAACCACTGCCGCTTCGCCATGGCTACGTGTGGGGCCATCTGCCGACCTGCAGCTCCCGCCCGAGCACAGGGATTGATCTGGGCAGTTCTCCGAAGATTTACATCCCCAGAATGAACCCCCCATAAGCCAGGCAGAGTGATGACATATATATATATATGCATATATCTATAAATAAGTATATATATATATATACATAAAACATATATATTTTTTATTTGTTTATGGTATTCAGCCTCCTGCAAGGGAGGTCTTGCTGGCTCTTCCCAGTCCAGGAGTGCCCGCAGTTTACGCGAGCGTGTCCTTGCAGAGCAAGGAAAAGCCCTCAACCATCTATACTACCCCCCCCCCCCTAGGTTCCCCCCTTAAAGAACCTTGATCAGGCTTAATTATCCCTTAAATGACCTGAATTAGGCTTGATTATCCCTAAATAACCAGCCCTGGGGCCGAACTTGGAAACGAGTTGCCCTTCCGTTCGCTGCAAAGGTGATGGCTGCGCCAGGGTTCCTCAGAGTTCCAGCCGCAGAGCCCCTTGGCACGTCAAAGGTAGGCAGCCTGATGCCTTCCGACGTCGCCAGAGCTGTTTCGAACTCGCCCCGTTCGTGCGGTCTTTGCCCTTGCCTTTTGATGCTCATTCGGCAGTTTCGGGGTGAGGCGATCGCCCATGTTCGGTGTCCAGCAGAGCCTTCATTCTGTAATCTCATTGATTCTACGCCGTATACTCCCTAAACCCTAAACCCTAAACCTTAAACCCTAAACCCTAAACCCTAAACCCTTGTGAGCTTTGCATGGCTTGCAAGCTGTAGGTGGTGACCTTACAGTTGATCCGCACAGGCTTGCAATTGCCAATGGTCTCGTTTCGGATGTATTCAAACAGCCATATAGTAGACATAGCCTAGTGTCGCCGCTCTAACTCACGAGGCACCCGGATGGCAAGAGCCGAGGCAACTCCCTATCATCTTCCCGTGAAAAACCCTATCTATGTCGAGCTAGCTGCCCCTTTCCCCCACCCACCGCCCCAAATCAAGAAGACAAACAAAGATCAAACTCAACAGGCCCCTTGTTGGTGTTTGATTGGGATGCTCCCCCTTATATACCAACAGCCCTTCATAGGGATTATAGTACCCCCGATGACACTCCCTACTAAGGACTGTTGGTCATCTACTGACAGTCCTTAGCAGGGATTATAGGGATTATAGTACCGCCAACTATAATCCCCTACTAAGGACTGTTCGTCTAAGGGGGGAATATCCAGAGTGTCCGATGCCCTAAACCCTAAACCCTAAACCCTAAACCCTAAACCCTAAACCCTAAACCCTCAACCCTAAACCCTAAGCCCCAAACCCCAATAAGGGCCCACGGGGTGGCTCCCAGGAAGCCGGAGGATGCCGATGACTGCTCCGAAGAGTTTAGGCGGCTGCTTGCTTTAGGCCCCTAAAGCCTTATAACCCCCAAAGCCTTCTAACCCCTAAACCCTAAACCCTCAACCCTAAGCCCTAAATCCTAAACCCTAAACCCTAAACCCTAGGGTTTAGGGCTTAGGTTTTAGGGGGACTTTGTTTTCGGCGGAGGGGGGGCTGGAGGGAGGGGGTCAGAGCTCCTGGTTGACAAATCAGGTCTGGGGTTGAGGCGGTACAAAAAGGCCCTCTAGCAAACTGAGCCCGGGTTCTTTACCCTAAACCCTAGACCCCAAACCCCAAACCCCAAACCCCAAACCCCAAACCCTAAACCCTAAACCCCAAACCCTGTGACACTTCCCGCGGCCGTCACTCCTGCTTCCGGATCTCACACTTCTGGGCTTCAAGTTCATGCAGATCCCAACTGCTCATGGACCCCCAGTCCAAGTATGTGCCGCTGTTTTAGGGTTTAGGGTTTAGGGTTTACCGCTTTTTTGTATATCGTATGTTTCTGCAGCCACGCGATCTGACTGTCATGGTGTGCTCCTTTACAGATACCTTCGTGCTCGTAGGCGCCTTATGGAGAAGTTGGCTTCCCTTCATGTGCACGAGCTCGCAAAGCTGAAGAAGGCCCGAAGTCTGCTTGGGAATTTCCTAAAGGATGTTGAGCCCCTTGAGATCAAGAAGTCCTTGACCCCTGAAACCCTGAGGCCCGTTCATCTGAAATGATGGACGGGTAGGGAGGGTAAGACTGAGGGAAGGAGTCCTGTATGGGGCTGTGGAGTGCAGGAGGGTTTGGTTGGTGATGTTCCGCGGCGTGCGCGGTCCGGCGCACAATCCTTGCCTAGTCGGGTGAGTTTTTAATGTGGTTTCAGTCCCGTGCATTTTCGCACTCGCGCTTTGTTTGGCGAAAACGGGGCAGGGAGGTACTCGCCCACTTCGTCACTTCAACAGGGATTTACACTTGGCAATGTTCGGAGTCGCACTCCTCACTTTCCTGTGCGCAAACTCTTCAAGCGCAGAGTAAATGCCTCTGAGATTTCATTGGCTTTCCCAGTCAATTTTCCTTACGCCTTCAGTGGAGGGGAGCCACTTCAGAGCCTGGCGGGCTTAATATGGGGGTCGGAGTGTTTACCTCAAAAGTACTCCACTATACTCCCTATCATTATACAGTCCCCCCCCCAACACCCTACTCTAATTCTTAAGGCCCCTAAACTAATTTTCCGAGGAGCTCCACCTCTTTCAGCAGCGCAGTCTGAACCGGGCTCAGGACGAGGAGGCGCGCGCCAGTGCAAGGTCTTTCTTCGGGCATGTGGGGGGTTACGAAACTAGGGGTACCTTTAAAAGGGTCCTTATTATAAGGGAATTGTAAACGCTTGCGCGCGCCGCCTCGGCAGCCGGGCCGGCCCACGGACAAGAAAGGAGGAAAGAGGGTCTCTGGGAAAGGCCTCAAAAAAAGGGAGGGTCCCAGGAGGGGTCCCAGGGGTCGTCCGGGGGTACCCAAAAAAAAGGTTTCAGGAGGGCGTCCTCAAAAAGTCCCTGAAGCGCCCCCTCTAGAGGAGCCGCCGACAGACGGGACCCCCCACGGCATCGGTTTGCAGCGGGGGGCATCACAGAACTTGGCAGGGGGGCAAACGGTTGGGTTAGGGGGAAAGAGACCAGATCCGTGTCTGCTTGTTCCAAACGCTTCTCCGCAAAAAACCGAGGCGAATATTAGGGGTCCCCTTTTTTTGTAAACCCCCATAGGCTCAGGGGTGACACGCGCTGCGTCCTGGCAGCGTTTAGCTGAGGCCGGTGTTAAGAGCTGAGCCCCCCTTTTTGAAGATTTCCCCGCAGGGCAGCATGGTTTCTTGATGGTCTGCCCCTTCTTCAACCCCTTTGACCAGGGGGCCACCCTCCCTAAACCCCAAACCTTGAACCCTATAAGCCCTAAACCCTAAACCCTAAACCCTAAACGGGTGGCAAAAAAAAACCTAAACCCTAAACCCTAAACCTGGCTCAGTTCAGGTTGTCCCAGAGCCTTCTGACCACGGCCGGCTCTCTCCAAGAGCCACCTGGCTTCTAGCTTCCATTTTTGTTCGGTTTCATCTGGCCATGTTGGCAAAGTGGCCCCACGTGCGGCAAAGTGCGAAATCGCGCCGTTGGCCTTTTGGCCTTCCGGAGGGTCCGACTCTGTTTGGCCTGCAACTGGTGTCAAAGGTGCCAGTGGGCGAACCACCGCACGCAGCGCGGCAGCCGCACCAAAGGCCACATATGGCCGTGCACCCAGACTGGCAGCTTGTGAGTGTTTGTGTTGTGTGCAAAAGTTGTTTGGTGCCCTCTTGACCTGCTGCCAAAGACACTGACAAGAATTGACCGGGCCCCTGAAGGCTGTTGCGATGTGTTGCGATAGGGTTGCCCACTCCGGAATCTGCCACAGTTCTTGCTGCTCATCTTCTCGGTGTCGCTCTTCTGGTTTTCTGTGCTCTTGTGAATTCCACATCTCCACACACAAAGGCTAGCAGAACGAATGAGCGCGGCTCCATGATGTTGTCAGGCCATGCCAAAAGCTCTGCCCGAGGTGCGGAACATGACCATTTCGAGCCGATTGGCTTCGGTCTCCGAGAAGGATGCGGAGGCGTGTGAGCAACATGTTTGGCAGAGAAAGGGTTCATGTGCCAAACATGGCCATTACAATTGAGTCTGAATCCTTGCACCCTACCAAGTTCCTACCCTCAGCACACACACCCACACTGCGAATTCGCAAGCGTAGAAGCGCTTTGGATTTCCTCTGTCACGACTAGGTCTAGGTGTATCGTCTTGACTAGCCTAGCCTAGCAACACACGTGAACGCGACCAGTGTGAACTCCAGACCAGCCCTAAACCCTAAGCCCTAAGCCCTAAACCGTAAACCCTATAACCCTAAACCCTAAAACAAGCCGCCGCAAATTTCCGAAACGGAGCGCGAAAGCCTCCAACCCACCGAGCGGGAGTCGACACGGCCTCGAAACCATGTGGTTAAACCATCTTCAAACCATCCCTAAACCCTAAACCCTAAACCCTAAACCCTACACCCTGAACCCTGAACCCTGAACCCTGAACCCTGAACCCTGAACCCTGAACCCTGAACCCTGAACCCTGAACCCTAACCCTCACTCTTCCAGGATTCGCCTCGGCACGAGCCGAGCCCTCAGGCAATTACGCAGGCGGCAGAGGAGCACCCGAAAGCATCGTTGTCAGGGCATGAGGAGGGTTTAGGGTTTAGGGTTTAGGGTTTAGGGTTTAGGGTGAATATGGTCCAATAACAGATAGGACGGTTTTTCAAAACATGTATGCATGTATAGTGTCTTGATGTGCCATATATATATATATATATGGATCATGCCAGGAGGACGTGCTTGTTGGATTTATGGCTTGGGGCATATTGGGGCATCAGGTTGAGAGCAACTTGACCTGACAAGGGCACTCAGTAGCCATAAACCCTAAACCCTAAACCCTAAACCCTAAACCGTTCAAACCCTAAACCCTAAACCCTAAACCCTAAACCCTAAACCCTAAACCCTAAACCCTAAACCCTAGACCCGAAGGTGGCAGAACCCTTCTCCCAGGAGCTGCAGATTGAGCTGAGCTCGATGCTGCAAGGAAAGCCCTACGAGCCGACCGCGGAAGCTCCATCAGCGGGTTTGTGAGGGTTTAGGGTTTAGGGTTTAGGGTTTAGGGTTTAGGGTTTAGGGTTTAGGGTTTAGGGTTTAGGGTTTAGGGTTTAGGGTTTAGGGTTTCCAGCTTCAAAAGGGTTTAGGGTTTAGGGTTTCGGGTTTAGTTAGGGTTTAGGGTTTAGGGCTCCATGGTGTTTCATCCGGTCCCTTGTGGCGTCTTGAGGGTGGCTTGTTGCAAAGTCGGCTTTGGGGTTCAGGCAATTCTCTGGCTTTCGGCGAAGAACGCAAATTTCCCTCCTAGGAGCAAGTCACGGGGATTTTTGGTTGGCTCTTTGTGGCCTGTTGTCCGTTTTCGGGCATCATTAGTGGCCCGTTCGACTCCGCTTGTGCGAAATTTTGTCGTCCCAGGATGACAACTCATGGATGGGCCGTCTCCGACATGGCTTAGCCACCCCGGAGTACGAGCTGCTCGGACATTCTCAACCTCATACCCCTCCACACACTCAGGCCCCCCCATGGGTTTAAGTTTTTCCGCGGCAACTTCAGACAGATACAGTGCCGGTGTGCAATTTTGCAGATCAAGCACCGCGCGCAAACAACTATGTGGTTGACATCATCCTTCCCGGTTGGCAGTTTCAGCTGGATGCCAGCAACCACCCGCCGTCCCTGATCGGCGGCTCCAGGCATCTAGAATCCAGAATCTAGAGACAAAATGCCATGCGCACCTTGACATTCTGCCAGAGGCTACTGGCTGCTGCAGTTCTAAGGCTTGCCATCACCCTACTCATCTTTTTGAATACCATGGTCATCGGGCTCCAGTTCCAGTGACCCAGCAGAATGCTGAGGGCCTTGGGGGGCTTGCGTGTCTCTTTCTTGTTCTCTCTCTGCCATTTTGGGGTCTACGAACATAAGGGGATAGACCCCAGATGGATTCCCTCACAAAGAGGACCCCAGAAAAGGTACCCTAATGTCGGAAGCCCCCACTTGCGGCACTTTGAATGTTGGTGTCAAGATCCGCGGACTCAGGTATGAGGGCTTCCAGATTGCCCACGCCCTCGGCTTTCCTGGCCACTTGCGCGTTTTGGGAGACGGGGTTGTGCGGTAGTTAGGGCGTTCTCTGTTTAAGCAAGGTTGGATGTTGAGGTCAGGCTCGCTTGCCGAGCTCCCCTGAACGTTGGGGGCAAGTCGGCGAACCGCGAAGCGCATGCTTACTCTCGGATGGGTAGTTGAGGGTTGAGGGTTTAGGGTTTAGGGTTTAGGGCAGTTTAGGGTTTAGGGCTTAGGGGTATCGTTATCAGGTCACAAACCCAAGGCGGCAAAGAACTACCTCAGGCTATGGTACGTCGGCCGATGAGCTGTGGCCTGGTATCCCTACAGCCTTTGATGTGCTGAACCTGGTCTTTACGTGCCTCTGGCTTTACCTTTCACTGCATTTTGGGTGGGGGGGCTTGCGTTGAGTGATTTAGGGTCCGTGTCGGCGTAGAGGCCGCCAATGAGAGAGCCCCAGTACCCTAGAGATAACAGTCTCAGAGGCTGCTCTTCTTCGCCGACGTCCTGTTGCGAGGCAGCCTCTTCTGCGCGGGCCTCGGGGAGAAATTGGGATCTGGGAGGCGAGCCCCAGCACCAAACTCTGAACCCTGAACCCCAAAAACTAATCCCTAAACCTAAACCCGGTGGCGTTTGTCTGATGGTTTGGATTCTTGGAACGGCCTTCACATGGATTCTAGGATCCCCCCAGAGTCAATAACGAGAAGAGGGTTTCGGGGGTTGTAACAGTGTAACTATATAGGGGCCATAAGGGAATACGATTGATTGGTAGTTATTCCGACCCCTCTGCTATGCGGATGCCAAAAACACCTTAGAGTGTTTGTTACAGAACCCTTATGGTACACTCTATATGATCATGGTAAGGGATCACACCAAGGGTCCATCCGGTTGTTTTCAGGTCTTCGAGGATCTGAGCCCTTCTGGGTCTCCTGAACTCTACACCCCGAAACCCTAAACCCGAGACTCTGGTCTCCTGTGGAGTTGGGTTTCGGGCGAGGGAAGGCCAACTTGGGAGGTGAGGGGCCCCCAGGCCTGGGCACCTGCGACCCCAACCGGGTTTCAGGGTTCGCAAGAACCTCCGACGAGTGGTACCGCAAGTCCTGCTCCCAATTTCAGGTTCGAGGCAGAAATTCTTGGCCGGCCCCCACCCCGAGAAACGTCCCCTGATAGGGTCTGGTCACACCGAGAAGCCTCAGGGAAGACATTCTTCTGCGACTGGTTCAACTGGCTGGACATGACGGTGGTCTTGACCAGCGTCTCCGCTGCATCTGCGCCATCTTTCCCGGTTAAGGAACACGCCTTGGATAGTTTTCTGCACATGTGGCGATTAAGGCGCGTTCACGATAGCTTGCTGTGCTTTCGCACTTCCGGGGCAGCTGGCAGAGTGGCAGCATGGCGGTTGCTTTCAGGCATTGTTGACCTCATCACTGCTGAGATGTTCAACACAAGTGCCCTTGCCTCAGCAAGCCGGGCACCAGGCTCTGATATAGGTGCCGGCTTCCACCCAAAAAGGAACAGTTTGTGTCATAATCGGGCTTTTACCAAAGCTTGGGATGTTCCCCCTTATACTGACAGCCCTTTCTAGGGATTATATTCGGGGGTACGAAAATCCCGATTAAGGACTGTTCGCATACGGGGGAACATCCCAACCTACAGCATTAAAGGCAGGAAGACCAGGGCCCCAGTACTTTGAGGTGAAAGCAGAAGACCTCTTGGGCCATTGTGCTTTTCACGAAAGTTTGATAGGTTCACGAGGTCTCGGGCTGTTACGAACCCCCAAGGGTGGTTTTACCTTGCTAGTTCTCAGTTCGGACCCAGGAATCTGGGCTCCAAAAACAGGGTTCTCAGTGGGGAACTTGGGGAATTCGGGATCTTGTATCCCGCTGCAATCCCTATTAATCCATAAAGGGAGCCTGAATATCAACTTCCCAACAAAACCCAAAACCTTAAACCCTATACCCTAAACCTTAAAACCTGAACCCTAAACCCTAAGCGGTTATGGGTCTCTTCTGGCATCCCAAAGGTCTTGCGCCTGCTTCGCCTCACGAAGCTGAGCCGGAGCATCCGCGTCCTCAAGGCCCAGAATGGTTCTGCTTGGGCCAAAAGGGTTTAGGGTTTAGGGTTTATTTGGAGTCTGGGTTTAAAGTTTAGGGCTTAGAGGGTCTAGGATTATTTGGCCCAAAAGGGTTTAGGTGGCGAGATTGTCCGGAGGCCAGTATTCAGAAGGGCCTTGGGGTTTTCCAGGGTCTGGGTTCAAGAGTTTAAGGTTTGGGGCTATAGGCTGTTTCTCCACCCAACGAGGGCCTTCGCTTTCATGCTGCCTACATGGATGTCGATTTGTGAAGCACCAGCGGCGCTTTTGTGGCCTACAAAGACCACTAAGCTCAACCGTTCTGGGCTGCCAGTGCGGAAGTTCTGCACGAAAGGTTCTAGAGCTTGCGGATGCCTCCCAGGCTATGTGTCCCAACAGGGTGTAGGGTTTAGGGTTTATGGGGTTTAGGGTTTAGCGTATAGGGTTCAACCTTTCAATGCCACTGATAGCCTCGGGTGCAAGTCCCGCCTTCCAGTTCTCCAATGTCCTCGACTCGCTGACCATGATCATGCCGCTGGGCCACACGCCAAACGTGACTTCGGAGTTGAATGACACGGTCTGGCATCAGGGTCAACTGCTCACTCCCACTGTCACAAAGTCAGATGCTAAACCATAAACCCTAAACCCTAAGCCCTTTCACACGAGCTCTGCACCTGGATGCCCACCACTGGAAAGAGCAGAGGCTTGATGATCCGGGGGCTTCTGTGTAAAAGTTCAATGGCCCATGCTCGTTTTGCAGAGTCGTAAAACGAATCGTGGTATGCTTTTATTATATTGCCAGATGACTATATTCGTATATATCACTTAATATGTCATCTTCTTCTTATATTCAGATATGTTTCTATTGCTTTTTTACATTGTTTTGTTAGTATAGTAGAAACACAGAGCCCGGACGTCCAGGAAGTGCCTGCGGGCCAGCGTTGGCACGCTTTTCTGGTCGCTCTGCGTGTTGCTGGTGATCCAGTGCCTCCCCTTGCGTTTGCATGCCTCTGGGTTAAGGTTCGAGGTTCGAGAGTGTGAGGTTGGCGCTTAGGACTTCAGAGCTCGAATTTTCCCAGCGCCGGCCGCTACGGTCATGAGCCCTAAGTATCGCCGTCCCCAGCCAAGTTTGCAGAACTTGTGGGGCTCGAGGTGTATTGGAGCAATCCTTATCATGTTCATGGTGCAGACGTACCTGCGCAACCCCAACGAGCTCTCAGAAGACAACAGGCGCTTTCGGACTGGGTTTGCATTGCAGCGGTTGAGGGTTGACGCGTGTAGGTGGGGGCCGCGGTTCAATGCGTGGAGTTCGGAATTTTGGTTCAGGCTCTGGGTGTTGGAGCCCTAAAGAAGGGCCTCTCAGAGCTCCTCAAGATTCACAGATGTAGCGAGGTGCCTTTCGCATACTGCCTTTTCGATTCTTTATGGTCTCGGCCCCTACCCCCGCCTTTGGATGGGGCTGTTGAGTTCAGGAAGCTTTGATGGCGTTCCTGTGCGCGACCACGCTTGTGCGGAAGTGTGATATTGCTGGTGACTACGACTAATCCTTGCAGCAAATGGTGGCCTCAATCCTCTGCCAACGCTTCAACTTGAACCCAAGCTGCGAAGAGCGCGCAAGAAGCAGCTCAACCCTGGGAAGCGAAGCCGAGATCCCAGAGAAAGCGAGAGGCTGGCAGTGTTCGCCTACTACGGCACCTTCTCACGTGCCATGCTGACCATGTTCGAGGCCAGGCCAAATCTCCTCTGAACTGCTTCCGAGGTGTCCGGACAGCCAGTGACCGAAGTGTGCTTATGTACATGTTTCTTTTGCCACCCCAAGGGTTGAGGCTTGCAAAGATGCAAAGAGCCGTTTTAAGAAAGTCACAGCATCGTAGGGCTTTCGGGCTGACTTGCATGTAGGGATGTTGACAGCGCGGGCGGAAATATTTCTCTGAGTTGGCTTGCGAATTTGAGGGGCCCTTCGCAGCACCGCATCTTGCTCAGGTCCTCCTGGCCAACTGGATACCGCCTTGCCGCATCCTGGTGGACAATGTGCAGCTCGGCTATGCCGACAAAAAAGCTAGGCTCGATGCACTTGCGGGCAGACAGGATGGCTGGGTGGAATTGTACGTTGACGGAGCACAATGACACCGAAAATAAAGGGGCAAAGGAGCGCTACTGCCTTTGCTCTTGGGACGTATGGCAAGAAGAGGCTTTTTCCCACGTTTGGACCACAGGCTGAGGACTGCTCATGAGTGGTTTTTGTGTTTAGTCTTTTGGTCCTTCGGGCTCTTCCTGGCGGAGTCGTTGCAGGCCCGTTGCAAAAGGTGAATGTACCAATGTACATAGATGGAAATGTATTCGTTCAGCAACTACAATAAAACCATCATAATATACGCATATATATATATACGCACACACACACATATATATATATATATAATTGGAATGCTAATAGAAGAGAGAGAGACAGAGAGAGAGAGAGAGAGAGAAAAACACATAAACATGTCCTCATATAACTACACGAATAAGCTGAAAAAGTGAATTAAGAATTAGAACGAGATAATCATTAAAAAAAACACAGGCAATACTGTGAGTAGTATAGGAGGAAAGCCAGTACTATACTAGTACAATAATCTCACATGATAGAAATATCGTGGCACTGAAATATTATAACTATTATAACACAAGCACAGAAAAGTACAGTCTAAGGGTTTCGAGGGGGAAGGGTCTCGGGGCGAAGATCATCAGCGAAGCCAAGGAGTGAATACTTCTCCGCTGTCTTCATCTTGTGCCCTGGCCAGAAAGGTGCTTTCATCTTGAGATCTCCTAAAGAATTGCGTGCATATGGTTGCGCATATATATATATGTCTTAAAATACATATATATATGTATATACATATGTACACTTTTTCCTACTTTTTTGCAATGTTCGAGGTACCGGTGTCTGGTCGGATTCGCCGTACTGAACGTCATTCAGGCCGCATGCCCAAACCCCCAATATCGAACCTTGGCACTCCAGCGACGGTTTCGAGACAGGGTTGCTTGGTTACCCCAACCCCTCAGACAAGCGGGAACACGATAGTCGCAGGATAGGATGAAGGACATGTTTGTTTCCAGCCAAACTTGCTCGGGAGAAACAAACTGGTTGGATCCAGCGAGTGCTTGCATAATCCAGAAGGTCGGCATTTCAAATTACTAGTCTAATTGACTCAAGTAATTATATCTATATGTATATATATATATATGTTTTGCATGAAGTAAATTCATTTGCTTAATGTATTGTGTTTTTTTTGCAGAGTCTATTTCTAGTTAGTTCAAGTTGTTTGATTATCTTCGTGAATTCAACTGCTTTAAGTAGCTTAATTATATCGGGGCGACCCAAGTAGCAACTTCTCATCGGTTGGAGAAGGACTTGCATGAGGGTTGTTCAATTGCCGTGTCGTCCAGCTGCAGTGTGGGTGGTTTTGTGGTGAAGGGGTCCGCGAGAGTTTCGCGTGAAAGTATGCGCGAAAGCAGGCGCGAAAGGAAAGCACTGCTCAGCGAAAACCACTTCCCGATGAAAGCAGTTTACCGTTTGCCCGAAACCCGAAACCCTAAACCCTAATCCCTAAGCCCTAAACCCTAAACCCTAAACCGTGAGACAAGGCTTGGAGGGTTCAGAGGGCTGTGGGGCTTACGAAGCTCAGGTATGTCAGCTGCGCCAGGCTAGAGAAGCCTGAACCGTTTCAAGCTCTTCTCCTGTTGCAAAATATGTTTCGCGCCAGAATTGAATCAAAAATTTAATAAACATTGCTGAATCATTAGCAGTAGCATTCAACAAGATTATTAAGAACATGACCCCCCTGAGCCCTCTCAACCCCACGACTCGACGAAACATCTAAACATACCTAAACGTGGCTTGCGGTCAGGCGGTGTTCATCCAGCGAACCATGCAAGTCGCCCAGGCCATTTGGGTTTTTTGGGTTGCACATTCGGGGCCTTGGGTTCCGCCCTTTCGTACGTTTCGTGGATGTCTATAGGGTTTGGTTTAGGGTTTAGGGCTTAGGGCTTAGGGCTGAGGGCTGAGGGCTGAGGGCTAAGGGTTTAGGGTCCTCCAGCCTGCACCGCTTGCAGGGAAGTGGGATGCTCGTAGGTGGTCCGCTTCAGGCCGAGATTGGTGTCCGAGAGGCTCCTTGTAGAAAAGGGAAACATCCCAAACGTATACTTTCTAGCTTTGCGCGCAAGCCTTGTTTTTGAGCCGATGATGCTCTCTTTCTCTTTTTTTTCCGTAGAAGACACGCAAGGACGACAAGGAGCTCCAGCTGAAGCAGAAGCAGTACGCCGCAGAAACCTTTGAGCGGAAGCTGCGTTACATCTTCGAGGAGGGCTGAATTGGACGGCACGTTAATTCCGATAGGGGCGGGGGGGGGGGGTGGGGGGTTATGGAGGAGTATCACATTATCACATTAGAATCAGTGGTGTCTCGTGAACTGGCACTCCCAAAATGCAAAAGACGCTTCACCGGTGACATCCATCCTTGTGCCCTTTCTGATAGAGCCTTTTCGGGTTTGTACATCTTCGGCCGTGGCATGTCGAAGCCCAACATCTACAACTCCGTCAGTCCAAGGCGTCAGTTTCTTAAGCTGTCAGTGTCACCGAAGCCCCACAGCTTCTCCAGGAGCTCGACACCTCTGGTGATGGAATTGTGTGGCTTGGCATGTGTTTTGACCTGTTGGGGTCGGGTCCATCCTTTGAGGGAAAGCCCTGAAACCCTAAACCCTAAACCCTAAACCCTACACCCAAGATGGCCCTTAGCTAGAGCCGCTCGTGTTGTCGATGCATCTCGTCGGAATGACAGCAGCCGCTTGCTGCTGAGCCGCTTTGACAAACTTGCTGCGCCGGCTTCTTGTCGGCTTCGCAACAGGTTTTAGGGTCCTGGAGCGCTTGGCGCGCCACCCGCGCCCCATCCCACCCTAAACCCTAAACCCTAAACCCTAAACCCTAAACCCTAAACCCTAAACCCTAAACCCTAAACCCTAACCCCTATAATCCCTGCACCGTCGTGCAGCCTTCGGAAGGGGTCCCTTCCCACCCAAGAAGTTGCCAAGGACCTGGGAGGAGTTCGACGAGCAGCTGAAGGATCCCCGCACTGGGGCGCTGCTCTCCATGATTGAGTCCCTTGGCGGGTTTAGGGTTTAGGGTTTAGGGTTTAGGGTTTAGGGTTTAGGGTTCTTTAGTTCATAAATTGGTTCCTGCAATAGTTGGAATAAATTTTGAACTTATATAGGCATTTAACAGATTTTTTTTCCGTCGCGGTCGTTTCCATGGGATGCTCAGGGGCGCACCTTTGCCAAGGAACCCTGGGCAAGGATAAGCGTGGCCTTGCACATTTATGGTTTAGGGTTTCGGGTTTCGGGTTTAGGGTTTAGGGAGCTTGAGAAGACATAAAGTCACCGTCATTCGGCCCGGTGGCTTCGAAACTGGCCTATCCGATGGCAGGGCTGCAGGAGCCCCTTTGTCGCCCCTTCTCGCCCCTGCCTTGAACACAGTGCAAGCTACCCAGAACAGGCCCCCGGACATCGATCAAACCATAGTCTGCCATATCTTCATGGGTCCCCCCTACTACCTAAAAAAAGGCCAAATCAGGCTTACTTGTCCCTGAATCGCTTGAATTATAGGCTTAATTATCCCTAAAGAGCCTTAGTTATGGGGGGGAGGGGGTAGCCCTATCTTCGCCTATGATTGCCCTGTAAAGCGTAGGATCTGAAGAGCCAAGGATCGACACTCAGGATCTCAGGCCGATCTGGGGCTTGGCTTGGGGTTTGGGGGTTTGGGGGTTTAGGGTTTAGGGTTCAGGGTTTAGGGGGTGTGGGGTCTGGGTTTGCGGGTTTAGGTTTGAGGGTTAGCTAGGGTTTGAGGGTTAGCTAGGGTTTGAGGATTAGCTAGGGTTTGAGGGTTAAGGGTTTAAGGGTTTAAGGGTTTCAGGGTTCGCAGGGTTTGAGAGTCTACGGTTCGCGGGTATAGGGTTTAGGGTTTGAGGGTGTAGGGTTTGGGGCCTAGGGTTTAGGTTTTGGGGTTTGAGGGTTGCGATATGTGGCGATCGGGTTCTCACAGAGTTCAAGTTGTTTTGAAAGCGCCTGGGGCTGGGATTGTGCGGCTTCGGAGGTGGTGCTAAAGCGTTTCAGGATCAAGGGGTTCGAGGAGAGAGGGTTTAAAGGGTTTAGTGTTTGGGGTTCTCTAGTGTTTTGGGCGCAGGGTGTTCTACGACCTTCTCGATGATGGAGACGGCCGTGTCAATGCGCAGCAGCAACCAAGCTGCAACATTAGGGCTTGTAGGGTTTACAAGTCCTTTTTGTTAGGAAGCGTGGGGCGGGGCAAGCCTGGTCGAGTCACTAAGCAAAACTCAGGGGGGATCAAAGAGTCTCACCTTTTGGAGTCTCCGAGCTCTTGAAACATCTACGGGGCCACCTCTTAAGCCTCAACCCCCTTTAACACCCCTAGGCCTTGAAGCTTGCAAGCCCCTTGCCCCCAGCACCGGTAAGCACGGCAGTTCTCCACGCACGCACCACGAAGCCCCCCCGCCCTGGCTGGGCCCTTCAAACCCTAAGCTGTGAAACTCCATTGAGAAACCCCATAAGGCCCCTAAGGCCTAAAACTCGCCCACCCCGCACGTGGACGCTCTCCCACGCGTCCTCCAAATCGCCTAAACTTGGAGGAAGGAGGGGTTGGGCCCTTTAGGTGCAACTATACCCTGAAAGCAGCCCAGGAGCACACATGGCAGGGTTACCGGGACGCTAGGCAGCAGCCTCCGAACAAGTCGGGCCCCGCTTCTTCGCGACAACTGTCTTGCCAAGTTTCTGGCAGAACCCGATTTTGTTTCGTGAGGCTGGGCGCTCATTATCAGATCCTGCCACGGTGGGGCCGGGTCCGGGCCAGTTCTTGCCTTCTTGTTCATGTCCAGACGGACAGTGCCGCCTGTCGCTACCAACTCATTCAGTACGTCCCCTTCGCCGTGCGTAGCCACTACGATGACATGCTCCACATCAAGGTCACCAAGAACGGGACCCTTCTTCCAGTCGGCCAGGGTACGTATAAACCTCACCACGAGGGTGGCGTCCGGTACTCGGGAGGGTGTTGCCCATGGCTTGTGAATGCAGGGTCAACGTCGACATGCATGCCCGGATCCAAGCATACCTTTGGAGGAGGTCCATTCCAACGTCGGTGAAAGCTGCTCTGCTGCCAAGCCTTGTTTTCACTACTCCAAGCATCGGTTCGCCGAAGTGGTTCTTGCTTGGAGGTCCGCAGGAACAATTGGGCTATTGACAAGGTCCCTGTTCTCCCCCTCCCCTTCTCCACTTCTCGGGGTAGCCTGCCCTAGACAGGCTTCAGGCGAAGCCCCCGAAAACCTGTGAAAGTATGTCGCCACGCGATCTTGAAAGACACGGCTGCTAAGTGACCTTGAAAGCATAGGGTGCGAAGTGCAAGTTGAAGATGTTTACCGGATGTATAACAGTGAGATTCTACCCGCAGGAATGAGCAATGAGTTAGTGGCGCGAACTTCAGCTCAAACACGACACCCCACGCAACTGCAGTTAAAAAATCCCCTCCTCTTCCCTTGATTGCGCTGGCCAAAGCTGTGACCCTCCTTAGGAAGATTTTACTGTTCTATATGTACAAAACCCAAGGGAATACTAAAAGTACTGGTGCTGTCAAGGTTCTAAGGTGAATGTAGAAAGAACCTAAACCCTAAACCCTAAACCCTGAACCTTAAAACTCTAACCATTTTGTTAATTGTTAAGTTCGGTGTTTGCGGTCCAAGGTTTGCGCGGGGCGTGCTGGCCATGAAGGGCCCGGCGTGGGGCACAGAGAGCACCAGCTGTTTGTTTCTGGGTTTAGGGTTTAGGGTTTAGGGTTTATGTAGGGTTTAGGGTCTAGGGTCTCGGGTCTCAGATCTTGGGAGAGGGGGAGGGTCCGAAGGATCTTAAGGTCTTGCGGGCTCGGGAGTTCGGGACTGGCTTTGGGCTCCTGTTTGTCGGGGGGGGGATCATGTTCGGCCTTTGGGATGGCACGCCAAGCATTAGGAGCTCTCTCCATCACCCTATATCCCCCTTGGGAATTGTTATTTTATTGTGTTCATGTAAAACCCAAGAGGATATTAAGCATAACATTTTATTAAGGTTCTAAGGGGAGTATAGCACCTGGCAGAGATATGTCTTGGCGTGCCCAACCCGGCTAGACCTGCGAAACCCCAAAGACCAAAGCCAACGTTCGTCTTCGGTCTTAGATGCGTAGTTGGAACATCGGCCGTTCTACGATGTTCTATGGCCAAGCTTCGTCACTGAGGCCAAGAGCATCGACCTCGCGCGGGTAAGCAAGAACTTGAATCAGCTTGGTCGCATGGTGCCTCTGGCAGTTTCGGCAGGCGTTTCAACGTACATCGCAGGCATTCCGAGACAGCCCGGAAGGCAACAACCCTAAACCCTAACCCTAAACCCTAAACCCAAAACCCTAAACCCTAAACCCCAAACCTTCGCCCCAGCTGCGCAGGAGGGAAAAAGAAACCACAAACCGTAAACCAGCATGACTATGGTAAGAGCTTGACAACCAAGCCATGCAACAGTCTTGCAAGGTGCACCAGCTGACCATTAGCTTGGGCGCCGGCATGCCCATCAGCAAGGGCCTGCCGCAAGACAGAAAGTTGGTCCCTCTGGGCTGTTCAGTTGTCTGTTGCAGGTTTAGGGTTTAGGGTTTAGGGTTTACGCGAAAGGGTTTAGGCTTTTTTTGGTGGAGATGTGAGATCGGCACCGGGGAGCAGAATGGGTTTCGGTGAAGCGGATTTGGAGTACCCACCCGGCCCGAAAACGGAGATCCCCTCAAGAGGTGAGTTGTTCTGTTTTGTTGTTTTCCGAGCGCGCCGGGCGCTGAAAAGAGTAGAGGAGAGTCCAAGCCCCTAGGTCTCAGGGTCGAGACTCCCCGAAAATCCCCAAGCCTCACCCACATTATATGATCTGGCGCATGTGTATATATATATATGCACATACAAATATACGAACAGAAAAATGCAGAATGGGGGCAAACATGTACAACATATTTGTGTATAAAAAACATATGTATTGTTCTGTAGCCCCAGCTGTAGGGACTTCTCGGTCCCCTCAAGGCCCTCAAGGCCCTTCTCCTCTCCCGCACCACGTACTGCCATCGAAGCCCATGGCTTCTTTCTTCTTAAGAGGGCGGGTTAGGCTTGAGGGTTGAAGGGTTTAGGGTTTAGGGTTTAGGGTTTAGGGTTTGTCCAGGGTTTGGCGCTTAGGGTTTTTCGGAGACCTCATGACAGGTTTAGGCTTTGTGGTTTCGGGTTCGTGACTCTCAGCTTTGCCAAGGAGTGACTTCTACAGCCGGGCATAGCCGGGCAAAGCCACCGTGGCTCAAACCAAATTTTTGCAGAGCCAGGGAGGGGCTTTAGGGGGTCTAGTTAGTGTTCTTGTGTGGTTCAGGCTGTAGGCTTAATTCCTAAACCCTCTCTTCGTCCCAAAAGGAAATGCCTCGTAGTGCGATGGGTAGGCGTGGGGCAAACAGAGATCCTCTTTACGAGGTTCCTGTCGTGCGCAGTACACCCTTGTCCCAGCTGGGATCTCTACCTTTGACTGCCCACCATGCTGCCCCAAACCCTAAACCCTAAACCCCAAGCCCCAAACCCCAAACCCAAAATTTCTTCGTAGCATTGCCGAGATCCTGCTGATGCGAGAGCTGTCCTTTCCACCCTATCACACCTCTCCATTAGCAATTCTCGATGTGACCCTTTGGTTGAATTGCGGCTGGGTGGCGAGTCCAAGTTCCCAAAGAGCCCAACACCCCTTGATGAAGGAATCGACCTTAAATCATATGAAGGATCCCTATATAGTTTAAGGCCTATTCCTATATTCCTGAATGAAGGGGTATTGGGCTCTCTGGGTTCTGTTTAGGCGTTCAGGAACCTTGTCTTTGACTTTTGTACCTGGCCAAGGAGAGCTGCTATCCTCCGCGAGGCAAGTGCCCTGAGCGCACGTGCTCGCGTTTAAGTATGTATCCCCGTAAACCCTAAACCCCAAACCCCAAACCCCAAACCCTAAACCCTAAACGAGCTGTCATCTTTCAATCTGGGGATTCACGATACGTAGTAGGATCCTCGTTGGGTCCTTATTGTAACGGGCATCCTACTCTTTGGCGGTCTATTTGTTGGACCCTAAACCCTAAACCCTAAACCCTAAACCCTAAACCCTAAACCCTAATTTTAGGAGCCCACGGGTCGCGGCCTTTGGAAGGTCGATGTTGCTAGCATCCTCTGCCCGCTGTGTGATTTTTAAACTCCCCCGTCGATTTCGCGCACCGGGCTGTTTGTCGGAAACCCTCTCGGGGTTTCCCCATGATTTGGAGGTTTTCCGAGAATAGGGGACCCCAATATAGATCCCCAAATAGTAGGACTCCCTTAGCAGAAGGACCCCAAGAAGGTACCCCACATTTCGGAAACCTACCATCTAGGACCCTTGATTCATCAACGCCGGTCAGTTGACGGTTTGAGACCCTGCCGGGTGACGCCCTACGCCGGGCGCAGAAGCGGGGCCCCGGATAAGAGCCTTGTACTAACAGTCCTTAATCGGGATTCTGGCACCCCTCAAAAAAATCCCTATTAAGGACTGTTAGTATAAGGGCGATCATCCCAATCTATCAGTTTGATCATGAAAATGTACCTTATGATCTAGTATACAGTCTCATATGCCCCAGTGAGTGCCACCATGCCGGATTCAGAAATCAAGCTGTGTGCCCAGACTTTGACAGTATCGTTGGTCAATTCAAGGGTCCGTGGTTTTTTGTTGTTGTAGACCTCTAGCAGGTTTCGGGTCTAGGGTGATAGTGTAAGAAGCCCTGGGCCAAGGTAGAGTTGTACATGCGCCAAGGCCAGGAAAATCCGTTGCTCGACGAGAGCAGGCCGCGGCGAACCGTTCCCACGACACATCGAAGTCCCCAAGCTGAAGTTACCGAACTTCTGAATGGTGCACCTTCGTCTTGTCGTGTGCATCGAGGCACTGAAGTTACTAAAGCACAAAGCCCGAAAGCTACCGCTGCCGTCAGCCGTACCATTTCCAGACATTGCCAGGGACTTCGGCTGTTCCGGCTTGCCAGGTTTGTTTCACCTGCGCCTTGCCACGCAAATGGCATTGTGCAAGGGCGGCAGGTTGCACTGGTGGTGCAGCCGTGCAGCTTTTCAGGTGGGGTGCCAGGTGGCCCTCGGAAGGCCAGCTTGGTTGTACAAAACACGCCAAGGTTTTTCCTGTGAGCGATACAAGCAACGGCAGGTACTCAGCGTCTTCCAGTGCTGTAGTTACAGCACCAGCACGGTTTTGCGGGAAGAATCTCGGTCACCAAGCCGTACCCATAACACACCCTAAACCCGGAAGCCCGAAAACCTAACATCCTTACCCCGCCCCCCACCCCCCAAGTCCGCAAACCCGACTGAAAGAACAGCCCTAAAGCCCTGTAAATTGGGATGTTCCCCCTTATAGCTCCTTAATAGGGATTTGAATAGGGGTTCTATAGTATAAGGCGGACACATGCCAACCTATAAACAGAAGCCCCTAAGGCCAGGTAGGCGTCGCTGGGAGCTTGTTCTAGTCAGGTGAGTTAACGCATCCCATCTTGGCTTCGATCAGATGGGGCCAATATGGGGGTCTCCGAAATTATATACAGGGTACCTTATTGGGTCCTTATCGGGGAATCCTGCAAATCCTACTATTTGGGGGACGATATTGGGGTCCTTTATTTTCGTAAGCCACCATATAGCCGCAAGCCATGTGAACATAGTTGATAGTCTGATTGTCGCAGGTGAGTAAATTCTGTCGTCGCAGTCGCAGGCGAGCAAAATTTCTTTCTCGCCCGGCGAGAAAAGTTTACAGTCGCAAGCGAGTGGCGTGCTATGCCATGCCCGTAACTCCAATAACCCTAAACCCTGCCAAAATTCAGCCAGACGGGAGGCAAAAATAAACTCCTGGCCGAGACCCCTGAATCCTATACCTTAAGCCGCAAGCCTTGGGCCGGACCATTGAGGCATTGTCCTGGCACCCCCCTGACTCACAGGGAACTGTGCTTTGCAAATTCGACGACTTTTTGTGATGCATCCTTTGTTGGGACCCTAAACCCTAATCTTCGCTAAGCCCGAATAGGAGGCGGGTGGCAAAAGAACCCCAAAATAGGAGTCCAGGCCGTGGGATCAAGTTGGTGACGTAGGGGAGCTTTTAGTTAAGTTGGCCTAGGCTCGCAACATCCGCAGAGAACTGCGCCTTCTTGTTTGGCGGGACTTGTTACGCAACGCCAGCTTGGCGGCCTTAGAATCAGGGCGTGGGTTGCAAGACTCGCAGAAGGGCGCCGGAAGTCTGGGATTGATTCGTGATTTATTACGGAAAGCCTTGGCCTTTCCGGATCATGTGTTCAAGGCTTCGGTTAACCGGTTAACCTTCCCCCAATGTGATGAAGTGACAGTTGGAGTCCCAGGATCTAGGCTAGGACAAGGGATGCATCTTGGCTGCTGCGCCAGCAGCTTGCTGAAGGACTGGTGGAGGGGACAGCTGACTTGATCAATGTAGGGCCCGATTCGTGTCTAGATTCAACTTTCATCTTGCTGACGTCCTAAACCCTAAACCCTAAACCCTAAACCCTAAACCCTATACCGCCCTCGACAGGTTCGTGCAACCTTTATTATTGAGGTCTTAGCCCGGCTTTAAAGCCCCCCCCCCCCCCAGACATGAAGTCCGAACGCAATGTCCTACCATGAATGCCCTTTGGGCGATATCCCCTGTAGCCTTCACACTGCTCGGGGGTGACTTTTTCCTTTAAGTTCCGATCTTGTACCCCGCATTGCTGTGGCTAGACGGGTGGCAAAAAAAAAAAACCTAAACCCTAAACCCTAAACCCTAAACCCTAAACCCTAAACCCTAAACCCTAAACCCCCATCGAAGCCCCGCTCCCCCTCTCGCGAAGCTCGTTTCCGGACTTCCGCCAAAAGCTCCTCGAAGTCGTTGGCGGAAGCGAGCCTCGGGCGCAGTCCTCGGAGTGTCCCTTTTTGCCAAAAGTCTGCGAGCCGTTGGGCGGACCCCTTGGGCGGACGTGAGCCCAGAATTCTGGAGCACAGGGACCGATGCCAAAGGCGGGGCTAGGGAAGAGCAGAGAAGAAAGTGCAGCCTTGGTTGGGGGGTTGAGGATAAGATGTTTTTTGCTTGCTTTTTATATTTAAATTTATGTCAACCCTAAAGAAATATTGAAAATAGTGGTTTTTGTCAAGGTTCTAAGGGGAGTATAGTTGAAGATGAGGGCTGTTGAGGCCTTGCAGTACGCAGGATGCGGAGCTTCAATGGCCATCTTTAGTAGGGGGATCATCTGAGTTGGGCTCTTTGTCCTTGACTTTGGGGGAAACATGTGCTAGAGACTGACTAGAGAGACACAGTTCCTCACCAGTTCGACTCTGCATTGCCTTCCAAAGGTTTTCGCGAAGCTTGGGCCCAAGCCCGACTTCACATGCACGTAAGTCCCATGGAAGGGGCCTGACGAGCCCTTCTCGCATCCGTCTCCATGGTGCGTACTCCTTCAAGGGAGCTTCAGATGGGACTCAGCCCTGAAGTGTCAGATCCTCCGAAGCTCTTAAACTTTCTCATGCGGCCGCGCGGCCCATGGCCGGGTGGCATCGCGGCTGACACTGAGGAAGTGGTCTGGAAGGTTGGGGTTTAGGGTTTAGGGTTTAGGGTTTAGGGTTTAGGGTTTAGGGTTTAGGGTTTAGGGTTTGGGGTGTAGGGTTTAGGGAGACCAGTTCTGTGGCGCCCAGGTGCCGAACTTGAGATGGTTCTAACGAATGTGAAGCGATGGGGGCCAACTGCAAGCAAAGGGAACCTCGCAACGCTCTGGAGTCGACTGGGTAAGGCATCACTTTTGAGGAAGGTGGGCAGGGTTTAGGGTTAAGGGTTTGGGGTTTAGGGTTTGGGGTTTTAGGGTTTAGGGTTTAGGGTTGAGCTGATGCTCGGGTTCAAAAAAGGTTTCATCGGATTTAGGGAGCAGCTGAGCACGAGCCAAGATCAAGCCCAGTCCTGCAGAATGTGTCCCGGGACGCCAACTGCATGGGCGAGGAGGCTGCTTGGCAAAGTGCTATCGGGGTAGTTTCTCCTTCTCTGACAGTCGAGTATGTTCTGAGATTGTTTTTTGCTTTCTTTCGCCCAACCCCACCTCCAGCAAAGCCGAGACAGAGGAACGAGCCTCCCCAAACTCCTGGCCTAGCGGGCAAAAGCGAGCAAACCAGCAAACATGGGGAAGACAAGAAAATGGGCGCCAAAACCTGGCGGGCAAAAGCAAGCAAACCCGTAAACATTGTGGGAAGACAAGAAAATGGGCGCCCAAAACCCTTGGACCCGCACAGAAACCCTGAACCCTCAAACCGAGAAGAGTAGAGTGGCACAAGCCCCCTAAACCCTAAATCCGTCAATCCCTAAACCCTAAACCCTAAACCCCTAAACCCTAAACCCTAAATCCCCAAACCCGAAATCCCCAAATCCCCATCCCTAGACCCTCAACCCTAAAGCCTACATCCCCAAGCCCTAAACCCCAAATCCCTCAATCCCAAAACCCCAAACCCCAAACCCCAAACCCCAAACCCCAAACCCTAAACCCTAAACCCTAAACCCCAAACCCCAAACCCTAAACCCTAAACCCCAAACCCCAAACCCTAAACCCTAAACCCTAAACCCCAAACCCCAAACCCTAAACCCTAAACCCTAAACCCCCAAAAACCTCAGACAGCCAGGCTGCGGCCTGGCAGAGGAGTTTGGAGTCTCTGCTCCGCCTGGCCTTGCGGAGGCTTACCAGAGTCGAAGTAGTGACGAAGGGGGTCCTTAGGGTTGAGGGTTGGGGTTTAGGGTTTAGGGTTTAGGGTTTAGGGTTTAGGGTTTAGGGTTTAGGGTTTAGGGTTTAGGGTTTAGGGTTTAGGGTTTAGGGTGAGTGGAAGATGGAAGTCCCCAATTTCGTGTGGGTGTTTGGGTGCCTACTTCCATGTATCCACAACATTGAGGGGGTCTCAAGGATGAGGTTTCAATTGCTGTGAGAATCTGGGGCGTTGCCCCAGCCGTTTCGTGGGCACAGAAGCCTCCCCTCAAAAATTTCGAGCCAGTCCGAGCTGGGAGAGGATGCAGTAGAGTAGAGGGGTCGGAAAAAAACTACTACTCGTATTCCCTTATGGTCCCTTTATCGATATACCATAAGAAGCCCCCAAGGCCCTATTCTAATTTTTCAGGCCCCTATATCAGAGGGGCTTGGCAGAGCTGTGCAGTCTTGGGACTCTTTGCCGCTTTGTGCCTGTGTGAGATTCCGGGAGGTTCCTTGGCCCTTTCCTGAAGGTGGTTGAAACCAAGCCAGCCTTCACTTTTTGAGCATCTCTTGTCCCAGCCGTGCCCCCCCCCCCCCACTCCCCCCACCCAACGTGAGCGACCTTGATGGCTTCGTTGCTTCTGCCCTAAAACCCTAAAACCCTAAAACCCTAAAACCCTAAAACCCTAAAACCCTAAAGCCCTAAAACCCTAAAGCCCTAAACCCTAAAACCCTAAAGCCCTAAACCCTAAAACCCTAAACCCTAAACCCTAAACCCTAAACCCTAAAACCCTAAACCCTAAACCTCGTGTAGGATCTGCCCGGACCTTGCGGGCTTCAACGCCGCCCTCACTGCCTGCCACTTCGGCCGGCACTTCGCGGAGCCTAAAACGATTTTGGGTTGAGGGTTTATAGGGTTTAGGGTTTAGGGTTTAGGGTTTAGGGGCTGAGAAGTTCAGGAAGGGCTCATTGAGACCTCAAGGGGGCTTAAAAACTTCGAGGCTCGGGGCTTGCAGGTCTGACTCCGATCGGCCGTCTTCGGGCTGCGGGAGGATCCTCCTGCCTTCTACAAGGTGGTATGACGCGTAGTTTAAAACCCTAAACCTTAAACCCTAAACCCTAAACCCTAAACCCTAAACCCTAAACCCTAAACCCTAAACCCGAAACCCTAAACCCTAAACTCCAGGTGAGCGGCGGAGCTGCTGGCCCTTCGCGCTGTGCCTGGCGGGGGAGACGTCGGCCTTGGTGGCGGATGTGGTGTGGCCTGAGTGCATGTTGAGTGCACTTGGTGGTATGGATAACCAGGGTTTAGGGTTTAGGGTTTAGGGTTGAGGGATTCAGTTGTGGAGGTCTGGCCTCCACCGCCACAGCTTTAGGTGACCAGAACATTGCCCCCTAAACCCTAAACCCTAAACCCACAGCATCATTCATGCCCGGGTACCCGCACCAACCATTTTTCCGACTCAGATCCCAGTATAACCTCAGACTCGGAATCCCTGCGGAGTGGTTCGTCCAGCTATGCCGGTGCCAAGACAATACCCACAGCTTCGTTGATTCGGAGCTGGGATCGGCTTGAGGCTCGCAGTGATCCAGCTTAGTTGCCGAGTTGCGGTCATCTGCGCCTAATTGTGCCTAGAGAGCACCTTTACTCCTCGCAGCAGGTGTCCACCTGTGTGTGTGTGTGTGTGTGTTCTCTCTCTCTCTCTCTTGCCTGCCTGCCTGCCTGCCTGGCTGGCTGTCTGTCTGTCTGTCTGTCTATGTCTGTCTATCTATGTGTGTCTCTGTCTGTCTATGTCTCTGTGTGTGTGTGTGTAAATCCGTAAATGTGTAAATGCGTAAGGATGTACGTGTGTAAGTGTGTAGGTGTGTAGGAGTGTAAGTATGTAGGCAAAAAAGTGTAAATAAGTAAGGAAGTAAGTAAGTGAGTAAGTCTGTAGGTCTACGTGTGTGTGTGTGTGTGTGTGTGCGAGAGGGCGTGTGCGGGTCTCTGTGTGTGTGTGTGTGTGTCAGTCGAGTTGTTTGTTTGTGTCTTCGTCTCTCTCTCTTCCCCTCTTTCTCTCTCTCCCTCTCTCTCTCTCTCTCTCTACACTCAACGCACCCCTCGGCCCCAAGCTTCAGCAAGGACCCGCAATGCCGCACTCAGTGCAGCCTTCCGTGGCTCCTGGCGACATGGCCTGGGAACGGCGAGGCGATTCCAGGCCCTGCCCGCTTCACCCCCCGAAACCATGTTGAAACCCTACACCCTAAACCATGAGGCCAGCTAGGCGGGTGGCAAGAAACCCTGAGCAGGCAGAAGGTTTGGAGCCGGACTCCGTGACCTACAACACGGCCGCCCATGCCCTGTGCAAGAAGGACCAGCCACTTGCCTGGTATGCGCCCCCTACCCGCGCCTCCGAGCTCAAGGTCCTAGCAGGACGCTTTCAATGGCACAAGGCCGTACCTCATGGTTTGTGACTTGCGCCCGCGCCTGTCGAGTCTACCAACCGAGGTGGCAGCTGACGTTGCAGCTGTTGCACGACTCGACTGAAATAGGCGAGGCTGGCCTACAATTGCCCTGCACATGCCGTGTGTCAATGGACTCCGGGAGATGGATGCAGTCTGAGGCCTCTAGGCATTCATAGGAGGGAGACAGGCAGACAGCTTCTCTTCACCAATGTTGACAAGACCTTGCTAGACTTATCAAGACCAGAGGACTACGCCCCAGCAAAGTTTCGTTCGCAGCATTGGCGGCCGTGGCTTGGCGCAGGCGCGACTGGCGCCAGGTGGGCGATTGTGGATGTCGCGTTTGCTGCAAAGCTTTCATTGAACCAGGTTGGCTTCCAGCGTGTCGAGCTGCAAGACGAATTGCTGCATGGGCGCTGTAAGATTCTGTCAGTTTGTTTCCCGTTCTTTTGCGTGTTGGGGGAGGCACTTTGGCTCCTCCGTCACATGGAGGATGAGCAGGCTAGCAGACCCTCCGCGACAGCATGGCAGAGTGGTACTACGTACATGTCATGTCGAAATTTCCAGAGTGTGGGTATGAAGCTAAAGGCCCAACATGCAGAAAATGTCGGTGTCTTTCAGGAACGAGAGGGTAGGTGGGTCGGGGGTTATAGGGTTCAGGGTTCAGGGTTCATAAACCCGAAACCCTAAACCCTAAACCCAAAACGGCCTGGTGCTCCCATGCCCAACCACGCAGGTCGAGGCAGATGCCGTGAGCTGCGCGCTGGCGCTGCGCTGCTTGGAGGTGACGCCAATGTGGGGATCTTGAGGGCGCAGGGTCGCCACATGAGGGAACTCATGTGAAGGTCCTGTGACCCTGCGATTTGTTGCCCTTGTCATAGTCTTGCCACATTGTGGCAGCTTATGAGCCCCAAAAAGAAAAATAAAGCTTCCGGCCATTGCCCAGAGAAGTCCCGGAATCTCCCGCGAGGGCTGCTGCCGGTGGCCCCATGCCATCCTGCTGCTGCCGCTTGGCGGTCCCTGGAAAGACTGGAAAGAGGTGCTTGGAGGTTTAGGGTACTTTGTAAACCCATTAGAAGTGCAGCTATAACCCACTTACAAGCCCCTTAAGTACCCTAATAATTACCCTAATAGGGTGATCATTGGGTTGCCAGCACATTGGGTGACGAAAAGAACTTCCAGGTGGAGTGGTCTCATGAAGGTACAACTCCGGGGCCGGCGGCCTCCATTCTTCATGGTACTTAGATTGTCATGTGAGTATGTGCCCTTCCATTCCACCCCACCCCCTCCTCCCCATACGGAATCATCGGGGTTCATGTAGTATGTGGCATTCGTTTGTCCTTCCATTTCCAAAGCTTAAGAAGCCTGCAACCCCCAAGCCCGAGCCCCTCCTGTTGAAGCGCCACGTGAGGGAACGACGGGGCTTGGATGCCACCTGCCTCAATGTGGCCCTGTCGGCCGTCAGCGCTGGGCCTGAGGCCCTGCAGCAGAGATCAGAGATCATATAGAGGGAGATCTGCTTCCAAAGGTAAAGAATGGGCTTACATGCAGAAACGACGCCAAAAGCTTCATGAAGGGAGTGTCCAGCAACCGCATGATGCTCTGACCGGCCCTTGCATCTCTAAGATCTCACAGGCGTGGCCGAGGGGCCTGTGCCTTGTGGCTCGGGCGCTCCAGAGAGGCCCAGCCCCCGACTCTGTGAGCTGCGCCTAAGCAGGTTTAAGGCTTGAAGAGACTCTGGGGGGCTGCCACTTGCTGTGTGTGTTCGCTTGTGAATGTGGTTGTGTGTCCCATCCTTTTCGGGGTCGCCCACCGAATGGAAGCCGTCCCAACACAAGGTAGTACCATCGCCAGCGCTTGCGCGCGAGCGACGGCGCCGAGCGCTGCGCTGCGCTTGCTTCGCGAGCATCTCCTCCCTGAACTTGGGGAAGTTGGGGTAGCAGGCTGGGGTTCAGTCAAGACAAGGCCTGCACGGGCAAGCCGCCTCGTCCCTAGTACGCACACGCTCGCTCTGTCATCCCAAGCCACCAAAGCTTCACCGCCATCGATGTGTCAACAGCAACAGTCTCCAGAGCTGGTGAACATAATCCTGTGTTTGCGGGCACCCCCCCCCCCCCCCACAGCATCAAGCCACCGGGGCCAAGCAATGCCCAGGTTTCAAGCATTCCGAATCCGCCTTGGGACATCTGCCTACAATGCTGTCCTGGCTAGTGCCATTGGGGACTGGGCACTCGGAGTGGAGATCGTCGAGGAGATGGGCCAGAAGGCAGGGAAGGTTGCAAGATGATTTGACGGCGCTTAAAATCGGCTTTTGACGAGCATTGCTAATGCTGCAGGCCCAGGGAGGGTCTGCAGCATGGCTTAGCACCCGAATCAGAGCCGTCGTTTTGAGATCTGCTGGCAAAAGGGATGCTGGGTATCGCTGTGTCTTTGGTCACAGGCTGTGCCGCGAGACGTCATCACATGTGGCGCTGCCGTGGCAGCATTCTCCGTTGACAGCGCGGTGTGGATGAAGGCGGTGTGCTTCCAGAGGCAGGGTGTTTACGTGGAAATGCCATTGTTTCCACGCCAACGCATGCTCATCCTGTCCTGTAGTTGGTCCTATACTGGCCTCCGAAATGAACGAAAAGTGGGGGGGGGGGGGGGGTGGGGGGTGGGGATTTGAGCCGATTTGGAGAAGGTGGATTGGAAGGACGGACTTTGCAAATTTATGGAGCTTCGGGCCCTCAATCGTAAGCACTAACGATGGGCTCCGACCTAGAGTGTTTTTGACTTGAGTTGAATCTGCTCTAAGTGCTCTAATTAAGGGGACCGGAGAATTATAGCTGCTCATTCAGCACCAATGTGGAGTGCCAAATGGGCAAAAGCCACGATCGCTTTTGAATGCACACACTCCCTGAGTCGTGCAGAAGGCCCAGTAGCCCATCCTGGTGAGGCTTGTCAACACAGCCATTGTGACTGCCAGCTGCGGCGCCTGCGCCAATGCGCACGAGCCACTCGGGTTTCAAGTCATCATGAGCCCCAAGACATGGGTCACTCTACGATCCCAAGGAGGGCAGTATCACCGAATCCCCCCTGGAGCGTGCTGTTTTGCGGCGGGGGCATTTGCAAGCCCGCTCTGCGACCTCAACCTGCAGGTTTGGCCACAAGCAGGCTGTTGCGGGTTGCAGTGCGTGTCTCTCTCTCTGTCTGTGTGCACGCCTGCACTTCGAATTTCTTGTAAGGATGTCGCACGCCTCTCCAGTTTCCCAGCAAGATCGGACTCAGTTGAACCCTAAACCCTAAACCCTATAAACCTTAAACCCTATAAGCCCTAAACTCTAGACCCTAAACCCTAGACCCTAAACCCTATAAAAACCCTGTAAACCCTAAACCCTAGAAACTCCTCATGACAGCCTCAGGTGGTCCCAGGCCGTGGCCCTGCTGGGTCAGCTGCGCCGCAGGAGCCTCCAGGAGGCAGCTGGCCACACCGAATATGGGGGTTTAGGGTTTAGGGTTTAGGGTTTAGGGTTTAGGGTCATGGGGGGGGGGGGGCCGTAAAACCTAAGTTTTGTTTTTTTTTTTTGGGGGGGGGGGGGGGGGATGATGAGTATTAGGTTATTCTTATTCTTATTCTTCTTCTTATTCTTATTCTTCTTCTTATTCTTAATCTTATTCTAATTAGTACTATCGTTATTAGTATTACTAGAATTTTAACAGTATATGGGGGCCTTCAGAAACACCTGACTCATATGGGGGCCTTCACAATTAGAACAGGGTTTTGGGGGGTTATTCTAGTACCTGTAGTATAGAGGGTTTCGGCATAGGCGACGTCTTCCACCGCCAAGCCGCCGCCCCCGCACAAAGTTTCAAGCTCAGTGTTGGTAAAACCCAATCGCAGGCACTCTCATTGCTAATAGTTGAAATATCCTGGTCTTAAATCAGAAAACAATAATAATAACAATAATAATAAGCTTAATAATCATGATGAACTTAATGTTAATTGTCATAATCGTGATATTCAAAAACATTACATTCTCTATGCCAGGACGAGAAGGCTCAGGGCGCCGCGGTAGCGGCGCGCGAACTCCAAGGCTGGCGGGCGTCGCTAGTGGAGCTGGCGGCACAGGCGTGTGGGGGTTTGGGGGCAACTCAGAGAGTTGCTCTCAGGTTTTAGGGTTAGGGTTGAGGGTTGAGGGTTGAGGGTTGAGGGTTTAGGGTTACTCCCAGTTTGAGGCACCGATTTTTGAGGAGGGATGCCCCGTGAGCAATCTTGACTGCAGCACGGCTTGCTTAAGGCTGAGCGGCGGCGGAATCGGCAAGCCCTTGTGTAAACCACGTCAGCCCTCAACAAGTGCGTGGTGCTTCGGCCCTTAATTGCAGCCCACAGGATGTGCAGCTGACTCACAAGGTGTTCTCCCTAATCGCCCATCCTCTTGAACAGGGTTTAGGGTTTAGGGTAATCCTCAAGTCCTGAACCCTGACTGCCTTAACCTGGCAGTCGCTGCTCTGCTCACTTTAAAGGCACCGTCAACGTGCGTGCGGGTGCTTTCCAAGAGTGTTGCTCTAAACCCCAAACCCTAACCCTAAACCCGAAACCCGAAACCCGAAACTCTTCCCCTACAGACACTTATTGTTGTTGTTCTGGGTTTGTCATTGAATAGTTTTTATGGTTTGTTTGGATGATTAGTAAAAGTCAAGGGGGAAGAGAGAACATTGTTTTGGGTCCTTTGGCGGGATCACCCCTTTTGACCCTGCCTGCAGTTCGGCCAGCTATGTGGGAGCGAAAAAAACCCTAAACCCTAAACCTAAACCCTAAACCCTAAACCCTAAACCTAAACCCTAAACCCTAAACCTTAAACCCTAAACCCTAAACCCTAAACCCTAAACCCTAAACCTTGGCACCTTGGCACCTTGGCAGGCCGAGCCACAGCTCCCTGCGTGCAATGCAGCCGTCACCGTGTCGGAGTCGCAGCCAGGGGTTGAAAGGTTATCAAGGGAGCCACCCTGTTTTTTTCTAACAGTCCTCCATAGAGCCATAGAGATTAGAGTATCCCCCTATTATATTATAATGCCTTTACAATGGGGGGTGGGGGGGGGGGTACTAGAATCCCTATAGAGGACTGCTAGTAAACGAGGGAACATCCCAATGTGAGCCACCTTTGTGGCTCTCAGTAGAGAATTCAGGAATGAGGCACCCCCCTATGGTCATGGTACGGGTTGAGGGCTGGGACGCAGCTAAGCTTAACTAGGCTGAATTAAGCTTAACTAGGCCTAAATAAGCTTAGCAATACCTTGTCGGCTGAATAGGTCTGGGGGGGAGGGGGGGATGTTTCGGGGGGGGGGGGGGGGGGCAATCCATGATATAGAGGCCCGCAAGTGAATCCCCCCCCTGCCCCCCTTTGCGGTGTGGTTGTGTGTTGGCTGGGTTGAGGGTCTAGGGTCTGAGGGTTTAGGCGGTTTAGGGTTCTTTAGGGTTTAGGGTTTGGGTTTATGGTTTACAGTTTGGGGGTTACGGTTTAGGATTTAGAGTGTTAGGGTTCAGGGTTGAGAGTTTAGGGTTCAGGGGAGAGACCGTGCACCATGCGGTTTTTGGACATGCGTTTTTGGACATGTGGCTTTGGAACACGCATTTTTGGATATGAATTTTGGAAAATGCACTTTTGGACATGCATTTTGGGATATTTTGCTTTCTTCGGAAATGAGCATAATATTATTTCTTGTGTACATATATATATATATACACATATATGTATATATTTATACACGTTACCCAGTATTGTGTGATATGATCTATATAGTGTACATAGAAAAACTCAATAAAAACTACTGTCGCTCCTGGTAGTGCTTCGATTGTCCAAGCATGGCATGTGGGTCAAGCGCGAGATCCTGGTACATGTCGTTCTTCTCCGTCCGCGCTCGGAAGTAGGGAACCTGGTTGCGACACTTCGGGGACTTCGGCTGCGATACTCCGGGTGTACTGAGAATTAGTTTTTTTTCCGTACGTGTAACAAAACTAATTCTCAGTCTGTTCCGTCTTGATTTTTGAACCGTTGAATGCTCTCTCAGCACTCCCGAGCCTCAACCCCTGCCGCGTGAAGATCGAAACTCTAAACCCTAATCCCTAAACCCTAAACCCTCCTCAGGCATGCGAACGCACTGCCTGCTGGCATGCCGCACTCTCCCTCCTGGCATCTGCGCCAGGCCAGGGATTTAAAAATACCATTCCCTATGTTACCCTTATAAGGGAAAATGTTTTTAGTTTTTTGGGGGTTCTTAAGCAATTACTAGTCTGGGCATTGAGGTGTATTTGCAGGATGCCGCTGCCCCCCCGTAGACTTCTGGACGTGGCAGGTGCGCGGATGGCACCCGATGCAATCTCGGCGAACGCAGGCGTTTCCGCCTGCCGACGCCCGGCGCTAGTAGCAGAAAGTTGGGTGTCAGGGGTGCTGTGTTTCTGCATAATCAGGGCTGCACAAATGCTCAGCGGCAATACAGTGGGCCGGTGTCTCGGAAGCTTCCCAGGTCCTTGGCCCGCAACAGGACACCCAAACAGCCTCGTGAAAAGATCTGCAGCTTTTGGGTCCCCGCACTCCCCAAACCCAAAGAAGTAAGTCATCCTCCACTTCTCCAAGAGTTTCAAAAGAGCTCCCTTGGGCCCTTTTCGCTAAGGCCTGGCCTGGGCCCGTGCCTTGCATCTCCTGTCTCAGCAGGTGGAAGGGTCTCAAGTTCTTCTCACACTGCTTCCCTCAACCCTCAACCCTCAACCCTCAACCCTCAACCCTCAACCCTCAACCCTCAACCCTCAACCCTAAACCCTAAACCCTAAACCCTAAACCCTAAACCCTAAACCCTAAACCCGAACTCATATGGGGGCAGTCTGGGAGTTCCGTGAGGGCGTTCATGGGCCGGCGCGAGGCGCAGCTCGATTCATCGAGCTCGGAGCTTGTGGCAGTTGCAGCCGAGGTGCGAGCGCAGGGGTGACAAGAGTTTGAGGGCTCCAATCGGGGCCATAGGATTTGCTGAGCACAGCTGCAAAAAAACAGAGAAGCGAAGCAGATGCCAGGCTTCCGGGCAGGGAGCAGCTGTGGCGAGGTTGTTGGAGGATCTCGAAGGCACGCCTGTGAGACACAAGGCTACAAGAGTCCTTCTGAACCGACGCTTGTCGCTGGGACACCAGGTCGTGTGATGACAGGCGCACTCCGCCAGAGAGCTGTGTGATCAAGGCACGATGCCATGGTCGTTTGATGAGGACGCAAGATACCTCCCCAATGTTGAAGAGTTGCTGCGTTGAAGAGGAAGAGTGTGTAGGGCTCATGGGTTCAAAAAGGGTGGGCTGCAAGGCCGCAAGGGCTCTAACGTCAGGCACTCCCGCTTGCCTATCCTCCTCGGCAGAGACGTCGCCCCAGCCCAAGCAGAGGCCTGGCAATTCAGAGAAAGTCCCTATAAGATTTCAAGGATTGCCCACCCTCTTATTTCTACCAGTTGCTGCAGCCCCTCCGCCCACTTTTCAGCACCCCCAAGAGGCGGAAACCAACACGGCCCTTGTCAGCCCGGAAACCCCCACAGAGAGGCAGCCGCAGCTTCGGCTTCTGCGCCCGTGTGGGCGAGGATGCCTGGCTTGTTGGGAGCCGAAGGTGTGCAGATGTGCCGGGGGGATGCGGAGGGAATGGATGGTATAAAGCCATGTAAGGCCAGGGAAAGGGGCAAAGCCTGAACCTGCCGCTGTAGCTGTTTTAGGGATCAAGCTGTCTGCAGGCCTGTTCCGAGTGGACACGTTAAGTTCATGTCTTGGGCGCGGTGGCAAAGGTTCACCTTCATCGACAACCCAAAGACTCCAGTATCCCCAGTGCAAGCCCGGGCGCGCAGCTGCCCACCAAGTGCCAGGCGTCGCCACTCCACGGACGTGGACATGCCCACGGACGTGCACCCAGAGAAGCATCTCGCGTGCGAGCGCGTGGGCAGGTTGAATCCGAAGCTGGGGGATACCAACTTCACCGAGACAGGTCGTTCGAAGGCAGCCGGTTGTTTCCGCACTGACGCCTGCCTGGCATCCACGACGGCACCTGATCCCGAGGAGGAATTTGGAGGGTTCTCCAAGTGCAGCATTTCCCTGGACAAGCGTGTGTGGCCGAGTTACGGCACACTGGGGCACCCGGACGTGTGCGGACGCCCCTGCATCTTCGTCCTGAATGGGAGCTGTGAGAGAGGCGCCGCCTGTGCCTGTTGCCATCGCTGCAATTTTCGCCTGGGGGGCGTGGCCAGATGAGACTTGAATCCCTCTCAAAATCCTTTCCGGTGCAAAGTGAGACATGCCGCAGAACTTAGGCCCTTTAGGCCCCTAAACGAGAACTGTGGAGACTTGGGTCCATGGGCTTTCAGAGAACTGTAGCTCGAGCACGGAAGCCTTTATGCAGGCAAGCCCTGTTGCAAGGGAATTTGATTCATGTGGGGTTTCCTCAAATAGGGGCACCTGTGTTTCTCGGCTGTTCCGCAATAACAGCAAGGATTAGAGCACTTTGGGTTGGGCTGTTCTCCCTTATACTAACAATCCTTGACAGGGATGGTAAGAGGGGGTACTACAATCCCAATTAAGGACTGTTAGTATCAAGGGGGGACATCCTAATCTTTGGGGTTCATCAGGGGGTGCCCCCTACTTGGAGGTTCAGGGTACTGAGCAAGACTCAGTAGCAACTAAAAAGTGTCGAACCCACCTCGAAGGCCCTTAAGTACTCTAACAGGATATGAAGCAGGGTTTATATATCTGTTTTTGGTGAGTGTATATAAGGTTCCTTTTTAATATTGGTGAGTGTATACCTTTGGTGTCCTTTTGGGGGTACAATAAATATATACCCTACTTCATATACTTCCTTGGGTTACAAGTGCAGTTAAATTTGGGTTACGAAGAACCCTGAACCTCCATGGGGAAATGCCCATGTGTTGGGCCGTAAATTTGAGGAAGTTTGCGGCTTTACACGGAGTGGCAAGCCATAGTTTCGCGGGCTTTCGCCGCGTGGGGTGGAACATGTTAAGGCTTAGAGGGGTTTAGGGTTTAGTCCAGTTGCAAAAAAAGGTTTGGGGTTTGAGCTCGCGGGGTCAAAAGGGTTTGGGGTTTGGGGTTAGGGTTTAGGGTGGTTCCTCTCCAGTTTTTTGTGTTGTGTGTGTGTGGGGTTCACAGAATCCAGTGCTTAATTAAAGGGTAGCCCTATCTTGGGGTATGCCCGTTTAGTGTATGAGCGATCGGGATGTGGAACAACAAGCAACTTTGTCACCCCACATGGCCGCTGCTCGTGCTGCCGAGGGGTGGTGCCTGGCGCAAGCTTCAGTGTAAACGTTTCCAAAGGGTTTCGCTCACCTTCAGAGGCGAGCTTGTCCTCCCTGGTGCTCACAGACTAGGACAGCTTTCTGGCAGGCTGACAACTCGGGTTGTTCAGTTAGCCTGTTAGGGGTTTAGTGTCAAAAGCGAGCCGTTGTTCCGAATGCCTCTTGCCTCTAGAAAGTGTGAGTGGGGGGGACGTTTTTGAGAAGCGGCGCCGTATGCACTTTCTCTCTCTTTGATGTGGGTATAGACCGGGCGGGTGGTTTGACCCGTGCCGGAATTCACATCAATCCACACCAGAGCTGGCCAGTCACTGACTCTTCCATCATCGAAGTTCGTGACGGTCATGTAGAAGTTATCCATTCAAGGCAACGCGGCACATGGCAAACAGAGCCGCCTTTTTCTGATTCTGCTCAGAATGTGCGTGCCTTGGAGGTGATGCAACCAGAGGACCACGATCGCTAGAAGTCCATTGGCACGTCTTGGATCAGCTGGCACTCAGGTGGTTTCGTATTTAGTTGTGATGAGTAGCCGGGCACAGCCCAAGCAACGTGACAGCTTTGGAGAAGACCAGCCATGGGATCCTCGGTGCACAAGAACGCAAGGAAGAGATTACTTTAGAGTAGTTTCCAATCTGCGAGTTTTGGGCCTGCAAAAGACATTCTCGCCTGATCTTGACTGAACCACTGGCCTTCAACGGCACACGTGGCCGAAGTGCTATGGGGTAACGCAAGATGCATTGGACGATGCAGGAGATCATGCACTTTCGCTGCCAGTTCCGCGACGACAGAAGCGGCCGATCCTGGTCAGCAAGTTGGGATGCTCGGGCTGAATTGCGTCGAACATGGTCATGCCTAGGATAGAGTGCCTTGGGATTGCACATTGCGCATGGCGGTTTTGAGTATTTTGGGGAGGTTACGGTGCCTCAAGCAGATCAGTACGGCCTAAATGGCAAGTTCCACACATCCCCTTTTTCATTGGCATCTTCAACTCAGGTTCGCCCCGGCGCATGTGCAAGACATTACAAGATGTTTCGTGGCCACAGCAGATCAAGGACGGGGGAACTGCTGGGCTTATTCCTTGGATTCGACACCCACAAAGACCTGCGAAGATTGTGTTGGGGGAGTTGACGAGTCCAAACCGGAACACTTGGGCCAGGACTGCCCCGATGCCGTTGAGGTGCTTGGAATTTTTTCGGCCCTGAGCAAAAGCAGCCTTCTCTGCTTGAGCTTGCGCACACTTGGCGGAACCAATTATACTAATATGGGGTTATAATTGGGTTAGTACCACGCATGAAGCCGCGTGCACGCGGCGTGCTTGCCAAACTGAAGGCGATGCGGTCGTGATCCACTGTGTGAGGCTTAAGCCCCATGCAAGCTTACAAGGGCTCACATGGACACACCGTTTCAAGGTCACGTGGGCAAAGGTCTGTAAAGAGCGCAATCCGCCAGTCTCCTTCTGTCCCTGCCCACATGGCGGCAGACAGAGCCCAGAAGTGCTGCATACGTCATGTTTTGCAGGGTAGGTCTAGGAAGCCTGGCAGAAGATGTCGAGATGCCTGCCCTGTTCCTCTTGCCTGGGCTACAAGGAGAAGGACGCCGGGCTCTTTCGTGCGTTGTTTGAACAGAGCCGGGAAGTATTCCATGAACCCAGAGGTGATTTGTCCAGCTATGCGCATGGCAAAAACTACCTTCCGTGTCGGGGGATGGTTGTCTTCGGTTGGCTTGTCAGGGGCGAAGTGGAGGGACGTCGGGCTCGCTGAAGACGTACACCTATTATGCACTATGCTGGTAGGACAGGTGGCCAGAAACAGTTTTTCCAAGTCGTGTGGACGCTGCATGGCTAGACATGACAGAGAAGGACTACACCCAGATGCCAGCCTTCGGCGACGAACCTCGGCATCTACGAGACTCACAAACGTGCGTCGGTGTGCAGTCGGGCGATTCCTGCTATAAGGGTGTTGAATTGCACCATGAAAAAAAAACAGCAAATTTCAACACCGCGCGGCTCGCCTCGGGCCTGGGGCTTCTGCCCAGCGGCGTGGCAGGCCCAAACCATGGGAATCGTGGCCGCATGCTGCGGTCATGAAGACGCGAAGGCACAAAAGGAAAGCAACTACAAGGCGACAAAGAGGGGTTAAAAGGCGACGGTAGGGCGCCTCTAAAAGCCGGCAGAAGAAGGTGGTCAGGCGTAGGGTTCGAGTGACGCAACCAACTGCAGAATTTGGTGTCCGTCCCCTATGGTCCCTCGTCCTGATGCACCGTCCGCTCATAGACACCTGTCGGCTAGGGGGGTAACCATTCCAAGGAAAAACTAAAACAGGGTGTAAACCTCAGCGCGTGGCCGCAGTACGCCGCAGTGGGTACCTGCTTTTTGCTACCCAGACGCTTACGGCCCAAGGTTCAGAGGGAGCGGGTTGAGGATGGCATTGGTGCGTTGAAGAGTGGAAGTTTCATGGGTTCGGAGACTTGCGAGCACTCAGCTACCCAACGCCCCAACGCGGAACCCTCATACAGAACCCTAAGTCCTAAACCCTAACCCTAACATGCTGCGACCCTAAAACCCTGAAAACCCTGAAAACCCTGAAAACCCTGAAAACCCTGAAAACCCTGAAAACCCTGAAAACCCTGAAAACCCTAAAATGCTACGACCCTAAAACTCCCAAACAACCCTAAACCTTCTGTTTTTCACATTGAACCCTGAAAACCCTAAACCCTAAACCCTAAACCGTAAACCCTAAACCCTAAACCCTTTCTTTTTCACATTGGAATCTCCCAGAGGCTCCCCGTCTCTCGCTCTCCGCCGGCCGCATCGTGGGTGAGTACGTCGGGCACACGGAGCACTTCAGCTCCTCGCTAGGCCGTTTAGGGTTTAGGGTTTAGGGTTTCGGGGTTTGGGGGTTTTGGGTTTAGGGTTTGGGGTTTAGGGTCTAGGGTTTTTGGGTTTTTGTTTTGCATTTGTTTTTGCTTTCCCCTTAGTGTTTTTTTCGAGGATCATATGTCGAGTTGTATCTTCCCTTATTGGGTCGAAGGAGGATCCTGCTTTGGGACCCTAAACCGTAAACCCTAAACCCCTGAACCCTAAACCCCTGAACCCCTGAACCCCTAAACCCCTAAGCCCTAAACCCCTGAACCCCTGAACCCCTAAACCCCTAAACCCCTAAACCCCTAAACCCCTAAACCCCAAACCCAAAACCCCCTTTTTCGGGGCCATCCTAGGCTCCATCCCCTTTGCCGCACCTCCCACTGGGAAGCGGAGGTGGGAAGGGCGAACTCTACCCGCGTGAGCTGTAGAGTGAGCCGGAGGGTTTAGGTTTAGGGGTTAGGGTAAACTTCAAGCCCTAAACCCTAAACCCTAAAACCCTAAACCCTAAGCCTAAACCCTAAACCCTAAACCCTAAACCCTAAACCCTAAACCCTAAATTCTAAACCCTAAACCCTAAACCCTAAACCCTAAACCCTAAACCCTTCAGAGCCCCTGCGCGCCCTCTCTTCCAAAAGCCGCAGCCTGTGATGCGCAGGTGGCGAAAGCCAGTGCCGGTGAAGCCCTGGGAGGGGGAGCCCGGGAAGTTTGGGGGGATGTTTAGGGGTTAGGGTTTAGGGTTTAGGGTACGGCTGAGGCTTCTAATAAGAAATCTGCCTTTTTCAGCCAGGGTTTCGAAATTTCTTAAAACCCCAAATGGAAATAAGAAAGTTAGGTTTGAACCAGACCCTGAAATATATTTCTTATTCGAGGGTTGATTAGAGGTGAGTATAGGGACAGAGTTGGGGAACATGTAACTCACCAGTGTAGAGCTTTTCGGTGTGCTCTAAGCTCTAAACCCTCAACCCTAAACCCTAAACCCTACACCCTAAACCCTAAACCCTAAACCCTAAACGCGGGGAAGAGGCCCGGCACAAAAAGTCACCTTATTTGGGCCTTTCCGGCCTGAAACACCTCAAAAAAGGTGACTTTTTGTGCCGGGCCTCTTCCGCCCGCCGTGCCGGCACGCGAAGAGGTGCTCTAAGCTCTAAGCCCTAAACCCTAAACCCTAAACCCTAAACCCTAAACCCGAAACCCTAAACGCGGGGAAGAGGCCCGGCACAAAAAGTCACCTTATTTGGGCCTTTCCGGCCTGAAACACCTCAAAAAAGGTGACTTTTTGTGCCGGGCCTCTTCCGCCCTAAGCCCTAAGCCCGAAGCCCTCAGCCCTGAGCCTTGAGCCCTGAGCCCTGAGCCCTGAGCCCTTAAAGGCTTCCCCGCAAGAGCCCGGCAGAGCCCGGCACAAAAAGTCACCTTATTTGGGCCTTTCCGGCCTGAAACACCTCAAAAAAGGTGACTTTTTGTGCCGGGCCTCTTCCGCCCGCCGTGCCGGCACGCGAAGAGGTGCTCTAAGCTCTAAGCCCTAAACCCTAAACCCTAAACCCTAAACCCGAAACCCTTAACGCGGGGAAGAGGCCCGGCACAAAAAGTCACCTTATTTGGGCCTTTCCGGCCTGAAACACCTCAAAAAAGGTGACTTTTTGTGCCGGGCCTCTTCCGCCCGCCGTGCCGGCACGCGAAGAGGTGCTCTAAGCTCTAAGCCCTAAACCCCAAACCCTAAACCCTAAACCCTAAACCCGAAACCCTAAACGCGGGGAAGAGGCCCGGCACAAAAAGTCACCTTATTTGGGCCTTTCCGGCCTGAAACACCTCAAAAAAGGTGACTTTTTGTGCCGGGCCTCTTCCGCCCTAAGTCCTAAGCCCGAAGCCCTCAGCCCTGAGCCTTGAGCCCTGAGCCCTGAGCCCTGAGCCCTGAGCCCTGAGCCCTGAGCCCTTAAAGGCTTCCCCGCAAGAGCCCGGCAGAGCCCGGCACAAAAAGTCACCTTATTTGGGCCTTTCCGGCCTGAAACACCTCAAAAAAGGTGACTTTTTGTGCCGGGCCTCTTCCGCACGCCGTGCCGGCACGCGAAGAGGTGCTCTAAGCTCTAAGCCCTAAACCCTAAACCCTAAACCCGAAACCCTTAAAGCGGGGAAGAGGCCCGGCACAAAAAGTCACCTTATTTGGGCCTTTCCGGCCTGAAACACCTCAAAAAAGGTGACTTTTTGTGCCGGGCCTCTGCCGCCCTAAGCCCTAAGCCCTGAGCCCTGAGCCCTGAGCCCCCTGAGCCCTGAGCCCTTAAAGGCTTCCCCGCAGGAGCCCGGCAGAGCCCGGCACAAAAAGTCACACCTTTTTTGGGCCTTTCCGGCCTGAAACACCTCAAAAAAGGTGACTTTTTATGCCTTCCGCCCTAAGCTTTTGTCTGTCTGAGAAATGGACACACTGGGGATTGAACCCAGGGCCTTCCGCATGCGAAGCGCATGTGATACCACTACACCATGTGGCCCTTGAATACATGAAACATTTCAACCAACATTGGCCAAAGAAAAAAGCTCTTTTTGAGCCCTGAGCCCTGAGCCCTGAGCCCTGAGCGCTGAGCCCTGAGCCCTGAGCCCTGAGCCTTGAGCCCTGAGCCCTGAGCCCTGAGCCCTTAAAGGCTTCCCCGCAAGAGCCCGGCAGAGCCCGGCACAAAAAGTCACCTTATTTGGGCCTTTCCGGCCTGAAACACCTCAAAAAAGGTGACTTTTTGTGCCGGGCCTCTTCCGCCCTAAGCCCTAAGCCCCTGCGCCCTGAGCCCTGAGCCCTGAGCCCTGAGCCCTGAGCCCTGAGCCCTGGGATTAGAGGGTTTGAGGCTTGCAGTTTCTTGGGTTCTTGGTAAATATGACAGAGAACGTTACTTAATACTTCCTCGGCGGAATTTTTTTGGGCGAGCCCGCGAGGCCCTGGATTTTAAAATGTGTGGCCGGTCCAGGTCCAGATTTCTTAATTAATAAAAATTTCTTAACACACTCCTGGGCCGTAGCCGTAAAAAGTGGGTTTAGGGTTTAGGGTTTAGGCTTAAGTTTAGGGTTAGGGTTTAGGTTTAGGGGAAGACGGCTCCTGAAATTGCGGTTTTGTATTTCTCAAAAGGATATGCGAACATCGTAATATTATAATAAAAACAATGTGCGAATATAGCATGTACAATGACATATCAGTTTTGGAATAGCAGAATATGCGATTACACGATTACGGAAGAACAGAATGATGGGCACAAGGCTCTCCGACTTGGTTGCGGTCGGAAGATCCGCACGCCACACCTGCCTGCACCTACTCCTAGTCCTACTCCTACACCTACACCCCTACACCTGCACCATCGCATCCACCACATATTTTTGCGCCATGGAAGTCACCGGAAATCTTAAACCCTGCGATGCAACAGAGGAGCTCGACTGCAGCAGCCACCGGCCTGCCAACGATCGCCGGGGCCGACCTGCCCAGTACGTGGACCCCCGCACGACAGATCGGCTGCCAACAGAAGCTCGGGAGCAGGATGTGAGAATGTCAGTTCATGTTCAGGAAGTCTATTTCTTGGAGATGCTTTAAAGGGTATGAGAGCGTGGGTTTAGGGAAGATCCGGGATGAACGGCGGGTCCTCTCCAGTCTTTCCTGTTGAAGCTGCACAAGGTTCCGGTGTTTCCGCGCCTTGCGTAGTGTGCTCGGACGCAGTGGGGAAGGGTCGGAAAGGGGAAGGAAGGAGACCAGATCTTGGTTTGGCTTGTTCTCAGAGCAGCCAGGAAGACTGCCTGCACCTGGACGTATGGCTGCCCAAGGGCACGGCGGAGAGATCTGGTAAGCCGCTGCTGCCAGTACTAGTCTGGACCCGTGGCTGCAGATCCGATCCGAATTTCGGGGGTTGAGATGGCATTTGTACCGAGAACCGATTGCAAGATGAGGATCTATCCCTAAACCCTGTAAACCCTAAACCCTACACCCTAAACCCTCGACCCTCTAGGAAATCTTCGAGAACAGATCTGCAGAATGAGGATCTATGGCGGCGGCCTTCTTGGGGGCTCCAAGGATGACCCCGGCTCATCAGGCGCTTCGGAGCCGAAACCCGTTGATGCCTAGGGTTTAGGGTTTAGGGTTTAGGGTTTAGTCCCTGCTTGCTTTGCGGGTCCCGAGGAGGCATGCGCACCCCGCAGTCAACAGGATAAAGGGGTGACATTTCTGGCTCGACTTCGAGTCCAGTGGCAAAAAGCGTTTTGGGGACAAACCCCAGGCCAGAGCTACGCGGAGCAGGGGATCATCTACCTGCTTCTTGACTTGCGATGCGCTGACTTTTGAAAAAAGGCCCTAAGCCCTAAACCCGAAACCCTAAACCCTAAACCCTAAACGCGGAGGCCCTTCTGCCCGAATACATTCTGCACGTCATGCCGTGAATTTGGGCAGCTCTACATAGCCCGAAACCCTAAACCCAGTTTTAAGAGGCTTATGTAAGCCAGAGGCTTCTTAGGTTGATAGTCTGTAGCATCGACATCGAACTCCCTCAACACCTAAGCCCCTAAACCCCAAACCCGAAACCCCAAACCCTAAACCCTAAACCCCAGGAGCATCAACTACCGCGTCGGCACCCTTGGATTCCTTTGCCCCCGGGGAGGTGACGCGAATTGCGGCCTCTGGGACCAGGCCGCGCGTGGGGGGTTGAAGTGAGGGTTTGGGGATTCTGGGAGCCCGTGAACCCTATACCCTGAACCCTGAACCCTAAACCCTAAACCCTAAACCCTAAACCCTGAACCCTAATCCCTAAACCCTAAACCCTACACCCTAAACCCTGGACCCTGGACCCTGAACCCTGAACCCTGACCCTGAACCCTAAACCCTGAACCCCAACCCTTGCCTGCTTCAGCGAGTGTGAGATTCGAAACCCTTGACCCGAAACTAGAAACCCGAAAACCCTCATGTGGGTTTCTGGAAGTTTCTAGGTTGAGGGGACTGATAGGGCTTTAAGTCTCGGCGGGATGATTGGGGCATTGACTATGTGGTGCTTGCAAAACGTCCACGATTTCTTGACGACGTGGTTCGAGGCTTTAGTGGCAGCCCATCGCGCAAAGCCTGTGTTCAGGATCTCACAAAAAAGCATTTGCGTTGCAACCGCCCTTCCTGCCTCGCCATCCCTAATTCCTAAACCCTAAACCTAAACCTTAAACGCTAAAACCTGAACCCTAAACCCTACACCCAACACAGGTCGCCGCCCTCCAGTGGGTGCAGGAGGAGATAGTGAAGATGGGTGGCGACGCCAAGCGGGTGGCCAAGGGTGGCCAAGGGTTTCAGGGGTTTGCGCCCAGGCATGGTATCGGGTTTAGGGTTTAGGGTTTTAGGTTTAGGGTTCAGGGTTTAGGGTTTAGGCACCAGGCTTGGAAGCATTTGCAGGCTTTGAGACATTAAGACCTTGCAGGAGTCTTTTGGGCCTTGAATCCGAAGCCTGCAACCTTGCCGATTGAATCTCTTCCAGCTGCGAGTTTGTTTGCGAGTTGTTGAGATGAAGCGGCTGCACACATGAGGGGGTATCTTGTCACGTACGGAAGCGGAGGTGACGATCATGGGGCAGTCGGCTGGGGGCGACTCAGTGTATTGGTGCGCCAAGCCTCGGGACACGTATGCACAACTTCTTCTGGTCGGCATTGCGTGATGTCTGCTCGCTTTGGTTGGCTCATGGGCCCCACACTCGGGAAGGTCTGCAGACATTGCCACAAGCGTGAGGCTTAAAGTGAAGGCACATGATCATCTCTTCTTCAGATTGCGCTGGTCGTGTGCCTATGGTTGGGCTCTGAGGTGTTGTTTGTGAAGCGCTGCTTGATTGTTGAGTTTGATAGCCATCAGATCACCAGCAGACTCTTGTGTCGCTCTAGCGGATGGCGATCTCAGCGCTCAGCACTCCAAGCACTCAAAGAGACTTTCCAGCCTTTCTAGCTGATCCTAGGTCAAAAAACACGGATGCTGCAGCCCGGATCTTTCCCTGCGTACCCTTCGCCATAACCATGTGCTGCGGCGCGGACGACGACGAGGATGAGCAAGCAGCGGGAAATCCCGGGCCGGATATCAAGCGTCGGATCTCCAACTGCAAGCAGAGCTGCCCACCTTTCGGACAGCGAGAGGGCAACATGTTTAAAGTTGGGTGCCAGCAAGTCGGTGCATCTGTGACGCCGTGCTGAGTCTTGCGGTTGAATATCTGAGGTGCACTGATGTCTGCTGCAACTTGGGCAAAACGGAATCAGAGAGAGCAGGAGAGGCGGCAGGTCGAAAAAGATGCTGTAGTTCGTTTTTTTTTTATAACTCGTGATGCTACTTCATGGGACTAGGCAACTCCATGGGCTTCTTATCTGATGTATGCTGCCGATGGTCTCGAAGTCTTTGCATCGCTAGCGGAGAGACAGGTATTCCAGTCCTGGTGGTCTTCACCATCTGGCCCATCGCCGTGGTGTTGGGGCTAAAGGCTTTGAAATGCCAAAGCCTTTTGCTTCACGGTTTGCAGGGCGTGTTCAGCTTTCAGGGCTTGGCGGAGCGAATATTTTGATACAGAGTCAGTTCAGGACCATCATTGCCGGAACCGAATCTGGGTTTGGTCTTGCGGGCTATCCAGGATATCCTGCTTCCCTTTTCTGCAGGGGGAAGAGGTCGAACCTCCAGCAGCCTCCTTTCAGTTGACCCTAAACCCTAAACCCTAAACCCTAAACCCTAAACCCTAAACCCCTAAACCCTAAACCCTAAACCCTAAACCCACCAATGATATATCAGCTCAGCCTCAGGGTGTGGAGACTTTGTTTTGACTGGCCATGGCATGCGCTCCAGTATGGAAGTTGCCCCCCCGTGCTCCCCCGTGTGCTGTTTAAGGGGTTTAGGGCTGAGGGTTTAGGGTTTAGGGTTGAGGGTTTAGGGTTTAGAGAAACTCCCCCCCCCCTCCCATCCCCCCCCCGGAAGCGTTGCATGTGGCGCAGGATGTGGACGGTGCCTATGCGCTGACCCATGGACACGACCACTACGGCCAGTTCTGTGGGCGCGAGCCCTTGGAGGTGAAAACCCTAAACCCTAAACCCTAAACCCTAAACCTTAAACCGTAAGTGCAAACACGCATGTGTTTGCCAACCGGAGACAAGGGCCACGTGGGGCCAGTTGGGGCCAATGCAAAAATGCAGCCGAAGCTCACAACTTGGGCCAACAGCCCTCAATAGGGCTTAGGGTTTAGGGTTTAGGGTTTAGGGTTTAGGGTTTAGGGGGATTATAGTATCTCCTATTATAGCTCTTGGTATGAGGGTGAACAGGTGAACATCCTAACTCACAACTGTCGGCCCTTGAGACTGCCACTGCGCCGTAGCTGCAGTTGCATTGCCTGTTCAGGCGAAGCCTTTTGCAGCCTTCCCGGATCTCGAGAACGACTTCAAGAAGGAAGGGTGTGCCCTTCTGTGCCTTTCCGGGTTTGCGTTTGTTGCGATGTGGCTTGCTGGATGCCGGATCCCCACTTCGGAAGAAGGGCAGGAGCCGTGAAATGTGAGGTTCGTATACTTCCCTGAGGACCCGCTGCTGCAAAACCGCTATGGTGTTTGCGTGGATGCCTGCCCTCAACAGCTCCTTGGCCGGAACTTGGCTTTTCCCCCACCTTGCAGATGCCACCAGGGCCGACAGAGATGAGGTTTCAGAGCATCACGGACTATGATGGCCAGCTGATGCTTGGGCAGAACGGGCGTGAGGCAAATACATAATGAGTATATACTATGACATGATACAATATATCTAGAATAGAAAATAATATAACATTATATATATATAGTACAATATGTATATGTATACGTATGTGTACATATGTATATATAGACACATGTACATATACATATACATATACATATACATTTCCATTTTCTTATACATATACATATACATATATACATACATACATGCATGCATACATACATACATACATACATGCATACATACATACTCCTGGATAGGATGTTCCAAGCGATGTGGGGGGGCCCATCCAGGAAAGAGGGTGGGCAGCCCCTGAGAAAGACCGCCTCCATGGACTGGCGCCACGGCCAGCGTTTTAAGGGGGGGCCCTTGGGAAGTTTAGGGTTTAGGGTTTAGGGTTTAGAGATGCAAAAAAAGGGGTTTAGGGTTTAGGGTTTAGGGCGAAGACTTGAGCAGCGCTGTGGTGCATGTGCCCTCTGGGTTCTGTGCAGCTTCGTAGGGCCTCTTTTGTGGCCCTTGCACATTGCATTCAAAGGATCAGCAGCCAAGGTACATCTCCTTGCCCACGATTCCCATCGCCGGCCGGTGACTGGCTGTAAAAGCGTTCAGGTTCTTTTGCCGCTTCCGAGCCAAAACAACTCCGGTCTGGGCGCACTAGTAGGGCATTCCTCTTCATTTCTGCATGTCCTTCGTGCCGTTTGTGTTCATGGAGCATGAGCGAGCATCTATCGGTACAGTACCCCGCAATTCTGCCACTCAACATGCGCACTCCTCAAAGGACAGCCCTCTCTGCACGTCACTCTAAGATGCGTAGTCGCTTCTCCGACTCTTTCTGAAGATAAGCTCCATAAGCTGCCTCTTGCAGTGCTCATCCCAGTTGCATACCCTATGACCCGCCAGCGGAGTTCACGGGGGCCGTGGAGCCCCTCAGCTGAGCAAAGGTCCTGAGCCGGCCCCAATCTGCCTGAGGACATGAGCATCCTTGGGGAGCTCCCTAAACTCGCCTCCTTTTTGGGGGTCCCGGTTTCTATGAGGGCGCCGTATTCTAAAAAAACGGGGGACCCCAAAAAGAAGAACCCTAATCTGGGGAACTGCCCGTATAGTGGAACGCCTCTGGGGCTTTCAAGACATACTGAGTGACAGCCTGCGGACTGGCCCCCGAAGTGTGGTATCGGGCTCCTAGTTCTATGGCTACCCTAAACCCTATACCCTAAACCCCTAGCCGACACCCAAAACCCCAAACCGTGCTTTCGGTTCCTCAAGTATCAGAGAGAGCACCGAGTCAACCCTGCTAGAGACTCTAACTCAAGAGTCGCCTTCTCTGTATCTTGGGTTTAGGGTTTAGGGTTTGGGGTTTGGGGTTTGGGGTTGGGGAAGTCTGCTGCAGGTTCTGTGCGGACCCGCCGTGCCTGGAGAAGCCCGGGGTGTAGCTCGGGCCTGATCCGGAAGATTTAAAATCCCCGCCATAGACCCTAAACCATCCTAAACCTTAGACCCTAAACCCTAAGTCCTAAACCTTAAACCCGCAACCTACACAGCAAACCCTAAACCCTTGTGAAATATCACCTTGTCGGTAGTGAATAGTGTACAGCCAAGGTCACGCCTCCCTATCTTGTATTCCTTTAGAGTAGAGCCCAATTCCAACCCCCTTAAAACAGGGAGGTTTGTTTGACTAGTTGTACTTTGTAGGCCTTGGGCCCACAGCGCCAGAGTCCCAAAATAGTGCTTCGCAGTATCTGCTCCTTAGAGATCCCACCTCAAACTGGTAGCGGAGCCCCACCCTGCTCTTAGAGCAGTGGTCGGCGGTATCCAAACCAGTGGGACGGAGCAGAGTCTCACCCCATCCTGTGACTAAGTCACCCTTAAGCCCAGTAGCTAGGTAAGGGCAGGCCCCTTGTTTGTGTTTTCCAACCTGAGCAATGGCTTTTCATACCTGGTATACTCCGGAGGCAGTGGATTTTTCATTGGCATCGACACCGGCGAATGCCGATATGTCCAGGACTACCTCGTCAAGTGATGTTTTTTTTCGGATTGCGGCGAAATGCTGCGTGATGGCATATACCCTTATTCTTGTGGCGAAGCAAATGTTGCAATGCTCGTGGATGCAGTTGATGGTATTTCGTCAATGGTCTTTTTGTGATTTGCCCACAGTGGATATTTACAAGGACAAAGGTATTTATGCTATTCTGGACGAAGGATGTAACAGTACAGTCCATGGGGACGTGTCGGCCAGGAACGCTGAGGCCAAGCTTGAATTCTTAGGATTCACCTCTAAGTTCCAGGCCAGTCCTCCGAGAGACTTTAAGGGATTCGGGAAAACCCGCGCCCTCGGAGTCAGGAGTTTTCCCTGTTCAATACTCACCTTCGAAAAGAAGAGGCTACCTGGTATTTTGGAATCTCACGAGATCCTTGGTTCAACTCCTTTATTGCTGTCTTTACATGCGCAAGCAAAGCGCAAATGCCGAAGGTCATGCGCGAAGGCCGTGCATTCGTGAGTCTCCCCAGCGATCCCGAGCACAGGTTCGAACTGAAGCTGTATCGCACTCACGACAGTGGCTTGCTAGCTATTGACATCTCAGCAGGACTCAGCCCTGGGAAGCAACCTCTATGCATCAGGGAAGACAGGACGGCTTCCCCTTACCCCGCTGCCCCACTGCCTACGGCAATGACGCAACCAGCATCCCCGCCGCGGAGCCCTTCCACCAGCAACGGGAAACCCTGTTGCGCCGTTGCCCTACCTCAGCGGCCGCCCTCGCGAGCGACCCTGGAAACTGCCAGGGAGGCGGCCCCATTTCCGTTTGTCAGACCTAAGGGCTGGGCAGAGCAACGATGACTGGTGGAACGCTTGGTGGTATGATTCCCATGATTACAATTACGACTCTTGTGGCAATAGCCACCATAGGACAGGTACTATGCCAACGAGCCAGCATGGCGCCAGGAAACACCTGATAACGCATAGATCCCGATTTGGTCGAAGCTCTGAACGCGTACTCCTCAGTGCAAGCGAACACACAGGCCTAGAAGAACTAGGTGATGAATACGCGGAGTAAAGGCAGGGGCAAGGGTAAAGGAAAACCCTTTCGCAGAGGCAAAGTTGTCCTATCCATAGCTGAAAGAAAGGCTGCGCCGGAGGAATGCCTCCCCAGACTCCAGCATCGCCCGGAACTCCGGCAGCGCCCGGAGCAGCTTGCTGAAACAGCCAATGACAATGGGGTAAACCCCTCATCTCGTCCATGGGTGAGCAGACATCCGTTGGATATTCAGCAAACCACATTGGTCCACTCGCCACCACGCCCATGGCCAAGCTTCCAGCACAACCACGCCGCTCTACCCCGAAGCCGGGGGATTCGCAAGGTGGCTGCAACGGTTGGTCGCATGAGCCGTGCAGACTGTAGAGGATTTTCTAGGAGCCATGACTGCGCTGGACTGTGGGGCCCCACAGGGTCCGTTCAGGGGAAATCCCGGCTTTGGGCCAATTCCAGCCCCTCAGCAGGTTTCGGGCTCGGCATTCCAGCGCTTGTGACCCTTTTCAGCCACAAGTCCACGATCCCGGCTCAAGATCTCCTACTTGTGCCACTTCCAGACCTTCCGGCGACGAGTGGAAAGCTCAGCAGAGGGGAGAGAGCACAGCTCCTGCGGGTCAGTTTCAGGAATGCACATATAATGTCGTCCGCCACTGCGGCAGGGGCGTCGCAGACAGCAGTGCCACAGCCACAGGCGACAACGCCGCAACTCTACGTGGCACAGCTCCTGAAGGAAGTGTCAATGCTACCTCGCCATGACTAAGGAGCGTTTGGCTGATAAATGCCATAGAGCATACACCCTGCTCCAGCGAGCAGAAGCAGATTTGGCAAATGCCAAACAGGCCTTAACCCTCGAACGCCAGGGGAGAGTCAGGGCAGAGACTCGCCTCGAGATGACGCAGGAGAGTACCGTCCCTATATCAGTACATCTTGTGCAACCCATGGTGGTATGTACTATCTACCAGGCCACTTACTCGTGGTGCTGACTCCCCCAAAAAGGGACAGAGTGTTTCTTCGTCGTCGATGGTCAAAGATGGTCAAAAGGACTCAAAGTACTTATCGCCGAGATGTGCGAAATGGTCGGACCTTGTCGCTGTCATCTATGGGGAAACGTACAGATACTCGAGATGATGATCCACGACGACGGCATCAATAAAATTCGATCGGAAGGTGCAGATGGTGTTTCATTCTCAGAAAGTGAGAGTGGTGATGCAGCCACGACCACTAGCGGTCATACCCTTGAGATTCCTATGGTTATCCGAAATGGAAGCGTATTGTCAACGACGCCGCATGAATATCATGTTACAGTTACAGACTCAGTTGGCAGCAATGATGGTACTGGAATTGAGGATAGAAAAAATCACGCTCAGTCGTCGGTCGAAAGAGAGTGTTGGGGATGTCGAAGGCGATATCACCCTGGATCCCATAGGGATACTTCCCTTACTACCCCTGAGTCTATTTCTTCTACGACTATTCCTCTTACACTCTCCGAGAAGGAGCGAATCACCCATGATTCCCTGATTTCACTTGATACAGTTATGATCTCAGGCCAACGTGTAACCGATGCATCCGCGACAAGGATTGTGCTTGCGAGAGCACACCGAAAGCACCGATCGAGACGCTGGAGAAGGAAGCAAAACCAAAGATAAGACGGGCGAAAAGCGCCCATGGTATAGACCATCTTGCCATTATGTCACCGAAATGGTGAATATTCTTTCATTCCTTCTTACAGCTTGGTGTTTGGGATTCGAATTCCGAAAACAGAACAATTGGAGTTCACACTCAATGCTGTTCGTACAATGTCCCGAGTGCCGTTTACACTTCAGGTATGGCCAAACATCACAGACGCATGTAGCAATGGAAACTGTGGTTATGGTTTTCACATGTTCCTACACATCTGGTACACTCAGAAGATGACACAATGGTCACCGGATGGCACAATGTATGGTACAATGGTTACGGACAATGTTTGTGGAGTGACAATGGTTCTACAATGGCTACGGCAGACGATCAGTACAATGGAATGGCTACGGATGTATTCTGTATTTCGTACTCTTTACCTCACGAAATGTGAGATGGAATTATACGCACGAAAAGTGAGTAGAAATGGTGATTGATTCCCCCACGAAATGTGGATGAAGTGATCATGGGACCGAATGAATGTTTGTTAAGTAGAGTCGGTGTGACTTGGAGATAAGACGCGTGTGAAATATAGTGTACTGCCAAGGTCACGCCTCCATATCTTGCAGTCCTTTGAAGTAGAGCACAATTCCAACCCCCTTAAAACAGGGAGGTTTGTTTGACTAGTACTCTGTAGGCCTTGGGCCCACAGCGCCAGAATCCCAAAGTAGCGCTTCGCAGTATCTGCTCCTTAGAGATCCCACCTCAACACCCTAAAACAAACCCTAAACCCTAAACCCTAAACCCAAAACACCTAAACCAACAAGACCCCATGTGGTGCCCCTGGTTCATGCTGTGCCCAGGCCCCGGAGCAGTCGGGAGGTCTGCGGCTTGCGTCGGGATAACACCAGCCACTTCTGGCTGCTGTCGGAGGCCCTGCGCCATGTTTAGGGTTTTTGGGTTTTGGTTTAGGGTTTAGGGTAAGGGTTTAGGGTTTAGGTGACAGGGCTTAGGTGTTAGGGTTAAGGTCGAAGTGGGGTCTGTTTCATGAGTCTGGAAAGGTTTGGGTTGCCTGGGGTGTGGGTGGATGTGCGCTGTCCAAAAACTTCCCAGAGCACCACACATGACATGGGGGGGGGGGCCTGAATAGTTAGAATGGGAAATTGGGGGGAATTTTCGGTAAAGTTCTCGAGGGGCCATAAGGGAATACCATTCGCAATTATTCCGATCCCTTTATTACTCACTTTCTGTCTGTCTTTCTCTACCGACTTGCATCGCCAAGAGGTGAATGCCATCCTCGAAGACGGCTGGAAGAGGGAGGGCGTCGATGACCAGGCCCAGCGACTGCTCGAAGAGTTTTTTCTCCGCATGCTTAAGGCTGATATGGGCTGATACTGTAGGCTTTGAGCATTACTTCAGGCAGCTACAAGGGGCTCATTTCGAGACGCATCGGTTTGATCCGTTACACCAAGGACTTTCTGGTGCAACGTGCTTGGCAGGTTTGGGTGGAAGAAGCTGCTCTTCAAAAAACCCTCCTAAAATCTGATGCCCAAACTCGACTGCGGCTCTGAACGCTGACGAGGCGCATTTATTCGTACAGAGTAGAAGAATGACCCCCCCCCCCTAGTTGAGGACAAAGAAAAACGCCAATCCTTGTCCCATGTGTGCGTTTTTATAGCGCTGGGAAGTCTTCGAAGTACATGGCGGCAGATGTGCCTCTGCCATGGCGGGATGCTGACATCGACGATGGCGGAGGCGCCCTGGGGACTGTGGATTTAAATGCGTTTAGGGTTTTAGAATTAGATGAGGCCACAAAAGGGTTTGGGGTTGAGGGCGGTTTCTCTACATTCGAAACCCGCAGCAAGAACGGTGGTTCTCCGGACACCTGAAGAGATGCAGAGGGTTCAGGGTGTTAGGGTTTTGGCGCTCGTCCCAGGCGCGCGGGTTCTCCATTTTCAAGTTGTTGTTGGTGTTGTTGTTTGGTGTTGCCGTTTGTTTTCTGCCCATTTCTAGGGTGTAGGGTTTAGTATACGGCAGTGTAAGTTTAGGGCTTCGGTTCTACCATGTGCCGCCCTTCTGAGGGTAGTTACATGGTCCGAGAATGTGGTCCCCTACCTTCTTGGCAGGGCCCATATGAAGGGACCATGTCACCCCCCTGTTTTAAGGTGCTGAAGGGACGGGGGGTTCAAAGGGGGGCATGTAATGCAAGGTTCCCACATACGCCCCACTACTGACTACTCCCTCAGGCTCCCGAAGCTTCCCAACCCTCCCCCCGTGAACGCCCTCCCTTCAGGAACCTCGAACCCTTCAAGCCTTCAGTGGTTAGAACCATGTTCCGCCATGTTCTATTGGGAAGGACTGCTTCGCTTGGCAGAGGCCGCGGTGCCTCGGGAGGTGCAGGAGCTCAAGTGCCTTTAAGGGTTTAGGGTTCAAGCGGGGATGTGCCCCCTTGTACTAACAATCCTTAATAGGGATTATAACGGGTACTATAATTTCATATAATTTCTATTAAGGGCTGTTAGAATACTTGGTTATAATTTCTATTAAGGTTATGAAGGGCTGTTAGTATAAGGGGGAACATCCCAAGGTTCAGGGGAGCTTGGAGTTCCTTGCTTTCTCAACCCCTAAGTTAGGGGCTTTGGGGGTAGATGAGCCCGCAACCTACTGCAAAAGGGTTTAGGGTTTAGGGTTTGGGGTTTAGGGTTTGCAATCCCAACAAGGACATCCTGGGCGCGCGTTTGGCGGCTTGTGACGACCCAGGTGGCCGGGCCTTGAGAAGAGAGCTTGCTGGAAACGGCGTTCGCTCAAGATCTCGATTGGGAGTGGCGATGGCACAGATAGGCAGCTACGAAGGCCCTCACCCAAGGAAGTCCCAAGGAGACACAGACACGGGAGATAGGATTCCTCGCATCCAAGCCCCCCCTCGAACATCGCGGGTAGTTCTGCGTCTTCAACGTCTGCCGTCTTTCTCTGAACGCTTCGGACAGTGGTTTCGGGTTCAGCTGTGGACACGCCACACCACCCAAGGAATCCAAGAGCTGCTCGGAGCTTTGGCTTCCCCGCCCTCCAGCGTTTCGATCCGCCTCTTCTCCGCAGCGGGTGGGGCCGAGGCTCCCCCCCTCTGAGGGTCTTGAGGGTTCCGCTTGGGGGGATTCTCCGGTCGCGAGCATCGGAAGCCTGCGAGAGTTTCCTGTGTTGTCTAGGCAACCTTCCGAAGCCTCCATTTTTGAACCCATCTCACCTTGATAGCTGGCAGGCGCGCCTCCGGGAGTGCCTGAGAACGGTGAGCCGGAAGGTGGGGTGTTCTTTAGAAGTGCAGGAGGTGCCTGCTCCACTCTACTGTCCAGAGGCACGGATGCTGAGCTGCATTGGCACAATTCTGCACATGCTGCGTAAGCATGCGCGTGAGCATTCCCGGAAAGCTTCGCTCCTTTGCAATGTGACCAGATGTCCAGTGGCAGCCTTAAGGACCATTGTTGGGCGCCGCACCGGCATAGCTGGAGGAGGTGGCGCACCCGGCGGCTATGCAGCTCCGGCACCGCTCTCCGTAGCTTCGCAGCTGCCGGTTTGTGGCGATTTCATCATCGATGCCGCCTGCGCCATGGCCGTTCTCAGAGGTGCCGACGTCTTCTGCACCTTGGGACCAATGCTTTCATACTCGTTCTCATGGCCTCAGGTGGGATAAGTGGGTTGGTAACCGCTGGTACCCGAGCCGGTCTTTTCTCAGTAGTATGGAGCATCAGGCATGGGGGTCATGGCGGCAACGCCTGAACCCATCGAGCGGCAGCTGGTACGACTCTGGGCGGTGCCGGAGGGAGTCAAGCCACCGAACCGAGGGGCGATTTTGCAGGACTTCGCTTGTGCCATCTTGGGTCATACGGTTAGGCTTACCGAAGTGGACAAGAAAAAGGTTTTCTGAGGGCTAAGGGTTTCTGTGGGCCCAAAACCATGCCCAGTCCTATCCGCGTCTATTGGTCTTGAGCCTTCGAAGACCCTTTTTGAAGCCTTCGTTGGCTCTTGCAGGACTTCCCAGACAAGTGGCCGGCAGTCCTGGTGGCCGGTGGCCAACTGATGATGTCCCGGCGCGCAATCTTCGCCCCCGGAGCCAAGGGCACCGCAGTCAACGTGTGGTGGCGGAGGGGAGTCGCCTCAGCCTTGGCTCCTATGAATGAGATCCTGGCAGACCCACAGTTGAAGGGCAAGGTGTTGCTTCAACAGCTTCCGAGCTGCCTCTGCGCCCGTGTGCTGAACCCGAGCCCGGGGCAGAAAGTGCTCGATATGTGTGCTGCCCCCGGCGGGAAGACCACGCACCTGGCAGACATGCTGGGGCAAGGCGGCCAGGGGCTCATAGCAATCGACCGCTCCCGTGCCAAGTTGCGGCGGGTGGAAGCACTCTGCGCCGCGCATGGCTTTGGGAAGGTGCGTTGCTTGGCCGCCGACTCCCGGCACCTGTGTCATGAGGCCGGCACGAGCCGCAAGCCCCGCGTGAAACCTCCGGAGGAGGAGGAATCAGCTCCGGCTCCGCAGGTGTCGGAGCCGTCAGAGCCCTCGGAGCCCTGGCCTGCAGAGGCCGAAGCGGCCTTTGCTGCAGCTTTCGCAGAGCACGGCGCGGACCGCTTCCGCAGCACCAAGCGGATCTGGAAGGCGGTGGTGTCCGCCTGTGGTCGTGGGCCCGTCTCCCGAATGCAGGCGTGACAGGGGCCCCATTGCCTCATCACACTCAGACCCCCTCTGGTCTCTCTTTTGGCAGCTCTCCGTCTTGGATTTTCGTTCCTCTCTCTTGGCTCCCTCCCCCCCCCTTCTTTTGTCTTAAGAGCCTGGAATTTCAGCATTCCCCTGACAGGTGGATGAGCGCCTTCGACGCCTGGAGGGCCAGCACCGGGCCACGCTGCCAGAGGGCCAAAGCCAAGACGGAAAGGCCAGGGTACGGAAGTTGCTTTTTTTCGGGGGTCGAAATAGGTACTCATGGTACTCCCTTATGGTCCGTGTATGCTTGTACTACAATAAGTTAGGACCCCCCCTCAATCCCGTTCTGGGGCTATGACACCACTAGCCCCATCCCATGTGGCATCCACCATCCCAACGTTAGAATACAAGCCTAGGTGCCAAAACGGGAATGGGGTTCTTGTAGAATTTGGTTCAGGGCTCGGGGTTAAGGATTGTAACTCGAGTGTATTATATGTGTATATGTATGTATGTATGTATGTATGTATGTATGTATGTATGTATGTATGTATGTATGTATAAATGTATGTATAAATGTGTATATATATATATATCATCTATCTGCTTATGTCTTATACTTGCATCATAAGTATGCTGTTGTTGGCTTCAAATGCGGTGGTTTGTTAAAGTGTCTTGACCACGTCTGAGGCAAGAAGCAAGAAGGGCAAGTATTGCAACCCTAATGTTCTTCGCTGTTTATATCTCCAAAGCGGGAATGGGGAGTCCTAACTCAATCCCCCCCTCGAATTGTTAAGGTGTGGCAGTTGTAGGGCTCTTGAATGCGTGCCAGAAAGAGAAACGGCACGCCGAAACTCCAGCAGCCCTCCGCGCAACCGGATTCTCTGCTCTCTGCCCGAGGAGGAAGGCCCACCCTTTGCCGAGGGCTCTTTTGATGCTCGGACTTTATGTGCTGCTTACTTCTTGCCACAGTGGTTTCAACACGGCACCTTTCTCGCCTCCTGCCCCAATGCGCGCATGGTCCACCATCATCAACGAAGGGTGATAAGGGCTGTGCTTGTGCTTGTGCTTGTGTTCCGGGTCGGTCAACTAAGCAGACCGCAAGAAATGGTTGGAAGGAGAAGTGGGCCGCCGTTTCAAACAGATGTGCTTCCTTTGTTTCTTGTTTCTGCTTGTTCTGCCGAAAATGTTTCATTGTTGTTCTAGCTCGTGCGTGTCATTTGCGTTTAGAGTTGTGGCCGAAACCTTAAACCCTAACCGTAAACCCTTCTTCATTTGCCCTCTGCCATCGTCTGCTGTTATCGTTGCTCGTTGTTTGCCGTTCTGCCCCACCCTCGGTGCAGGGAGCCACGCCCAGAACTTGTGGAGAATCTTGCAGAGTATCCCCTGAAGTGCTCACTCCCAGACAATTAGAGAATTAGAGAATCCTGCAAAGAATCCCGTGGAGTATCCCGGAAGCGCCCAACCCAGCTGATCCTGCAGAATATCCCTGCAGAGTGCCAAATCATCAATCACGGGTGATGAAGACAGTAATCCGTACAGTGCCCATCAAGGTAGCTTTAGGGGCGATGTTCGAATGAAATATGTTGTCGTGGTGGAGCAGGGTTTCCTGATTGGCGCTGTGAAGGGCGGGCCAACCTGTCAGAGCTAGC